GCCGGGGGCCGAGCCACCCACCCTCTGGCCCTCTGGCCCTCTGGTCCCCTGGCCTTGGCCGTGCCGCCGCCGCCGCCGCCTCCCTCCCCCCCGGCGCGCCTCAACAGCCCCAAGATCTCCCCCAAANCCCGCCCCCCGCCTACCCTGCAGGCGGGCGTGAACCTTGGCCCGGCGCCCTCGAGGGTCCTCCGGCTGGGCGGGAGCGGTTGGCAGCCAGAGTTGGGCTCGCGGCCGCATTCTGATTTTCCGCAAAATCTTAGTATTTTCTATTATAGTATACTATATTATAATATTATATTTTTATATTTATATACTACTATAAAAATATTTAAATAAAGCTAAAAGCTAAATTAATTTACTCTTTACTTTTTTATTATTAATATTTATATATAATTATATTAAACTATTTTAAAATTTCCTTTTTTTATTTTTTATTACAAGATTTATTATAAATTTAGGTTATATTTAATCTTTATACCTTAATAAGATCCCTATAAACCTTATATATTTAGTTAAACCTACAGCTATTAGTAAGTTTAGTATATATTTCTTTACTATTCTTAATATAATTAGTAAGTAATAAACTAACTAAGTAATAGTAACCTTAGCTATTACCAAAGCTGTCTAGGTTATTTTATTATAGATTTAATATATATTAATTAAAACTAGCTTCGTATAACTTAGTATTAGTAATTATTAGTTCCTTTATTAATATCTTCTAGTACTTTATTTATTATCTTCTAGTCCTTATTATTACCTTAGGCCTATACTAGTACTACTGTAACTATATTAGCTTAGTATTAGTATTACCTTAGTATTACCCCCCTTTATAATCCTTTACTATTGTAGCTTAACTCTGGTTATATCTTACTTAGCTATTATAACCTTTAGTAAAATTCCCCCTATATCTCCCTTTTTCCCAAGCCCTAAGTCCCCCTATTAGTCCGCTAAGATTAATATAAAATACTAATTATATTATACTCTTATTATAAATTCCAAAGAGGGACTAATCCCTAAAGCAACTATATATAAAAGGCCTAGCCTTTCTAACTTATTATTATATTTAACTAATTTTTATATATAAACTACACTGTGTTTATATACTTTATATTATATAAACTAATTAATCCCTATATATAACTTATATAGCTACTTAAAGTAAAGCTTATCCCCTATATATAATTACAATATACTAGATAATTCACAAAGGAGGGCCATAGCCTTTTCTTTATAAAGCCTATATAAATATACTTAACATTAACCTATGCCTATAAAATAACTCTTAGAGTCTTAGTACTATAAGCCTTTCCTTTTATTATAATCTCTTAACTATTATATTTAATATTCTCCCTTTCAGTATTGCATTAGATTAGTAAGCTACTAAGAGAGTACTTCGCTAAGCCCCTTATACCCAAAGGGGGGCCTAACTTAATAAAGTTATATATTAAGTTATATAATATAGGATATACTAAATTAAATTAAACTAATATTTATTTAAATTCCTTATCCTTTTTACACTTGCTCCTACTGTCTAGACCCATAGTAACTATTTCTCTAGTCCATAAGTAAAGATATTAATAGGGGGAAAAAATTATAATAAGTTACTATTCTAAAAAAAAAAAAAAAAAACCCCCACAACTAATTTAGTTCTTTATATAAACCTATATATACCAAGACATTAAGTATAAGCACTAACTCTAGTTATTAATTACAAGCGATAGATTTTTAGATTTTGAAAAAATTATTTATACAGCTGAAAATTAGCAGCATAAGTCATTAGGTTTTTTTTTTCAGGTTCCGTTAGAAAATTATTTTCAGGCGTCCTTCCTTTTATAAGGTATTCGTTGCAGGCGGCCGTCCTAATGCTCTCCTGTCAAAGGTATCCTAAGCTATGCTCTATTAGGCCCTAGCTAGCCCTAGCTGCACTCTGCCTAGCTGTATGGCCCTGAAAACCCAGCTACATTAATAAGCCCTTGAGAGCTATAACTAGCGTGGAAGTTTACAGCAGAGAGTGAACAGTAAAACTCAATGAATAACACAGAGCGAGAACTCTAAGAAGCCCAGCAGGCACTTTGTGAAGCTCAGTGAGCATTTACGGAGCTGCAATCTACCGCCGGCCCACCCACGCACCCTTTAAAATACCTGAAATATTATTTTAATCTGTAAAACAATTGCAAGCCTAGTGGAGGCCCGCGATGATAACGTTATAGCTGTTGGTACTGCTGAGCTTGTAAATATTATAGTCGGCAAGAGATTCCTCAAGAGGCATGTGTTCTTCGTCCAATCTCCACCACCGTTATTTATTTAACTTAGAGGAGAAAGATCAATCTCACTTAGTAGCTATTGAGAGTAAGCCTTTTCGGTGGTATCTTTAGTTTTGGCTAAACTGAAGCTTTAAAAAGAGGTTGCTGAGCGGTTGAGTAGGTGGGTAGCTGATGCTGAGATAATGAGAAGAGATACCTCGGGTTTCTAGTCAAGAGACACGGGACCGAGAGTCGTGAAGGGGTTGGGCATCTTCTGTTGCTGTTTAGTTTCCAACCTCGGGAGAAGTACATATCGCTGGCCAACCAGATAGATCGGCGTGACTTGAAATGTATGGACTACGTACCATTGAATATGTTCCATGGCCACCAAGTGATTAGTACACTAAGGAGTGACAATTTAAGTGAGAGCAGAAAGGCATTAATGCATCATTCAACAGAGTCCAGTATGGTAAGCATTAATACAATGGGAAATGCCAGTACATATGCAAATGGTAATAGATAAACAAGAAGAGCTAATTCACAAGAATACTGCAAGTCCAGCATCAGCCTGGTCCTGTATCCCCGCTCAACAAGCCGGCCAATCGCACCAATGTTGGAACTGTTACCTCTTGAATATCGCAGTCTCTACCAGAGATTCTGGTTTGGGGTAGCCTTGTATCTGTCTCATTCAATCGTCTATTTGTAGCCTCATGGACAATACCTAGTTTGATTTGTCTATGCATCTTGTGTTCTGTACGAATCCACGTGAGCAACCATAAGGAGAGTTACTCTTTACAATACACCTCACCTGGTGGCTTGGCGTCAGTCGGTCCGTTTCCCCTTATACTTTCACCAACACGATAATGACAAAGTCTCACCAACCAACATAGTATATATGTTCAGGAGAGTTTCCGGTCGAATCGTCCAGACTACTTAAGTGGTGGCCCTCCCGCCATCTATAGTCATCAAGACTATGCTTGAAACTTATTTCAGCTGCCCTATCAACAGGGTTACCAACGCAATGTTCAACTACATCAGAAATCTTGGGAGCAGTGCTCGTAATTCTTCAAACCGGTCCAGCCAACCGAACCGGCAGAACGCTGCCCCGAGAGACTCTCTTTATTCTGATGATTCTTTTATCTATGCAAATCCTCCCCCATATTGTCCAAGATCCGCAACCTCCAGAGATTCCATTACTCGTTCTCAAGATTCCGTTTCATCACTGGGGAACGAGGCTCTACGATACCTCCACGAGCACAATAATATTCATTATACACCTACTCAGCACCATGGGGAATCATCCACCGAGACAAATTTACCCTCATTGAACAGGGAGAGCGCATGCTCAAACACAATGTGCACTTGCACGCCTCTTCAAGGCTGTTGCAGCGATCACAATTCGCTACAGACGCCGAACCCAGCTCCTTTTGAGCTACTCGGAGCTGCTTGCAATGTTTTTAGAAATATGCCGAATACATCAAGCTTCACACTCACGCCTATCCATCAGTCCATACGGTATTATCTTTCAATGAGCAACCTCAACTGCATCAGCCGCCGGCTCAATTCAGAAATTGAGACAACTTTTATCCCAGAGCTTTCCCTCGAAGGAAGCGCTTGCTCTGCTCAAGAGACGCAATATGAGTGGTCAAACGAGATATATTTTCACAATGGACGCTTTTTGCAGAAACAAGAAATACACACCGCGTTTTACAAGAATCACGAAAGTTCACCGGAACACTTCATAGGCTGCCCGCATCAAAACCTGACGGTCCATACGCCGCACTTTGGGATTCGAGATGGCATGTGTGAAGCAGAAGCGTGGGTGAGAAGCATACCGCCACGTTGTTCGTCTCATCCGATGCAGAAATGGAACAACTTCCAAGGGCCCTACACCCATATAACCTCATGTACGATATGTCACTCCGATACGGAGTGTTACATACAACTAAATGGGGCCTTCCTTGATATAAGGTATACTTGCTACAGAGATCTGGGAGCAGGGCTGGATCCCAACGACCCCAAATGGCGTGCTTTACTAACAGGCACCGGCGTCAATCATCGGCCACAATATGAGTTTGAGGTTCTTAAACGAGTTTGGCTTACGGCTCGGCAACTGGAGCGACGTGGCCTTGAAGAAGTTACTCATCACACACCCAACGGGGTGTTTCATGTGCGCTCTCAAGAACGCGATGAGGCATAAGCTTGGGATACAATATTGGGCAGATTCGAGAATGGGGCGTTGATCATGTGAATAGGTTATGGATGTCATGGGAAGTGTACAGAAAAAGCGACGTACTGAAGCTTTTCTACAAGAAAGAACAGCCAGTTGTGAAAGGAGAGCAGACTGTGTAATATAGTTTGCTGGGAATCAAGAGCGTGGGTACCTTGCGATAATAGATTGAATTCTGCCACCAGTCGCTATCAAAGTATGTTATGCTCCAGCCAAATGCACCACCCCAAACCTTATATATTGCGTCTGCCGAGTCACCTTGCTCTTGAGCGTAGCTTATCAGTTGCGTTTATTGTTGCCTGAACTTTCCTCTTCTTGTATCCTGCAGCTTTGCGATTAGTACAGGATGACTCTTTGTCACAAAGCTGGAAGCTGGAAGATGTCCTCAATATCATGTAGCCCACCTCAAAAATACGCCGAGAAGGGTAAAATATCGCACGGCCGAAGGTTTTATGAGGCTTGCGAAATTGTGCATGAGCCTGAGTGCCGAGTCACTGGTATTCATGTTGTAATGGTGGCATGCCATATCGGTAACTTCCATCAAGGCGCCTTCATCGTGATAAAAACTCTTTGATCGATCCGTTGCCAATATTTGCTCCTGGGTTTTGATTCAAGCCGTATTTGGCGAACCAAAAAGAACCGTTCTAAAGTTGTATCACTAGAGAATGTCCACTCGCATTATAGAGCAAAGCGCGCATGAAAAAATCTCAGACCTTTTTGCGTCAAAGAGAGCAAACAAATTGATTTCCTTGGCGACATGGTTTCCGGCACAGTCCTGTTCAATTGCCATACGTCGACATCCCCGTAAGCCATGGTGCAATCACGACCATGCAGAAATCATGGATAACTGAAAGTCCTTTGGGAACCAAACTCGATATAATCTCAATCGACGGCGGCAAACAAACAGGACTTCGACACATATGAATAACAGATCGTATGTCCATTTCGTTGTGGATAAATGGTTGATGGAGTATCATCTCGGGAAACGTCGTATACACAGCCAACATCAAAAGTGCTGGGTCGTTGTACCCCAAGGTCTCTCCTGGTAATGTAATCTCTCTAGATTCGTTACATACACCTGACATTTCAAAATCTCAGAAAGAGGAAAATGAGACTTCGTGCGGGCGAAGAACAATATCTGTCGTTGGTGATGTAGCCTGGTGATATGTGTCGCTACGAGCATGGAACTTGACAATGACATCGTCATCTCCTTTTCACTAGCACGTACAGAAAGAAAAAAACATGTATCTGGGTGATGATGGCCCATTGCCCGTAGATCAAGTTCGATTTGGAATCTCATTTGAGTCAAAACCTTGGTGACAGAGTGAAATCCCACGTCTATTTCAATTATGTTGTGGCGGCGGACCTCCAGAGTTGAGAGACAATGAAGATGAGTTTTGAGCGAAGCTGATCCCAGTCATTGTCCAGTATCTAGATCGTCCAACTCCTCGTCCATGCTGATCCGTGATACCCGTAGAGATCTCTCCGGCTATAATCATCCAGGCAAAGATCATGCTGTTCCTCTGCCATATGCTTGCAACTCCTGCAGCCAATCATACCACGGGAATTGTCCATGTTGAGTAAGAGTGTTTTCGCTGTAAGTCCTAGTGTGTCCCATCTTGAGCAAACACGGAAACAAAAGGCAACCAGATGTCCATCCTCAATCCCTTGTTCCACTTTTCGTATCACTCCCTGCGTATGCATACCAAACCAATGTCGACCCAAATTTTGCTGTCTGCTGCTTGAATCCCATGTATCTCGTCCCATTTGGATCAGTGATGCCATGAACAGTGATTGGTCCCCAAGGAATATCTTCCCAAACTCATCGTCTCCTCTTGGTTGGTAGTGTTGTGTGTGATGTTTCCCAGCAAATATATTCCCAAATTCCTCTCTCGGTCCATGATGTTCGGCAGTGATTGGTTCCCAGCAACGATATGAAACGTCGTTTGTCTCTTGGTATCATGTATTCCGTGACAGCATTGATTGTTGATGCAAGCAGAGAAACTGTGGTATATGGCGGGCGAGCATATTTGATGCAATGGTTGGTAGAGCGAGGAAGAAGAGCTGAAGCATGTGTGTTTGGCGAGGGCTTTTGGTGAAGGTCGTCTTTACGCCTGCGTTTTGTTTGACTTGCAAGGCGATGGAGCTGCTTTGGCTTCGGCTTTAATGATGCCTACTAGACCTGAACGGGTACGCTTTTGAATGATTGAAGCGTCTGACCCACAGTCTCCGTGGTTCAGGCCCCAGCCAGGCCAGAGGCTCTGGCTGGGGTGACGACCTGCCCTTGGGCGCCAAACGGGCTTGCTCTCGCCCGATTTCTACTGCTGCTGCTGCTGGGCCGGGGAGACGGCGAGACGACAGCCGCACTGGGGGCAGCTGAAGACGGCATCTTGGCCGCTCTCACGGCCGCCCTTTTTGGTGGTCCAAAGCCACCACACGCCGCCCACCAAGAGGGCCACCAGGAACGCAAATCTGGCAAGGATGCCAGCCATTTCAAAATGATAATGGACCCATTCGTCTGAGCCCACGGCGTATCTGGCCTTTACGGCCACTGCTTGGAGCAGTATCATCGTCGTCGTCGTCGTCATCGCCATCATCATCGTCTTCTTCTTCTTCTTCTTCTTCGTCTTCTTCTTCTTCTTCTTCGTCGTCGTCGTTGTTGTTGCTGCTGGTGCTGGTGCTGGTTCTGATGGCGATGGCGATAGAGGAGAAAGAAAGACGAAACTTTGGTGGAGGAGATTTTGAAATGCGTGGAAACTGAGTTTTGTTCAAAGGCAGGAAGGAGCAATGGCCCTAATAGCCATCAGAAAAGCAGCAACAGCAACACAGCGACTTCCATTCTTGTCTCTGTCACTGGAAGGAACTACACCAACACTCAATCTGGAAGGAAGGCTGCGGATACAGTATCAGACGCGGCAGGACATGAATGTCCACCGAAGGGCAGCTAACATATAGAGCTGATGTGTATTGATTGTTCTTTCGACATCCTGGAACATTGAAAACCGCATGCTTTTACGTAGGTATATTGACATGCAGAATAATGAGCTATAGATGACTATCTCTCTCTTCTTCCTTCGTCAGTGTGATAAAGTTGATGGCGTCTCTTTCAGCGTATCCCTTTCTCAATTTTCGGTATGCGGTCTTCGCTTGTTCGTTTCTATCTGGCCACTGCACGTTGTAAGGAGGTGGGCACACCGTGACGGTCGGATTCGTTGGCGGCGCCATTTTGCTCGCTTGTGTGTTCTCGGGAACTGACAAACTTCAGGCACACGGTCAGGGTAAGGTGGATGGTGAGGGTAGCAGTCTGTCTTCTCACGCTTCGCGAGGCCGCTGACGAAGAGATCGTCAACAACGGGTGAAGGAGGCTGTTTGAAATGAATGATGAAGGAGGAGAATAGAAGTTTGGCGAAGTGAAGTGAATTAAGTGACCAAGAAACAAGAGTGCCGCGTACTGGATGATAGACGCAATAGATGTAGTAGACCTGCCCTTAGACGCGCCAAGGGGGCTTGCTCTCGCCCGCTTTCTTCTTCTGCGTCTTCTTCTTCTTCTTCTGATGCTGCTGCTGAGACTGGGCCGAGGCGAGGCCGGCGACGGGGATGAGGAGGCCGTGGCCGGGAACGGGAGGGAGTGGAGGTAAAAACGGAGTCGGAGTCGTGACCAAGTCCGGGGCCGGGTATGGAGGGATGGAGATCATCATCAAGGGACACATAGAGAGATGGGGGCGACTTTTATAGGTGGTCCAAAGCCACCACTTGCCGTCCACCAAGAGGGCCACCATCCCAACAAACGCCGAAAAGCTGGCGAGGGCACCAAACAGTTCATAATAATAATGGACCCATTCATCTGAGCCTACGGCGTGCCTGGCCTTTACGGCCACTGCTTAAAGCAGTGTCATCATCGATATCATAGTCCTCTTCTTCGTCGTCGTCGTTGCTGCTGGTGCTAGTGCTCGTGCTCGTGCTCGTGCTGACTCTGGTAACAATGGCTATGAGGATGGAGGAGAAAGAAAGACGAAACTCTGGCGGAGAGTTTTTATATGCGTCCAAACAGAGTTTTGGTCCAAATGCAAGAACAACAGCGTGGCTTCCTTTCATGTAACTGTGACTGGAAGGAACTGCACCAAAACTCTGAATCTGGACAGAGGACTGCGACTATAATATCAAATGCGACAGAAGATAAGTTCGATATTTCTTTTACCGTAACCAAAATAAATACAGACAGGACATGAATCTTCATCTAAGGACAGCTCACATATGAAACTGATGTATATTGATTGTCCTTTCGATATTTTTACCCTGAAACCTTAGATAGTGGATGCTTTTACGCATGTATCTATATTAACATGTAGGGTAATGGACTATAGATGATTATCTCTCTATATCTAAAATGGATACTGGACCATAGACGCAGTAGATGTAGTAGATGTAGTAGATGTAGTAGATGTAGTAAATGTATAAAATGTGGGTATATATACAGTAATGGCAGATCCAAAACATAAGAGAGAGAGAAAAAGATATCAATATGCCCTCTAAATAAGAAGCTGGTCAATCAACTACACGATCTCAACAGGAATTACTCTCGCCAATGACAAAAGTGACTACATGAGAACGCAATAGGCCACTTGATGAAGCAAAACCCCTAGTTGGAGATAGAAGCAATACAGACAGATCAATACATGCTCATGCTATATCCCATGAATATAAACATCCATGGCACAAACAGTCTTTAGTAAAACTCCTTGACCAAGCCATCACAGAGATTCCACAACCTCTCCCCCGACGCCCTCTTCTGAATCCCCTCCACAACCTTTGGAACCGGACTCCCAATCTTCCCCCATGGAATCAGATAACACCCATTATACTCAGCCACCTCGCTCCCAAACCCGGCCTGCAGCTCCGTCAAGGCCCCCAACCGAGCCGGATACGACAAGAACCCCTGGACACTCTTCAAGATGCCCGGCGCGTGACGAGTGAGATCCGTCTTGATGGCGCCAGGGTTGAACGACGCGCTGACAATCTGGGGATATCTCTTGGCCATTTCCGTCGCGAGAATGGCATTGGCCCATTTACTCTGCACATACCGCTGCACTCGCCCATTCAACCCAGAAAACTCCGACGAACTCAGCGCCCAGTCATCCCACACGATGCCATCCTCGCCAGGAGGATCAGGAAACTCGACAGAGGCCGCCCAACAAGTACGAACAGATCCCTTGGCCACACCTTCGCTCTCCGCCGTCTTGACGAGAATCGGAGTCAGAAACTGCTGCAGCAAAAAGGGACCTAGCACGTTAGTCGCAAAGCTAAGCTCGTGGCCCTGCTTGCTGACGCTTCCCTCGGGAGGGGCCATGACGCCCGCATTGTGCCAGATGACATCCAGGCGAGTCTCTGCCGCCAGAAAGGCCTCGGCCGTCTTCTTGATGCCCTGCAAGTCCGAGAGATCCAGGTTGAGGAACTTGACAACGCCGTCGCCGTCTGCGCTGCGACGCTTCATGTCGCCCGGGGGATCTGATTTGGCGATGGTGCTCACGGCCGTTGAGCCGGCAGAATCAGATCGCCCGAGGAGATAGACTCGCGCTGCATTGCCGTGGAATAAGGCTGTTGCTACGGCCAGACCGATGCCCCCCGTGCCGCCTGTGACAATAAAGACCTGTCACCGTGTAAGAGAGCTGTCAAGATGTAATGAGAAAGTGTGTGATGCAGACATACTCGTCCTTGCAAGTCGGGCAAGTCTTTTTCAGTCTTTGTTGGCGACCCAGGCCAGTACTGACGAAGGTATTTTGACATGATGAATTGTTGGCTGTGGAGAGATGATGTTGGGCGTGAGCTGACCGTTCTAGAATTGGAGAAACGGGAGGGCATTGGATGATATTATACCACATGCAGCGAGTAATCTTACGGTCTAGCAAAACAGTGCGAAGTATTTCGGGATTACAAGGCAAAAGGTAAACAATTAAAACACCAGAGTTTGCGATGAGTCCTATAGGTTCATATCTCTTTAATTGTTGCTCTTTTGAATTTTCTGGATTTGTTGTGGCTGACTGTATCAATGTCAGTGAAGGCGTTGAGTCTGCGCATCGAATCAATGTCCAGTATAATTGGATCGGTGCAGACTCTGGCGAATCCTTCCGACCTTGATGCTAATTGAATTTACTTGTCAAGATGGAACATCATCTCCTCGTCAAGCAGGATGCCTTTCATCTGAATGAATTGGCCATCACATGCGTCAGCCATCGTGAATCGTTTTATTCATTGCATCCCAAACTCCAATGCTCGTCAAGCACTTGATATCTTGATATATCTTCTAAAGACGGGGAAAAAAGAGGGACGCGATCGCAGAGACAGCTTCTTTGTTTTTTCTTTCTTTTTCAGCTGCTCAGCCGTATTTACTCTTCATCATCCATTTTTTGCAACTTGCCCATGTCCCTCTTCGCACCAGCCTCTCCAATGAGCTTGATCCGGTCGATGCGCACAGTCTCCGCCTCGCCGTCGCCTTTCTGGACAAAAATGGTGAGGGTCGTTGTCTTTTGGAACTTGACAAATCGCAGGCTAATGTTTGCCGTGCCGTCGGCGTTCCAGTCCTGGGGCTCCAGTGTGATGGCCTGTGTGGGCTCTGCATCCTCTGCCTCCCCAAAGTCCATGTTGGATGTGCGGTTGATGAAGAGATGGAGGACGCCGGGTCGTGATACATCGCTGTTGCCCTCGGGGGGGAAGGAGGTGATCTGCTCTCGGAGTCAGTCAAAGATGCATATATCGTCAAGAATGAATTCCAAAATCACTGACCTGTAGTGTATGGAGCTTGATGGTCGACTGGAAGGGGATAAAGAGGAGAAGCTGGTCGTCGGATCCGCTCTGCACCCAGTCCTTGGCAGCCGACGCACCCTCTCTCAAGGCACTCGGCTGAGAGCTCTCAAAGAGAACCTTGACAGGGCCAGCATCGTCGTCGGCATTCAAGAGTTCACACCCTCTAAGCTCGACCTGGTCTGTGATGTCGCTGTAGCCTCTGGGGATCTCGGCGCCCTTCCAGATGCCGCCAGTTCCTGAGCCTGAGCCCGAGCCCTCTGCCAGCGACTCCAGTTCGGAGGCCAGCTTCTCAATCACGGCTCTGAGCTCGGTCGGGTTTGCGCCCTGGACTTTGTGGATGACTTGGCCGCTTCGGAACAAGAGGAAGGTAGGCAGGGCAGTGATGCCATACTCTTTTGCGAGATCCTGGTTGGCGTCGTTGTCGATCTTGACAAAGGTGAGGAGGTTTGGGCGGGAGATTTGCTCGGCGAGGGATGCGTAGAGAGGCGCAATTTGTTTACAGGGCGCGCACCAGTCGGCGTAGACTAAGAAGAAGATGTTGGTCAGCGACAAAGATGACAAGACGACATGATGATATGATGACAAGGTGACAAGATAATAGATTCAATGCAGCAGACAATCAACAATCGCGAGAGATCTGGACATGGCGGGGAGATGCTCACAGTCGGCGACGACGATGCGGGAACTGCTAAGAAGGTCGTCGAATTGCGCCTTGGAGGTGACGTGAACCAGCGAGTCTGTCATTTCTGCGAATGTTGTGTTTGTTGTTTGTAGCAGCGTGATTCGGTCAGGCGGTTATATAGGGCAGAGTAGAGGAATAAAGAAAAAGAAAAGGGTGAGGCTGGTCTTTATGGGGAGAAAGAAAGAGAGAGAAACAAACTGGTGATGATTGTGTAACGGGTTGGAAGCCTGCGAATGGATTGCGATTGCTTGCTATGTAAGCTTTTTGGAGGGGTCAAGGAGGGGATAGCTCAGGCAGTGGGGGGCTAAGCCTATTGGGGCCAAGCAGCACTCGGACGGGCAAAGTGTTACGATAGAGTTGAAGCATTTGATCTTTTTTAATGGGCTGAATTAAATAGAAAAAGAATAGATTGAGACTGGATGATATGGACTTGTATTTTATGTCTGATAGTCACGATAAGAGATGGCTGTGAATGTGAGAATGTGAATATACAGACCATCAGGTAATGCCAATTAAATGTTTGTTTGCTTGTTTGCTCTGCCATGGGTAGATGTACGTACCTATCCAACTTGCTCCCAATTCCCCGGGAATCAAATCAAATCAAAATCAATTAGCAGCCGCAAGTCTCAGGCTATTTATACACGGTAGCACTGCATCGTGGAACATTTACATCATTTCCACAACCAGAACGGCCAGCAGATTAGCAGCCCAGCTGTCAAACTTGGCAATATGGATAATAAACTCTGCCCGCCAATAGCCTAATTAATAGCCAAAACAGGCCGGACGGTATTAATTCGCCGTAATAATAGCTGATGGATGGTCCTATTACACGTAACGTGCTATCTGAATCAATCGATATAATACAGCACATTGAAGTCATCATGGCCTCTCCTCGATTCCCCAAACAGACCTTATGTGAATTGACATCACCATCACAACCTCAACCTCAACCAACTCGTTCCCAACATGACGTCCGCTGCTGGCATCTACGATGATGACTTAAACATTGCCCACGCCGTCCTGCTCAAGAGCCAGCAGCAGTTCATCATCCGGACGACCTTTTCATGGCTGCCCGTCCTGTCACTCGGCCGCCAACTGTTGACACTGCCGCTCTTTTGCTCAATCATCCTCCTCCAGCTGGCAATCCTCGCTGTGATTAAAAATGGCCTTGTTCAAAAGTAAGCGCAAACGCATATTCACACTCACTCCTACAACTCACAATCACACTCATTCTATTCCAAACAAAAATCCATCCTCGCTGTTGTTTGAAGCCACACTCAGGCTCCCCGACTCTACCTCACTCTACCTCTCTCAATATGAGCATCATCTAGCAACAAATGAAAATCGCCATACATACTTAAGCTCCATCCATTCTTACCAATCGAATAGCTCATGCCGGAAAATGGCAAAAACGAAGCCAACCTCGCTCGACGGCCGAAGCCAAAAGCTGTCAAAACCAACCTGGAAGCCCAAAGACACAGCCGAATCAAGTCTAAAGCCAGCATCTCCCCCCAAAACAAATCCGTGGAATCGAAACCCGATCCCAGTAGCAGCTTCCGATCACGAGGATTCCTCCACCAAGACTCAACCGCTGGCGGACGAAGAATTTCCAGAGCTGGGCACTTCTGGAGTCGCCGCCGACACTGCGGCCAGCGAGACAGCAGAGACTCACGCATCTCCGCCGTGCGACGTGTCGAAATCAAGTTGCTCGACAAATGAAGAAGCACAATCCGAAGAGTCTATTTCTATCTCTGGCGTTTCTCGAATCAGCACGCCGACGAGGTTGATTCTGGAAGAGGAGGCCGACCAGGCTGCCAAGATGTGAGCACCGACTGCCACTACTTTTTTAACCTCACTCTTATTCCGAAGAAAGAGGAAATGCCTTTTGCTGATGAAATTAAATTGTGTTTAGCCTTTGGAGACATCCCTTTGGATCAAACGTCTATTTGTACGTGGAAAAAAGCGTGTTCCAATTGCACCGCGATATCCTCACGCGGCGATCGGGGTGGTTTCGCGACAAGCTCCCTCCACCAAACCAGGTAAACAAAAATACAGCCAAGAAAACCAAATTCACATTGCTGATTCCTCTCGTTGTAGGATGGATCGCCCATCGAGATACATCTACCACACGCCATCGGAGCAGTGCAGCCTTGCCTCTTCTTCATGTACACCAAAAGTATGGCATCTTCCCTCACAGCAATCATCATTTCCCGCATCTCAGCTAATTTAGAGAATCAATTTCCTGCAGACCTCGAGATTTGCGAGCGAGACACGAACCAACCGCTCAACTTTATACACATCCCCCGTTGTGTCCTTGCTTATTGCGCAGCAGTCAACTTTCAGATTCCCGCAATGGCATCGCGCATCCTGTCCATCCTCGAAGACACTTCCAAAGATCTCTCCACATACCTCAACGCCTACTACATCTACAAGGAAATGGACTACAAAACCAGCAGGTCCATTGCCACCTATTTTATCAATTCCATCGATATTTTATATTCAGAGCCGCTATTCGAGCTCATGAAGCCGATGCGACACGCTCTTGCTGGTCTCTTGGACGCACTGCTTCCGTCTCTGCTGCGTCAACCGTATTTTCCCGAGATTCTATGCATGCCCTCGTGGAAACGATGGTCGGCTGCCATTGCCGCAGACCAAGTAGAATACCGAACAGCGCTTGGCCACTACCGATCATCGGCAGACTCCATCTTGCCGAGTGAGCTTGAGCTGGGAGCTTTATTTGATCGTGTGCTAGGGCAATATGACCTATACCAGAAAAATAAAGCCTACGCCAAAAATTATTCCGATGAACAGGAGCATGCCAGAAGGGGCACTCCTGATAGTCTTGATGGACGAAACAGCAAAGCTTCAACATGCAAGTCTTGGGAGAAACGATACGCCGATATCAAAGAGTACAGCGAAGAAGAGTCCACGCTAGTGTACCAAGCTCCAAGTGTTGCGGGAAGCACAGGCAGCGAAACAGGCACCTGGAACTCGTTCGGCACAGACGGCGCCGAAGCAGACGCAGCAGAAGTAGAATCAGAGAGGCCATCGACTACCAGCCCTAGAGTGTACCATAACAGATGTATGAGGAGTAAGTCCAATGCATCAGCAGCGGGGGGAGGCCAAGGCATGAGCGGTAAGAAGACGAAAAGATGAAGAAGATGATGATGAGAAAGAAGAAGAACCCTGGGTAAGACAGTGAGTGGGCGAGATTTCGAAACTGATAATAGAGCATATCTGTGTGTGAGTCTGTGAGATATTAGAGTATGGATGCTAGTAAGTTGGTTTGAAGTTGGGCTTGGAAAGAAAGGAGTCGAGTGTAAGTATAGAGCAACATTTGTGTGAGTACATGAGCATGAGCATGAGCATGAGCATGAGCAGAATGATTTGACATGATGTTTCAATAATAGAATGACACGCAATGCATAAATAAATCAGCCTTTTCAGATAATAATCTCCATCAATTGTAGTAGCTCCCGGGTAGGGGGGATGAAGCCATCATTTTTCTCTCATCCATCTGCTTGAAGTGCCAACTGATTGCCTGCCCTCTACTTGATCTACTTCTCCATAATACACATCTTTGGCTCTATTCCTCTATACTATCATACATTAGTTATCGTCCATCTGTCGCCTAAATTGCATAAATCAACATGTTTCCCTCCCCCAAGGCGCAGCTCGTCCAGACACCCGGCCCGCCCCACACCGCAACTCTGCCACTCGTATTCCCTGTTTTAACCCATGACGTCGTACAGCAGTGTCCAGGTACTCTGTGCCTCTTTCTCCAAAGCAGCCTTGGAGTCAGCCAGCCATTCACATTCTGGTGCCTGGTACTAGAATAAACTAGAATCATCGCTACTTAATCTGCCCTCTCTCTCTTCTCCTCTTTGTGCAATTAATTCTATCCTTATAGGCAGTGTCTCGCATATACATACAAGCCACCCAACCAACCAGCTCACGAGACTCCTAAGACGTCACACCTGATCCCAGCCTTTTTTCACCTTGGCGCTTATCTTATCCGTACATACACCAACCTACCTTACCAGTCTTTCCTCACTCTCATTCATCCTCACTCAACCAACCAACCACTCACACAAACCATCGCATCGCATCGCATCGCAACTTCATCAGCGCAAACACTCTTCTTCTTCAACCCTCTTATTCTTCATCATGGGTAAGTCACCCTCTCTCTCACTCACTCTCACCCTCACCCTCACTACTCTCACCTATTCTCACCTTCAAACTCATCATCAACACCACTAACATCAGCAATCCAGGCCGCCACGGCGTCAAGAAGCGCCTCTACCTCAGCCCTCCCGACCCCGACATCGTCACCCGCCAAACCCACGTCACCCGCTACATCCCCGAATCCCCATCCCCATCGCCCCCTCCCGTCGAATACATCACCCTCCCACCTCGTCCCCCGCCAGCAATCATCCAACTCCCCCCTCCGCCGCCTCCCACGCTCCCTCCAGCGCCGATGCCTCCTCCTTCTCCTTTTCCCGCACCCGTCTACTCCCTACCTCCTCTGCGCCGGCCCACCCCCGAACCAGAATTCATCGAAGTAATCGCCGTCAGCGAGGACGAAAAGGACGACAAGAAAAAGAAGAAGAAGAAGAACAAGGACAAGCACCACCACCGCTCCAAGTCCCGCTCCTCCGTCTCCAGCCACTCCCGCAGCCGCAGCCGCAGCCACCACCGCCACCGCGACGACGACGAATTATCTCGCTACCACGACCGCGACAGCCATCGCGACGTCGAGGAGTCGCGCGATAGAGAAGTCTACATCGAGAGGGAGCGATACGTCCCCTACCCGGTCCCCGTCCCCATGGAGCCTCAGTACAAGACGTATCGCTACGTCGACGCCCCGCGCAGCCCCGCCCGGCGCCGGGCGTCATCGCCCTCTCCGCCGCGGTATATCGAGGAGGATCGAGAGCGCGATTATAATATCCGTATAAAGGATCGCGAATACCGATACGACTAGTGCTTTTTGAATTGACAGCTTCTTCTTCTTTTTTTTTTTTTTTTTTTTCGTTGTCTGATATTTCGATATGGAATTGCTTTTTTTTCGGGGGAAGGAAAGGTTTACAGAGGGACGACTTGGGATTGTCTACTTGCAATACATCTATTTGCAATACATGTATGGAACGGCTCCCATCTTATAAATCTAAGAGTACATATGGGAGAATCACGATGTAACGAAATATTACGTTTTACCACTTGGGTCACATACCCCATAACGAATGCAATTTACGTCACGGATGGTTATTGTTTATAAATAGTAGTCTTCATTTTCATCCTTTTTGGCTCTCATTTCTGCGCTCGTAAATTTCGTAAATTTCGTAAATTTCGTAAATTGCTCAAGATTAACGCGCATGCTTGCAAGACGTATATACCAACAGTATTTGCCGCAACATGTCTCAGTACTTGTAAAAAGATGTCCTCCGTCTTCGTGGCGGCGGCATACTAGACACGGGAACCTCAATAGTATCCGCATATTTCCGCACAGTCGGACGTGAATATCGAGATCGGCGGTAGGTAGCCGGCACATCCTCGCTGGCACGGCTCACCGAGTCGTAATCCATACTCGACCCAGATGACCGCGAGGCACCCTTTGATGAGCGCCAGCGTTTGCCAACGAGCCAGTCTGTTGCGTTGCTAAGCTCGTCCATCCACCATAGGCCGGCAATGATGATGATGACCGTCACGGGCAAGGCAACCACCCAATACAGCCACTGGTCAAAGTCCATGTTGCGGATGTCGTTGGTGTTCATGCCAAAGATGCTCGAGATGGCGCTCAGCGGCAGGAAGATGATGGTGACCAAGGTGAAGGCGTAAATGGCATTCTCTTGCCTATCCTTGGTCCACTCCATTTTATACGTAATCTCCCGCTCCAGATCCTCCGCATACTCTGTGTTTCGCCGGAATTCGTACTCTCTCTGGTCAACGAGGTTGGCACAGTCGGCGAGAAAGAGGCTTCGAAACCCTCCCATGTCCGTCGACGACAACTTGGAAGCCGTCTCGAGTTCGTTCAAGAACTGAACGCCAAATCTGCCTTGATCGTCTGCGCCGCGTCTAACGATTCTCTCATCCTCAAAAAGTCGAGGATCTCTGCGTTTCATACCGCCAAACTCTCCCCTCATACGTGCCGGCATTTCCTCCCCATACCGTACCATGAAATTTCCGTCTGTAATGCTAGTTCTGTTTCTCAGCATAGCTATTATATTTCTCTGTCTTGATAGATTTCGCTTAATGGCAGTCATTTCTTGGTTGACCAGATCAATACGATGCTGATATGTCCGACTGGGGGCCTTTGTTGTAATGTCCGTATCCTAGTAATGGTTAGCAGCTGTGGCTCGTCCTCGTTTAGATGACATTTCATACCAAGGAATTGAGATAGAGCGAGTATGTATCACAAATATCATCATATTTGCCCACGTCGTCATGCAAGAGGTTGAGTGCTATCAGTGACATGACTTCTGTTGGCTGCATGACAGCCCTGTCCAAGAGATTTTGGGAGGAAATGCTTTCAACCATTTTCTGCATCCCTTCTTTCAGCAGCGATCTTGCCTTTGTCATATGGTTGTACCAGCCGACCTCATAGGCATAAGTCAGGCCGAAAACAATGTGCAGCCACGCAGTCACAAGTTCACGAGGCAGTTCCATGGCGGCGCGGTCTTCCTTGCCCGCAAAGGACATGAGATTCTGAAACGATTGTACGTCCTGGGTCAACTCCCAGAGGGTACTTCTGAGTGTTGAAACCGGAGTTGAATACGCGTGAACATCATCTTCGTCAAGTTCAGGCATCTATTACAGTTGGATGTTAATCAATGCATACAAATGGAATTGCCCAGAAAATCTTACCTCCATCTTTTTGCTTAGAGCACCCCAGTATTTACCCGTTGTAGGACCGTGGAACGTGAGAGGAAAGAATAGTTGAAACAACGTGTCGGCCATGTTGAAGACGTCGAGCCTTTCCTCATATGAGCGGCGGACTTTATCGCTCTTTTTCTCTTCAATACGGGCACCCAGCTTCTCGAGTTGCTCATTAACACCGTCCCTCGTCATGAGTTCGCATCTCTTATATTCTCTCTGTGCCGTGTAAGAAGTCTTTTCTGTCAAGAACTTCTCGGCCGCCGATAGTTGTTCCTGAAGGTCCTTGAGAATAGAATCATTGGATGAGTCTGCAATCTTCGACAAAAGTGTAAAAACGTGCAGGTATTCTGGTGCGGTTGCCGACTGTTCGGGGCGCTTTTCAGATGCCTTGTTGGCCGTTGCATCTGGTTTCAGAATTGTTCGTAGCAGATCGGGTGCATCTCTGATGTATTCATTAGCCACATTTCCACCAAACAGCCATTCCGCTAGTGAGGATGCCGGGAACACCATACGCAATCTTCAATTTCAATCTCACATCACTGTGTTGCCCCTCGGCTAGGTTCAAGATTTTGCCCCAGTTTTCTGTTGTCAACTGGTGATCTTTGCGCCAGAATTCGAGCTTCCGTGGCCAAAAGGGACGAAAGTGGGAGATGAACGCCTGGAATCACTCAGCCATGTTAACGTTTGATAGATGTCGGAGAGATACTTACAAACCACGTTTGGCATTCCTTTGTTGCCAAAGACCACATTACTGCTCCCCCGTACGATACGAGAATTCTGCCCGGTCCTCCTCCTGCTTGGCCGGGTTCCGTGTTCATTTTCACGGTTGTGCCTTGCAAGTGCGACTGCGGCATTGTACCACAGGTGACGAGGACGCCAGTTTGGTGTCAGCAGACTAGAAAGTTTTGCGGGAACTTGTAGAATACCTACTGTTGCCGACAATAAGGCACCACAGTTGCGAGATGTGAAAACATTCCCCTCGCGGAACTTGGCCAATCTGGCACACTGCTTGGTCCATGTCTCTCTGTTGGCCACTGCGAGAGTATTGGGATTGGAGTAAAGTCTGAGCCGGGAATAGTGCCGTATTCGAAGTTGAGACGGATTCAGAATATTGCTGTAGATGAAAATACGGTATACAGATCCAGTTGGCTGCATGTGAGTCCTCGGAAGGTTTCTTATTGGACGATTGTATCGGAGTCTGGATGCATCGTGGCTCCATGTAACCTACTTTTGCACCTTGGGGATTGTATCGAGTCTTGACGCACTGCCGCTTAACTTCGGCTTGCAGGTTAGCCACTGCCTTTCTTTCAGCATCACGCAAGTAGATTTGGCGTGATACTTGGACCTGCAAGGAATATCAGCCTGGAGTCAGCCACGGAATATTTAAGTTTCAATACCCAGAATGCGTCAAAGTTCATTATGTCTTGGCGAACATGTCTGTATAAGAGTAAGCACATGAATGGGGACAAACAAGCGTGTATAGCGGGCGGAGTTGGCACTTACAACCATCGGAACAGAGGCTGCTTTTGGCCTCTGGGGTCGTGTAGGAGTGTCAAATTCACATCGTGCTGAGCCCCAAGCTCCGCTGTCCCGGAGTAGCTGGAAGAATAAATCCCAGGAGCAGTGATGACGTTGGAAAGAGGGCGTTCAATTTTCTGTGTCGATTCGCTCTCAGTTGTTGGGGTGTCTAGGTCAGACAGTTCGGCATCCTTTGCTGGGTCCTCTGCTGGAAAGACAAAGTGAAAGTCGTCAAACGCATCAATGTCTTCAACGATGGGGCTCATGGGACGGACACGATACCCGTCTTCTTCGGCATCGACATATCGTGCCCGCGCTCGCGGCTCATCCTCATCCCGTCTCTCGATAATGATCTCCTCCCTGGCAGGGCGAGAGTCGTCTTGTTCGTCGTAATCTCTACGCCTTCTAAAACGCGTAATCCGATCATCGTCATCTGAAGAGGCCGCATGATGAAAAGCAGTGGGAGACTCCGTGATGACGGCTTCCTCTGTCGTGAGCTCAGCCCCTGAGCTTTCTCTGCCCAAGGTCCGTCGTTGCCGCAATACGGGGGAAGGAGATGATCTAGCAACCCGGCTGCGAAGTATGAATGGCCCTGAAGATGGCTCAGCTTCATCATTGGATTCCCGGCGGTGGACGAATTCGTCTCCGCTCTCATTGAGGAAATCGCGGCGTGTAAACTCTCGCCTTGCACGTTGAGGCGGCTACACGCATCCGTCCGGTCAGCCATCATGGTGCTATACTTGGACGCACGAGTACGAGTACAAACCTGAAAATAAGCTTCAGAACCCCCAGTGGAGCGGCGCGGGCGTTCTCTGCGCCGTATGGAGTCGTCGTACGCCATGCCGGAGATGATTTGCCAGTTGAGGCCTGACTCAGACACTGGGATCTGCTAAACTCAGGAACATGGAGACGAGAGTTTGGCTGGAGTTGATTGATGTCGCGGGAGCGGTTGATTCAGCTGGTGTCGGGGTTTTAGTTGATTGGCATCACGGAGATGGGGGCATGTAATTGTGTTGTTGTTCTCTTGTGAGTAGCAGTGCTAATGCTCCTCTTTTTTTCCTCATCATTTTTTTCTTCTTTAAATCGAATCCTGCGGCGGCTGAGAGAGGCTGAGGCTGATCATGCAAGAGACGACCAACACATGACCGGGATTGGATCTTAGTGTCTTACTTTGTCTGCATCCCCGCCCCGAAATGGATGGGCAGGCGGTGAAGGGAACACAGATAAGCGGGTGCAAATCGTCAAGTATTTAGGAGAAGGAACCAAGGTTTACCCCTTCTCTGCATGATGCCATATTATCCATTGTGACTGGATCTACGGAGAGCGAAGTATCTACTGAGATATTGTGATATGTTTTCTGTCGAGTATATCAAGCAGTACAAGATGACAAGGCAGCTGATGTCGATGGAGTGCTCGATGGAGTGCTCAATGTATTATATATCCACAAGGTGGGTAGACATTTGCATTTTTCATGTGAAATTGCCCAGTAGTATGCGATCTCACTTTCAGAAAACATCAGCTTCAATATGCTTCTACCGCGAGTTACCAAAGTAACCCCCATTGGAGTCCCACTTATTTCATCTGCTTAACACAAACGTACTTTGATGGACTCAAAATAACACTTGTCCAAGTGCGGGCATAAGAGGTAGGTGGTAATAAGTACTTGCATCTGCTGATCAAATCTCTGCGCGACCAATGTTTAGCTACAGCTGAAGGGGGGCTGAGGAGCAGGAATCGAGTTTAGTGCCTGTAACTGCACCGTACCTGACGATGCAAGCATTTGCTGGATTCGGTTGACTGCAAGTACATAATCGTACAGCAGTGTAGTAAGAGTACCGAGATGCCCTCAATGCGCCACTTGCCTAATGGCTACTAGCACAGGAGGAGGTTACAGACAATTGGATCGTGGATATTCAATGCGAAAGTGCCTGCAACAAGGACCACGACTATGCTTAATCCACCGACTCTGCTCCGTGGGTACTGGTACAGTACTAAGGAGGTAGGCATCGTACCGTACACGTATCCCGTCGATCTGGTGCTGTACACGTACAGTAATATTCATCCATACGAGTACTAATTAATGTACGGGAATAGCTTACTTTACCCTGTGCCGAAGGATTCGAGTCGAACAACGGCGCCAAGGCAGATGGATGGATATTGCTGTGGTTCATGCCGCCATCACGTCAGATGGTTCGTCCTACCAGAGGCTACTGTACGGTGCCGAGTTACAGTATGAGTTATCCAGAGTCATCAATCACAGGCCAAGATCAAATCAGGCCAGACCCAGACCAGACCCAGACCCAGACCCAGACCCAAGCTGCGCAACCACACCATCTGCGAGTGGCACCGCATCACAAGATCCAGACAAAAAACCAACAACGACGGCTGTGCCTGAAAGCGGCCTAAGGCGAAGCGTCTTTTGCTCCGAGCACGAGGGCTAATTGGCGACTAGGTTGATTCCCCACCGTTCCCCTACTTTTAATTTACGAAAGGCGACGTGCAGCCAGCCATAGCTGCAGGGGGGCCAAAGCGGTGCCTTGCTGGGATGGACCTTGCTGGGGGAATTGAATTGCCGCTGTCTTGCGTCCAAAGGAGCGCGTCAGCCGCCGTGAGTGTGCTTGCTGCGAACCACAAGAGAGTTCAGGACTGTGTGCCATTGGAGGCCAAGCCGGAGATTGCTGGCAATGCAAGGAGGCCCTCGATTGCTCCGTCCTGGCGCTTGGGTTGTCCTTGTTCAATTTGTGCCTGGGATGGGATGAGGGCTAGCTGGGCTGGCGGCTAGCCGAAATCTCCTGCGCTTTAAATGAGGACATGCACAAGGCACGGAGGAGTTTCTCCGTCTTTGGACAGAGGCTCTACTGTCGGGCGCAGTGCCCATTGCAGTCAGGCACGCGATGATATCAAGTTGAGGGCAGACAGACCCGACCACGTGGGCGAGCCGTGCCTTTTTTGATTCAGAAGAAAGCATGTGCCCGTTCCTGTGCCTGAGCCTTGTTGGGGATGGAGACCACAGGCAAGGCAAAGCTTCCGAGGGGCCCGAGCAGACGGCACCGTCTCGATCCATCCTGGGCTGGGCACACGCCATTTTTCGTCTCCATCTCTAGGCGAGTTGAGACTTGTGGAGGCCATTTGATCCATTATTAGTCGGACATTCCAGAGGCAAAGTTGTGGGGATCAAAGACGATAGAATCAGTCAGAGTGAAGTGATAAGCTTCCATGTTTGATGGGACAAGTAGCCGTCGGACGTGGCGATGCAAGAAAAAAAAAGTTTGTCTGGGATCCATCGATTAATCCGTCAAACCTCAGTACCCAGCTTTTTAGACTTGATAGAACCAGACTTCAATTCTTTTTTACCTTTATCCTTCCTTAGCTTTAGTAATCGTCGTCAAACTTACTGCTTGACATCACCGCCTTTGGTGGTACGAGTAGGCAGGTAAATCTGCCGCTCTCGCCTCCATTTTATTTCATCTCCTCTGCTGTGTGCAAATCAAATCTCGGCCTGGCTTTTTCGCTGTGCCCCGAGCCAGCCCACACGCCCTCGGTTGACCTCCACCCCAGCTCAGCGATTCCCCTTCTTATCTCGCCGTCTGCTGCACCTCGTTCGCATTGGGCTCGAGGGCCGATCACCCAAGGGTCGATCGACGTCGCCGTCGTTCATCGCCCAGCATCTGGTGGGTTGATCTTTGCATTTGGCGGAGACGAAAAAAAAAAAAAGGAAAGCCGAGATCGAAGCCCCCGCGAAAGACGAAAAGAAGCGAAAGACCCCCATGTGAAGAAAAAGAACAAAGGAAGACGAAGAGAAAAAAGGAAGAAGAAAGAAACAACATCCAACCCGGCCTGTCTGACCTCATAATAACGGAGCACCGGCTGGCCTTTATTAGTGCTCGTTACATGCTCCATATCCAGAATCCATATCCATCCATATCCATCCTCCTCTCTTCCCCTCCCCCCTGGTGCCTGGACCTGGATCAGGACCTGGTCACAGCGCTTCTTCTCTCTTGTCTTGCTCGCCTCCACACTTGGCTTCACGGTACTTAGACGTGCATGCAGCGCGGATCAAGGGTGAAGCGAAGCACAGCCGGCAGAAGCTCAGAACAGCCGCCCTCCACCTGCAATTTGCTCCCCACGCAGGCACGCCATCTACTAACTGTTGCGTCCCTATTGCATTGCATATTTGCATATCCGTCGTATCGCTGCTCTGACTCTGCTCTGCAACTCTGGCGTGGGCACGAGCTCCCGGCACGAGTCGCAGACGCAAGACAAGACACACTAATCCATCATTTTCAGCTGCCTTGCGACAGACGGCCGTGGTGGATAGCACAGGACATCACAGGGCTTGACAGGGGTTTCAACGCCCATTTCGCCCATCTGGCATCTGGCACCGATATTGATTTGAGACCGGCATTGATTGGCATTTCGCAATCTACATACATTGGCATTATCATTTGGCGCTGACGAATCGAACGAATCGAATCGCACCGAACCGCAGCCCTCTCTCGCGCCCAGCCTAACAACGGCCCATCCTTGCTAATAATACCCGTACCTGTGCCTGACTCCCCGACAATCAAATCAAATCAAACCCCCCCCCAAATCAAAATCGCCAGCCATGTCGACGTCGCCCAGCTCGTTTCCCGGCAGGGCTCCGGCCTCAATCACAACCAGGTGAGCAAGCAGCGAAATCCAAGGATCAAAGGCCAAAGAAGCGACCGACCCTCCCTGGCCTCGCTAGCCTCAGAAGCCCAGAAGCCGTCGTCTGTGCTTCTTTCGCTAGCCCGCCTTTCCCTGCCCTTCATCCCAACCCAAAACCACAGCCAACAGTGTCACTTCGCTCTGCCTGTTCCTGGCTGGCTGCTGTCCAACCCAACGGCTCTTGTTGGTTCTCGGAACGGGCTTCTGCTTCTGCTTCTCTGGGGGAGCTCTACATACAGTAGTGCCGCCTTCACCACCAGCTGCGAAGAAGAAGCTCTGCCCGCCGTCTGCCACTTGATGCTTTCTGCACAGTCTTCCTCTTTACTGCTCTCATCTCTCTCTCACCTTGCCCCCTGACCCCTACCCGCCGCGGTGAATCGCCGCTTCGACGTTGCGCAAGGTTGCCCCGTCTATATTTGGACCCCCCGGTTTCATCTTGCCGCTTACTATACTATCCTCATTGCGATTGCCCGGTGCTACGGAGTACGGAATTACCCTTGACACTCATTACCTTTCAAGCCCATTTCGTTCTTTGTTTTGTCTTTTGCTTGGCTTGACTTGACCTGCCTCGGCTCTACTCTGCTTTGCTTTGCTTTGCTCTGCTCTGCACCGTCGTCGCTGTTTGGTTGCTTTTTGCTTTTTGCTTTTGCTTTCGCTTTTCGTCTTTGCTTTTGCTTATGCTGATGCCCGCCTCCGACGCAACCACAGATCCTCACGCCCATCCATACCCAGCCCGCTGTCGTCGCCGAGCTACACAGCGTCCTCGCTGACCACCCCGAGTCCTCCTTGGCCCGGTACCGCCACGAGCCAGAGACGCCCGCCGCCCATTGACACGCGATCTAATAGCAATACGACCCCATCTTCTGCGGGTGGGCACACTACCTTCTATTCCGACTCGTCCAACCCCTCCAGCCCAGACGAGGAGCGCCCAAGGTGCGTCGCCACATCATATGGGCATGACCCCCCGTTTATTTAATTTACACGAAAAAGAAAGAAAGGGAAAAAAATAGCAGAAAAAAAGTGGTGGAGGAGATAGACAGACAAACGAACAAAGAAGAGCATGGCCTGCCGTCAAATGCTCATTGAGATTGGGGCACGTTCTAACCCGCGCTGCATTCTAGACCAGATCTTCACGCCGCCCCGAATGATACTCACAGCGTCCGCCTACCTGTGAATCCGAAGCCTGTTGAAGGCTCGTCGAGCAAGGCGCCCGCCTCAGCCATGGCCAGTCCGACGACATCCACCGCACCCAGCGGTCCTACCACAGGCCTGCCTCGCAATTCCTCCATCGACAGTGCCATTTCCGCCATCTCCTCAAGCGCGCAAGCGAATAATACCACTAATAACCAGGCCAAATCGGAAGAAATTGCAAAATTAATACAAACCGCCGGCAGCCCCGAGGCCGTCATTCAGTATCTGCTCAAAGAGAAGCAATCTCAGGCACAGCAGAACAGCCAGCTATGGCGCCTGGTTGACAAGCAGAGGGCCATGATCTTGGGGTTGAATAAAGATTTGGAGGCAGCCCTGAAGGACAAAGAAAAGTACAGGAAAAAAGTAAAGGAGCTAATGGCGAGTCCCTTGGTAGTAAAGCCGCCGGGCAGCCAAGAGGATGATAAACAGTCAGACACGCACAACGATGCACGACTTCTACGCCAGGAAGTCGATTCACCAAAGGAGCCAGTGGTGCCTTTGCCCAACACCCCAAAGCTGGACTCTGAGGGCCAATTGGGCTCGCCGGTGGACATGGCTCTAGCTCCCTATCCAATCACCCCTCCGGCAGACCGATCACACGCACCCCCTTCGGCTGTGGCCGAGCTGTTGGATCCTTCAGAGGAGATGCCCAAACCCCAGGAATATGCTCTGGACCACTATGACCACGACGCGGAAGAGCAGGCGGCAGACCAGGCGCGGAGAGATAGAAACAGCGAACAGCTGAATGAGATGCCATACAATGCCTCCCTGCCTCCGTCGCGCAGCCTGCCAAGCCACCCGCCCAATAAGCCGCCGCCAAAACCTCCCGCCGCCAATGCCCCTCCGACAGTGACCATCATGGAGCCCACACCACAGCCGGACGAGGGCATTGGCAAGTTCCCTTCGCCACCGCGGAAGCCTCCCCCTGCGCCTCTTCAGCTCCGGCAGGAGATCCGGCGCCAGCTTGACTCTCCCACCATTGAAGACTCTGATTCCGACTACGACGACGTATTAGAAGTAGATGAGATTATTCCTGAGAGCCGCGGCCGCCGACGAACGCGCGAGGAAGACGATCGTGAGCGCGAAGTTTTGGCTGTTCAGGAGGTTGAAGTGCGGAGCGCATCCAAAATGGCCGAGGCCGGAATGGCAGAAGCCCCCAGCTCTTCCACTGTGCCCGCCAGCTTGCAGCCTGGGATGCCCACCGCATCTCTGGATGCGGTTCTGAATGGGACCAGACCCCGAGAGTTGACTGCTCCCATCCTCAGCCCTGGCTTGCCTGCCAGCCCCAGGCCATTTGGGAACCCCAAAATGACGCTTGGCAATCCTCCAATGTCGCCAAGGGGCGGTCCATTGTCACCACGACCTCCACGACAACCGATTCCCATGCCGCCTGGTACGCCCATGATCGTGCCGCCCACTGCATCATTGAGCGATGGAAACCCGCTCAAGAGGGCCATGGAGGCTGGGGACTACTCCAAGGGCGCTTCGAGCCCAGTGGAACGAACTGCCATCTTTAGAGGGCTTGTGACTGACGAATACCCCGACCTGCTGCTACCGCCAAACGCGTTGCCTTCCATCGCCATAAGAGTCGCGTCGTCCCGCATGAAGCCATCCAGAGCAAGTCTCTTGTCGTTGACCCAACTCGAGGAGGACCCGGTCTTTACGCTTGCCATCATTTCGCGGGCTGACGGAGGCGAACTTTGGCGCGTGGAGAAGGACTCTGCATCTCTAGCCAAGCTGGACCAGCGACTGAAGCAGTGTCCTGCTTTTACAGCCAAGACGCCAGACAGGTCATTGTTTACCGGACATGCGCCTGCCAAGATTGATGCCCGAAGAGCCGTCTTGGACCAATACATGGATGAGCTTCTGAATACTCCCCTTGACACTAACGCAGCTCTAGAGCTTTGCAAATATCTCTCTAATCATACCCTGCCTCCTAATGCTGACGAAACTGGCCAAATGTACAAACCCAAGGAGGACAACGCATCGATTCGATCGGATGGTCGACCCACTCGCAATGGTTATCTTACCAAGAAGGGCAAAAACTTTGGCGGATGGAAATCGCGCTTCTTCATTCTCAACGGTCCTCTTTTGAAATACTATGAGACTCCTGGTGGCGCTCATCTCGGCACTATTAAGCTTCAAAATGCTCAAATCGGCAAGCAATCTCAAAACAACGAAGCCAGCACCCCAACGGCCCACAGCAACGACGAGGAACTAGATAGCCAATATCGCCACGCCTTTCTCATTCTCGAGCCCAAGAAGAAAGACTCCAGCAACCATGTCAAGCACGTGCTGTGTGCGGAGAGTGACAGAGAAAGAGACATTTGGGTGGAGAATTTGCTGCAGTGGATCGACTACCGAGATCCTGAGGATGAACCGCCAGCCACAAGGCCTGTTCATGATCGTCAGACATCTGGAGACCAGATCAACAAAGCCAAGAAGGGAGGCAAAGCGAACCAGCAACATCAGACGTCGGGCTCAGACACGCTAATTGGAGTGAGATACGACTCTACCCACCCTGGAGACGCTCCGCACCAGGGCAACCATGGAAACCGACCAAAGACATCCGGCAGCCAAAGCGAGCATCACCATGCGGACTCCCACTCGAAGATCATTTCCGGGCCAAAGGACCCTCAGGTGATTTCGGATGCCTCCTCGTGGGGAAGCAGAATTGGCCTGACAGCACCACCTCCGGCACCGGCCCCCTCGCATGATGAGAAGAAGCAGAGGAAGCGAAGTTTCTTTGGGTTTGGACCCAAGGCGCGCACTTCATCTGACGGACAGGATTCCCTGTTTGGAGGCAGCGAAGGCGGATCTGGAGCAACTCCGCCACAGAATGGCTACCACGGCCCTGTTCGCCACGTTTTCGGCGCACCTCTGGCTGAGGCTGTGCGATACAACCCCCCAGTGGACGTCGACGTGCCGCTGCCGTCGGTTGTCTACCGCTGCATCCAGTATCTAGAGGCTCAAAACGCAATTTTCGAAGAGGGCATTTTCCGGCTTAGTGGTTCGAATGTCGTCATCAAACAGCTTCGAGAGCGCTTCAACAACGAAGGCGACATCAACCTGGTCACCGACGAGCACTATTACGACATACATGCCGTGGCGTCTCTCTTGAAGTTGTATCTGCGAGAGCTGCCCACAAGCATACTGACGAGAGATCTTCACTTGGAATTCATGTCGATAACGACGGAGATTACCGACAAGGACGAAAAGATGGCAGCCCTCAACGAGCTATCACTGCGGCTGCCCCAGGCCAACGCGACGCTGCTCAAGTACCTGATTGCATTCCTGATTAGAATCATCAACAACTCGGACATTAACAAGATGACGGTGCGAAACGTGGGCATCGTCTTTTCACCGACGCTCAACATCCCGGCGCCCGTCTTTGCCATGTTCCTCCAGAATTACGAGGCCATTTTCGGAGTCGACCCTGAAGAGTACGAGCTGCCTTCCCCCATCTCTGAGACGGGCAGTCATGGTCGATCGGACTCTGTCGGGCGCTTCGATCCGCCGCCTGGTCGTCCATCAACATCATCCGGGAGCGCCTCTCCGCGCCATCAAGGATGGCCGGAATCCATCCGAGACCCAGCGAGATCAACACCGACGCCTCCTCTATTGCAGAACCTGAATGCGGCGCGAGGGTCTCCCACTCCGACCGGGGCAGCTCGCCATAGCTACGAGCCTTCCTATATGCTTCACCAGAGCCCTAGATCAGTCTCTCAGCCAATACACAATACTGGCGGCGGGCCATCAGACGGTCCAGTTGCGCAACCGCCTCACCGAGCCAGCCCGGCATACGAACAGTCTCTTCTCCCCGTGACGGCAGAGGACCAAAACGGCAATCTTGCTGCGTACGATCAGGGGAATATGTCTAGACGCCGGGAGAGTGCCATCATGATGGGTGGCTCGTCGGGCTTGCAGCATCAACAAGGATCAAAGAGTCGCCTACGCGAAGAGGCGCATTTCTAAACGTAATATTTGCCGATTAAGACTTTTTCCAATTTTTCAGAAAGAGGTTCAACTTTTTTTCTTTTTTGGATTGATTTAATTGTTATATCATTATTATTTCGCATGCAGGACATACCCCCTCTGTTCAATCATAGCGATGATACCAACGTCAATTTTCAGCTTCAATTTCGTTCTTTTTTTTTTCTCACTCTTTCTCTCTCACCGTGAGTGGTGTTTACAACTATATACTGCGACAAAGCTGGAACAAAATGTCTAAACTAAAGTCGGGAATGGCATGATTCTTCTGCTGCCTTTATTTTTTCTGCGTGTTGTTAATTTCTTCTTTCCAAGTTTCTCCTTTTTTGACCCCTGAAGCATACCATGAATGGATCAGACATGAGAGACATTTACTATTTTCCAAGGCAATCAATCCATTGGCCCTGTGTGTATATATATGTTGCAGTCTAAAATGGCATGGGTATTTTGCTGTACGGGTTTTACTGTAACGCGTGATTTGAGGCGGCTTGACTGGGAGGAACCAGTCGTGGAGTTATGCTGAGCTTTATTTATTTTGGGAGGGGTCAGACGATGTTTTTTTATCGTCTAGTTTTTTTTTTATTTCTCATGCCCTTCCTGAAGAGATGAGGCTGTTTTTTTGCCTGTTGATAACATACAGACAGCATGGAAGTAGTTGCATGGCGGAACCTAGGGGGCGAGCCTAATAAACGAATGGCTACTACAAGACTACAAGACTACAAACTATTATTTTACCACACGCTTATACGAACGAACGTTTTCTGAATGGTATTACCGGACAATGCAGGAAAACGTTGTCTTACACTTTGGAGTGAAATGAGCGTCCTCTTCGTATACTCTGGGATTTCAGACGCCGACCGTCAATACTTGATGCTACCTACTTCAGTATTATCCCTGGTCAAGCTAGCACAACCTCGACGCCGGAGCAACTTCAGAGTAAGATATACATTGGAAGAGGCATCATTGGCCCCTTTCCCGTTTACACCTCTCTCTAGTATTTAGTTCCAGCTAAGTAAATCTGTTTCCAGAATAAATGGTAATCATCTTGTTATTACATATTACATGCTACCTACCTAATATAGCTCGTGACGTCGATCATGGGGGAGAGAAAGAGCTGAAAGGACGTGAGTGAGGCATATATTCTGCACACGCGAGCTTGTATGGATGGCACGGATCAATATTAATAGCAGCTGTACTGCAGAGTAGCAGTAATATAGAAACACGGAACACGGAGTAATAGCAGAAATACCCCAGACTGGAGACTGGTGCGTCTTACATGCATGTTACCCAACGGGAAAGAAATTCCCGCGACCAAAGGGGCAAAAGGTTTAGAAGCTAGAGGACCGGCGGTAATCGAATCGGCCGTTCAGGATTTTAGGCTGTGTCTCCGTCCGGTCGGCAGTACCGGAAGTTAAGTTTTCTTGGGGGTATGTATGCTGGATTTAAGGCGGAGTGATTGAATGAGAATTGAGCGAAACATTCGTTCGAGACCCATCAGGGATGGTAATGATGTATTGTATACCTATATAGGATTGGACTGATTGCAGTTACTGGAATAAAGTCCGCGGAACAAGCGGGCCAATGCATGTGCTCCTTTTTTTTTATGTTTTAAACATCCAATTATGTTATTCTTAAAGACTATTTTAATTTTGCATAGCGAGGGATTATCCTGATTGTCCTGGTCTGATTTCAGGGTGGCACGTGTGGCTTGTTGATGATGCAAAGAACCTGTTTCTTTGCTTCCCTTTCCTTTCTGCCTGTCATATTCAGTGTTAAGCTGAGCCACTTTTTCTTCCTTCTTCCTTCTAAGCCTCGGTTTCTTTGTTCCTCCTTTTCCCCTGACTGAACTTTTTCGGTCAGTCTTCTTCCCCTCCTCCAATTGGTTGGTCCTAGAGGAGAGAGAGCGTGTGAATTGTTTCCTGTTGTGTGTTGGAAAAAGTGTCTCTTTTGTTCTCTCTTCTTTCATCCCCTAAACTCCTGCGGCTTTTGCAGTCCAAGCCTCGCTTACATAACCCGTCCCATGTCCTCTCTGCCTTTAAACCCAGCCAAATTTTAGAATAAAAAAAGAAAAAAAAAAAAAAAAAAAAAAAAAGTCGGCGAGTCGGTGCCAACGCGTCGGAAACTCGGCGGCAGAATCGCCGTTTTCACCCAACTTCCCATAGCCATTTCCACCAGACATTTGGCCCAGGATAGCCTATTCCAGAAATCGAAACCGCCCATCGGAGTTCCGAATCGTGCGTGTCAGTGTGTGTCGTGTGGATTACTCTTCTTCTTCTTTTCTTTTTCTTCTCTTCTTTTTCTTTTTCTTCTTTTCTGTTTGGATGGACCTCGATCCTCGGTTGCGGCCTGGTGGTGATGGCGAGGCGACCGGGGTGAGCAACTCGACTCCAAGTCCGGCTGGGCAGCTGTCGAGCGCTTCGTTGGCTGGGCGCGGTCGAGACAATGCCGACACGCCGTCGACGGTGGGCAGCACGCCGCAGTATCACCAGGCGGATTATGCGGGAGCTGGAGGAGCTGGAGCTGGAGCTGGAGGAGCTGGTGTTGATGCTGGAGGAGCTGCGGGAGGAGACGCTGACGCAGCAGCGGCCGATGCAAAGAAATCGAGAGCTTGCGAGGCCTGTCGCGGGCTCAAAGTGCGCTGCGAACCCGATCCCGTCGACGGCGAGCCCTGCAAGCGATGCCGCAAGGCTGGCCGCAGCTGCATCGTCACCGTGCCCACCAGAAAACGCCAGAAGAAGACGGACAGCCGCGTGTCGGAGCTGGAGAAGAAGATTGACGCCCTGACGGCGAGCCTCCACGCAAGGGCCGGCGTGCCTGTGCCTGGCCTCAACCCGCTGGTTGGACAGCCTCAATCGCAGCCTCATCCTCAATCACAGCATCGACAACACCAATCGGACTCTTCCACGGGCGGATATCAAGCAGGAGGAGGAGGTGGAGGAGGAGGATGGGTCAATCCGGCGGTAGCAGGGACGGTCAGGCCGTGGGGAGGCATGGAAGCATCACCATTGATGCAGTCGGCATCGACACCTCCCACGCGAACACCACAAGACGACGTCTCGACTTTCCAGCCGCCCATCGTCATGGCCGGCCAGAAGCGAAAAGCAACAGCTGACCGTGATTATACCCTCGGACCCGACGACCACAGCCACAAGGCCCTGACGCCGTCGACAAGCTGGTCCGGCTTCTCCAGGCCTACCGAAGGCGACATTGTCGACCGCGGCCTCATCACGATGGAACATGCCACGGGGCTGTTCAACAAGTACAAGGAGCACATGGTGCGACACCTGCCGGCCGTCGTGTTCCCGCACAGCGCCACCGTCATGGAGCTGCGCAAGACCAAGCCCACGCTGTTCCTGGCCATCATGGCGGCGGCCACGGGCGAGAACCACTCGCTGCAGCGCGTCCTGCAAAAGGAGCTGATGCAGCTGTTTGCCGAAAAGGTCATTGTCACGGGCGAGAAGAACCTCGAGCTGGTCCAGGCCATCCACGTCGCCGTCATCTGGTACTGGCCGCCCGAGCACTTTGAGGAGCTCAAGTTCTACCAGCTCATCCACATTGCCGCCGTCATGGCCATCGACATTGGCCTCGGCAGAAAGGGAGGCTCGAGACGCGGCCCTCCTCCCTTTCGCCGCAACCCGCCGCCCGATTCCTCCAGCATCGAGTGTCGCCGGACGTGGCTGACGTGCTTCTTCCTCGCCCTCAACACGTCCATGTCGCTGCACCGCCCCAACCTCATCCGCTGGACGCCCTTTATGACCGAGTGCCTGGAGATTCTCGAGACGTCGCCCGACGCCGCGCCCACGGACAAGTACTTTTGCCACTTGGTGTGGACGCACCGCCTGGCCGAGGAGGTGGGCTCGCAGTTTTCGCTGGACGATCCGTCGACGCTGGTGAATATCACGGATGCCAGGACGCAGTATGCGTTGAGGGCCTTGGAGAGGGACCTCGACAAGTACATTGCGTCGATTCCCAAGAATCTGATGCAGCGTGAGTTTTACTATCTGATTTCTGCTTCTATGGTCATGCTCTACCTTACTGACAATGTAGAAGATACTCTCCGGTTGAACTTTAATGTAGTCAATCTCTATATGCATGAAATGGCCCTTCACTCAGATACCATGTCCGACCAGTGGCGACCCCCCTTCAACACCGACGCCCTCAAAGACGGCATCGTCAACTCCGAGCCCCTCTCCGCAGCCCACATCAACGCCCTCTCAGCATGTCTCACCGCCATCGACGGCATCTTCAACACCTTTTTATCCATGGACGTCCTCAGCATCCGCTGCCTCCCCGTCTTCAACTTCATGCGAGTCGCATACGGCGTCGTCATCCTCATCAAGATGTACTTTTCTGCGTCCAGCCCGGGCTCGGAAATGGGCAAAGTCATTCACAAGGACAACATGCGCGTCGAGTACTACCTCGAGGCCCTGCTCGACAAGTTCCGCGCCACGGCCGCAGACAACAAGTGTCGTCCTGCTGCAAAGTTTCTGGTCGTGTTGGCTATGCTTCGCAGCTGGTTCTTCAAGCAAGGCAAGGAAGGAGGTGGCGGTGGCGGAACAGGATCTTCTGAAGATGGTGATGGCCCCTGTTCGTCATCGTCGCAACAGAAGCAACAACAGCAGCAACAATACACAGCTCAGGGCACACAGCAGCAGCAGCAGTTACAACAACAATTACAACAACAGCAGCAGCAGCAACTACAGCCGCCTCAGCAACAATCTCGACAACAAATTGTCAACACTCCGCTACAACTCTTGTCCGAAGTCGCAACCACCGGCCGAGACGGCAGCGGAGGTGCGGCAGCCCACATCTTCGCCGGCCTCAACGGCGCCAACAGACATCACCCCCAGCCCTTCTTCCACGACTCCGTCTCCTCGACCGGCACACCGCCCGCGTCCGTATCCAACGCCTCCTCCTCCATGCCTCAGCAGCAGCAACAACAACAAATCCCGGGCCCTTCCCCCTCGTCCACGGATCTCGATTCCGCCATGGCGCCGGCTTTCCCGCCCTGGATGTCTGCCGCTCAGCCCATGGTCCCCACAGACTTGGACGTGGGTTCCATGCCGACGAATTTCGACATTGAGGGCTTGAATCTCGCGGCTTCAGATTTGTCGGACATGTACGAGAGCGGAGCAAAGATTGTCATGAACGAGCCTTGGTTTACGGATGCTTTCCAGGGGCTACCGGACCCGAATCTATTCCCCTTTTGATTTTATCCAATAGAGCATTTGGGAAGAAAAGAGGAGAAAAGAATGATACCTATGGAAGATTGAAAATATAGTGCTCATCTATATATGGGGATATATATGGTCAAGCAAACAAACCCCCTTTTTCGAGGAGTTTCGTTGGAAGGGACTATTTTATGGATTTTTCTTTTTTGGATTATTGTCCCTACGTCTTGCGGATTCCGTGGTGAGCGAATCCGACAGAGCCATGTGTTATTGATCTTGATTGGAATGGACTGGAATGGTCTGGGCCGGACTGAACTGGCTAGTTTTGTATATGGATGGAAGCGGTGTTTTGCTATGTTTGTCTGTCTTTCTTCTTTTTTAATGATCAAAATACCCATCTTTCGTTATCTCCAACTACTACTCTGCCCAACGAGCAATTGTACGTACTTACAACGCATAATGTGTATAAAGTATTTATTACTGGCCGCTAGTAGTTCAAAGAGTCATGCACAAATATTACGTGAATTGTCCCCATGTATTCTAGATAAGTTTCCATTTCAAGTTGTCCTATCAAAATAACAAGCTAGATAAAAGCAATCTTTCTCAGTTTGAAAATCATATGGCCAGGATGCTCTCCCAGTTCCTAGAGTTGGCCATTTCCCATCGCTAAAAAACCAGCAACGCCGACGCCAGCACATTGTCAGTCAGACAATGCCAGAAGCCTTGTCCTGCAGCTCGTAATTCATTCTTTGGCTTTCGTCTGCCAATATGTCTCCCCTCTCCCGTTCAAATCTGATAGTTATACATGAGATTGAAAAATAAGCCCCAGCTTATCCTTGTGTCCCTTGTCCCATCTCCCATGGTAGTTGGTGACGAAAATGTCAAAAATCCCACGCATCCGCTGCGGTGTCACGGAAATCCCCCACGCAAATTAGCAAAATTGTGCATCTGATCAGTTGGCTCTTTTTTCCTGCATCGTACTCGTACGATGTGTCTGTTTTATAAGTTTTTTTTGTGGTTCGTTCCAATCGAGTCAACGTCAACTGCGGTGCACAAAAGTGTACAGCCGCTGAGTTAATAAATCAGCGGCGTAAGTAGCCTCAAATCGTACAAAAACGAATAAAAGAACCAGACGCCGGTAAAAGCACGGAACTCTGACGCAGTAATAATCGAAAGGTCGCTAAAGAAGAGCTGAATGGCGCAAGAATATGCCAGCGCGAAGACAAGCAGAACGCAATGCAGTCATGAATGGACCAAGCAGTACTTTCGCAGCTTCCAGTGGCGATTATAGTCATAGCAGTAGCCGTGGAAGTGCAGTGGACTTGACATGCTCAGTCCATGTAAAAGTCGCCCTTGAGGATTCTCTCCTGGAAAGCATCGGGCTTGGGGCGTTCCGGCTGCTTGGGCTTAACAGAGGCTGCCTGTGCGGGAGGCTGCGGCATGTCGGAGATGGACTTTGAGCGGTCATGGTTTGGCATTGCTCTCGGTGGAGAGTGGGAACCGGTGCCCTGGAAGGAAAAGGAGGGGCGAGCCCCGGTGACGGAGCTCTCGGCGCGGGATCTAAGCTGTTCGGACCAATTGAAGCCAAACTGGTCTGTTCGAGAAGGGGGATTGTCAGAAGAGACTCTTGGATGCTGGACGTTGCTTGCCTGAGGATGAGCGGATGGGGGCCCGTGAAGGCTGGACCGGCGTCCGACTCCGACCGCGGGCCAGGCGCCAGATATGGAAACCTGACGCTGGTGCGGATAGGACTGGGACATCAACGGTGTCCACTGGTCCCCATGACCACCCTGGTTGCGTCCGAGGGATGACGGGGGAGGAGACTTTGGGGATTTACCATTTCCGGGGCTGCCTCCTGTGCGCAAGTTTCTCATGGCATTGTTGCCTCCAAAACTCATGTGGCGAACAAAAGGCGTGGTCGGGGCCGTTCTAGGGCCGTTGAAGGCATCTTCGTCCTCAATGACGTTCTCGTCAATGGGATCCGAATTATTCGAGTTGGTGGACATGCTGCCACGTCGCATGAAGGAGGAGTTGTTTGAGGGAGAGGTGCCAGAGAGACCAATGGTGGTGATTGACAGGCGCCGTCTCTGCGAGTCTGCATTGCCGTTGCTGGGGAAGGGAGGTCCGCTTGAGCCATTCGACGGCCCTCGCTGGAACAGGTTGGACAAAGCAGCCTGGGTGATTGAGCTGCGGCGGTGGCCGGAGCCGGGACCGGGGCCGTTTGTGTCGGACATTGCTCTGTTGTATTTGTTGTATGGAGGGGTGGAGAGAAGAAATAAAGTCTGAGAGCCGAGGAATATGAATAGAGAAGGTATAAAGGCAGTGAGACGGAGGGAAGCAGAAGGAAAAGAGACGGCGGGTGACGGTGGTTTGGTGGTGACGGGAAGCCTAGGGCGGTGGTTTTGCGAGTCGTTTGTCCGTGATTTGGATGGTTTGTCCGTGGTGGGCGGTTAGACGGTGATAGTCGAGGAGAACCGCAGAATTGCCCGCGGGGGATGACGTGTGCGACAAAGGAGAGAGACGACGACGATGATGTCGTTGGTGATGTGTAGATAGGAAGAAGAAGAAGGAAAAAGAGAAGAGAGAAGAGAGAAGAAGAGAGAGAGAGAGAGTAGAGTTGAGAGGCGAAAAGAGGGGATGGCGGCACGTGGAGGATGCTTATATAGATGGTCCCAGATGGAGCGAGTTTGAACTGTCTGGGGGGCCTGTTCTGTCTTGTGTAATGTGTACAGTAATGAACAGACACAGAATAGAGCAGAAACAGACACGGACACAGGGCGGGAACGGTATCGTCGGGCACGGAGAAGAAGCGTCGAGGATACAGTAGCGTTTGTTTCGTTCGTTGGCTTTGCTTGACTAAGTCGGAAGAGGGAAAAGTTGGCTGTCGAGTATCTTTTGGCGAGAAATGAGGTTGGTGGCATGTAATAGTAGCAAAAGGGAAGGAGGAGATCAGCATCTGGATATTAATGGACAGCGCTGGCCGTGGCGTGGAACTGGCTGGAACTGGGGTGGTGTGAGGTGGTGTGGGAAGTTGCGTAATCGCGGGCGTGCGTGGAGTGATTTTGGGATGTATGGCTTCATGATGGTTGACGATGATTCACTGGAGGGGGGACTTGTACTAGCAGGTATCTGTGCAAGTTGAGCTGGGTACTCTGCAGCGGTAGATACATCATGTCCGTCGAGAGGACAGGTCTTGTGTGATTGTGCGAGTTAGCAAAATGAGGGATAAGCACTAGCAAAAGGTACTCCAGCGAGGTGTGGCCGCAGGTACCTCGGTGAGGGGATGCCTTGGCAGGTGGGCTGACAGCAAGTTAGCGATCCCGGTCGAGACTGCGGTGCCCCGAGAACGGAGATCAGCTCAGGCAGCGCCCCGGAAGCAGCGCCGATGCAGCCATGCAACGCCTCCTTGTTGGCTTTTGAACGCATGACTTTTGAGACGCGTTGGAAAAAGGAGAAAGAGGATGAAGCAAGGCAAGTTTGACAAAAGGAAAGAGGAGAGGAGAGGAAGACAGAGGAAGAGAGAAGAGGTGGATAGGACAAGACAACAGAGGAGAAGGGAAGAAGAAGCAACAAGACAAGACAAACAAGAATTCTCCGAAAGGTCTGGGCACGGTCAAGGTCAAGCACAGGACACGCTGCCAGATTCATCTTCACGAAGCCCGTGCATGGATGCATCTCCAATAAGGCTAATGTATGAGCATGTACCAAGGCATGCGACACGGAGTAATGCCGCGTTCTCGACGTCTGTCCAGTCCAAGCGGGGTGATGACTTGGTGCATGGCATGGCATGTCGCTGCACGATTACGGAGCACGGAGGACGCCGCCCTTTTGCTTGCTGCTTGTACGGAGTATACCCGTGATGCCGTGCAAAATATACGAGCACTGGTGATGGACACAAAAGAAGGTGTAGGGCACTGCACATATGATGGCACTGCTGACGAAATGCACAAGCAAGGGGGGCACCGACGGCTGCGGCTCCGGAAGAGAACCAGCAATGAACGGGAGCGCGGATGGGCAAGACAACGGATCTTATATCTGTCGGACCCCTAGGCTGCCCAGACATCTCATTCGCGAATCCTTATTAGCAACGCAACGTGGCAACAGAACGAGTTAAACGACCACCGTTGCAGGCGCGAATCAGACGAAAGAGAAGAAGAGTAGATACTCCGTTGAGACAAAGACAACACGCAAGGGGGTGCCGACGATAGTTTGTCTCGGCCGTGTATCGCAAATAGCCAGCCCGTTTGGGCGGCTGGCCAACCATGGCCGCAGCCAAGAGATGCAGTAGGTGTGCCCAAGAGATATAGAGACCTCTAGCTGCCGCCGCCCATGGAAGCGCTATCCGGTCGCTCGCTAAAACTAAAAGACACCGTCGACATGGGGAGAGACGCCGGAACAGAGCCAAGGGCGAGAAGCTTCCAGGCTTTCTTCCTGTCCAACCATTGTCTGACGATTAGCCCGGGCTGTGACGTGCCAATCACCAATCAAGCATTCGGTCGTCGGTCATTGATCAATCAATTGTCTTGCCTGCGATCGGTGGGGTCTGCGGGGGCAAGCGGCCTCGATCTGACGGCGTGGGTCGTGGGCGAGATGACTGTCTGGGACCCCTAGACTTGCTACCGTACGTTGGTTCCTTGGCCTTTTTCTCATCATCTCTTGGATAGATCTGGCGGGGGGGACTCGACTGCCTTGTTTCGAATTCTGTCAAGGGCGCCGCAAACTTGGTCAGGGAACTGGCCTTGTCTTGCTGTTGTCGCTAGCACCATAGCACCAAGGTGGCAAGATGGTCGAATAGCTTGCGACGATCGCCAGGCTTGTTTTGCGCACCAAGTGCGGAGTGCTCGGTACCGCCGTCATCACCTGGTCTCTGCAAGCAGCATCCGTTCACGATGCGATTGTCATACCGTCGTCGTTCCCTTTGCAACCTCTACCTCACCCCCATCATGTCGCTCTACTTCATTTTCCCATCTTCCCCCCTGCTTCGCGACTGTTGAACCGCTACTCACGCGCCCGCAGAAACCAAAGCGAGGGGTGGCAGCACAGCACTGTTCCAGTCGCGATCTCATAAGTAGCTTGTACTAGCACAAGTGCTTCCTAGCGCAGGTGGGAGTGGACTTGGTTCGCGCTTCTCTGTTGGTCGGTCCAGGATTGATATATGCAGATATGCAGCAGTGTGCTGAAGTTCTCTGTCCGCTGCACGTGCAAGAGGAAGAAGGTGAGCGAAGCCTAAGACAAAACGGTCGGTAGTCGCCCAGTAGCGCCAGCGTTGCGTGTTGACTGCGACACACCTTGGCCGCGATGATGATGAGATGGGATGGATGGAGGGATGGATGGAGGGATGGATGGAGGAACGAATCCGACCGCAACCAAGCGACCTTGAGGTGTGAGGCAGGGAAGCATGTGTGCCCAACGCAGTGCCCAGCGAGGGCATCCATCCGTCATGCAGTTTCTTTCACCGACTGATTGAGACTGACTGACTGCATGTTGTCATTTTGTTTTATGTGTGTGTGAGCGTGTGCGCATGTGTGTGATGTGTCTTTGAGGTGAACATGAGCGTGGTGAGCGTGGGCATAATTCGGCATTGCAGCAGGTCGCTCAAGAGATGCAAGACTGAACAACGACTCTTCCGTGCAATCTCCCCCTCCCCTTCCCAGGCATCTACACCACCAGCAACTTGGCACTTTTGCTCCCCCTTTCTTGCACCTCTCCTGAGAAGCCCCCAACTTGCATCAACACAGCTAAGCTCTCATCTCATCACGATCGCTTCTCACCACTTATCATGTATCGCTTCTGCTGATCCATCCCATTACCGAATCAATTCCAGTAATGCCAAAAGCAGCTCCCAGGTCAGTCAGTCCCCTCGCCACTCGCTCCTCCCCCTTGCAATTCAATTCAGTTCAATTCAGAAATCCAGCCAATCATCCAATCACCGCTCAACCAGGTTCCAAAAGCTCAGAGCTAAAATCTGCCGGCCACGGGCCGCTGCCAATCAGCAACTGGCCGGCGTTGCAGCAGAAGGAGCCACTCAAGGTGCCACCCAGCATTTTGCGGGGTAACGGTTAGCCTTGACGCAGGCAGGGAAGGAGCACACGCCCCCGCTTTTGCTCGATGCACACCCTCCCCTCCGTCACTGTCTCCTTCCTTGGTTCCAGCCAGTTCTCTTGCTGCTGCTTTCTACTGCACTGTACTTGTACTTAATGCTCGACTGTTACTGCTGCTTCTTTCTCTCTATTGATTGAATACAGCCTAAGATACAGGTGATGAATCCACACTGCCCGCTAACAGCCCTAGACTGCAACTGCCCCCCGACAGCCGCAGTAGCCTATGCCACTACTGCACTGCTAACACCTAGCACGACTGAATACCTCCCCGGTACCGCACAATAGCAGCAGTCGCGGCGCGGTAACTCCGTATCTGCGACGTGCACCGCAGTAGCACCGTGCTAGAGCAATGCACACTTCCAGGACCAGGCGCCGCTAACCCGCATCCAGCAAGTGCAAACGTATGGACCTCCAACCTCTTGTTTGCTGCTATTGAAGATCGCCAGAATGCAGGAGAATGACAGGAACAAGGAGAAGAGGCCATATTTTTTGTCTTTTGCATTGCATTAGTACTCGGCAGTTTACTCGTACCATGACAGACCGGCAACTGGACGGACAAACTACGACAAAATACGAAGCAATGCGACACAATGCTGCAATGCAGGGCGGCTGTCGCTTTGAAATCCGCCTCTCTACCGTGTCCGCCTTTTATCGCAGCTACTCTACAGTATGGATTGAATTGGACTAACACTCCCGTATCACCAGATGGTCTTCCATGCGCTTCTGCAAGATGAGGCAAACGCAAACAAAGTCCATCTCACGACTTCCAGCACTTGTCAGCAGTATTCCGGCTCTCGATCGCTTCATACAGTATTCTTTGCAAACGGATGCAGTACCGTATGAGGCAACAATTACCGTCTATTATCTCCCCGCTCGCAAATCACACAGCTAAAGTTTGTCGATCAACGCAAATCATCAACCACCAACTCCGTATCCAGCCAGAACTTGGTTTCAACTTGATACATAGAGTACACAATGCAACATCATCAGTCCATCGCAATGTACGAGTACATACTCTCTGCCATGATGGCAAATTGTGGTCTCGCAAGTTCTGTCAACTTGTCGACTACGCATGTGATAACCGACGATTGATGTAGCACCGACAGGCAGCATGGCATGACCCGTGCGTTTGAAACCCCCAAATGCAACGGCACTTCTCTCCTGACATTGTACACGTTACGTGTTTTTCATCTATCCGAGTACTACGGCAGACGGAGACAGTCGAGCCATGGACCGCTCCAGAGTCGAGTCGAGAAGCCGTCTCTCGCAGCCGCCATGATATAATGTCGTTCCCTTTGATTCCCGAAATAGGCTTTCAAAAATTAAAATGGCGGTTTCACCTTGTCTGCGGCCCCCCTCTCGCCACTGCCACTGGGCAACATGACAGCTCGTCCCGCGTACAAACGCACCGCTTCCATTGGCTTCATCACTGCAATAAGCTGATGGTGGCGCCATCCTCTGCTGCCGACAAGCATCAATCCGCAGCCTGGAAGCGTTGGACCCCTCGCCTCGCCTCGCCTCGCACTGTCGCGAAACAGAAATGGCATTCCCTGCAAAAGGTGAGAGCAAGGGTCGGTGCTAAAGGCTGGGCCGCCCGGGGTCCCTCTTCCTCGTCATGCAAGATTATCTCTGCCTATGAGATTCCGACCCAAGGATGCACTAGCACCTCTTAGCCAGCGACTTGTCAAAAAGCCAATCTGCGGGGAATGCAACGAATGACCCTTTTAACCTTTGGCGTCTTAGCACACTTGCTGAGTCGAGGCGGAGCACGTGGCCTTATGTGATAAGAGATGATGGAGCTTTGCTCGAAACTCTGATTCTTGATTATGAGGACGTTGGCTGTTGACTATTTGACTATCTCCATATTGATGTAGGAGATTGGTTGTAAGCCCGCAGATCTCTTGCCAACCGTAGGAGAGGCTGAAACGAAGCAAGGCTTGAAGCAACAAACGACACGTTGCGCGTAGCGACAATGGGATCATGATGAGATATCTCGTATGACGAGTTTCCAATTGAATCGAGATGGCGCGTTTGTCTAAAAGAGGAGAAGATGATGTGCTGCAGGTGAGTCTCAGGTTATATGCATTGTCCCGATGCACTATGACGAAGGCTGTGACGAAGGCTCCCAAGGTGTACCTTTCTTTCTATGTCGATGTATCGGTAAGTCAATGAGGAGAAACAATTCGCCACCGGTCCCTGACCAACAGCGTTTGAATCCCTTTTTCTGGAGATGTGTGATAGGCTACATGTCCAACCCTTTATATCCCATGTACAACATAGCAGCCTTGCCTTGTAATTGGATGTACTGTACCACAAATTCCCTCTCTAGGATCGATCTTCGCAACGATCGACAATGAGCATTTCCAATACAAACAGTCTCAAATCACAACACACAACGCCTCACATTTAGGATCAGGTCGTATGCCGTGTTGTGAACTGAACTAATCTGCAAATGCATCGCGAAATGCATAATTGTTTGTAGTTGGGTATTTGTTTGTATTAAAACTTCAGTCTGTTTCTTCGGATCTAGTTCTGGCACCATTGTCGCGTAGCATCTGGACTGTCTTGTCGTGGCCCTCAAATAAAGCAGCCTCGAGGGCATTACCATATTCTCCCCCTTGAGCATTAACATTGGCACCCTTATCAAGCAGCATTTGCACTATTTTATCGTGTCCCTGTTGTGCAGCGGCCTGGAGCGCATTACCGTAATATCCGCCTTGAGCATTAACATTGGCGCCGTTATCAAGCAGCATTTGCACTGTTTTATCGTATCCTCTTCTTGCAGCCGCATTGAGAGCATCGCCGTGGTATCCGCCTTGAGCATTGACGTCGGCACCCTTATCAAGCAGCATTTGCACTATTTTATCGTGTCCATAGTATGAAGCCGCCTGGAGAGCATTACCGTAAAATCCTCTTTGAGCATTGACGTTAGCTTTATTATCAAGCAGCAACCGAACTATTTTATCGTGTCCCTGTTGTGCAGCCGCCTGAAGAGCATTACCGTAAATTCCACCTTGAGCATTGATATCGGCGCCCTTATCAAGCAGCAACTGAACTACTTTATCGTGTCCTTCACTTGCAGCCAGCTGGAGAGCAGTACCATGGAATTTTCCGTCTTGTGCATTAACATTAGCACCGTTATCAAGTAGTATCCGGACTATTTTATCATGTCCAGAAAGTAAAGCAGCCTGGAGAGCATTGGCGTAATGAGGGCTCGGAATATTGATGTCGGCATTTTTTTCAAGCAGCATCTGAACTATTTTATCGTGTCCTTTGCGCATAGCAGCATATAGAGCAGTGCCGTAGTAACCGTGTCGAGAATTAACGTCGGCATTCATTTCAAGCAGCAGCTGCACCGAAAAGCATGAGCCACCAAGTGACGCATAATATAGAGCTAACGAGATGTCGTATCGCCTTGGTTGCTTGGTGCGCTCCCATGGGTCTTCAGGGTCGTAGAGTGTATAGCAAATTGTCCAAGCATCCTCGCAAGAGAAGAATTCCGCAATGAGTGCACAAAGTTGTTTGTTACCACTCTCTACCACGACGGTATGATCCATCCAGTATCGTGCAGAATATTGCGCCAACCAGCATGACTGTCGAAGCTCTTTGACTGGAAGGATTTTGTCTAACTCCAATAAGTATGCAAGGCATACTTGTGCAATGGAGGCACTGGCGGTCGCTTCGTTAAAGTCTTTGCCAAAGCTTTGTGGCACTCTATTAGACAATAGATAGTCTTTCACTGATAGGTGCGCAAGCTGAAGTTCCTGTATGGCCTCCCCATTTTCCCAACTGTTGACATTCAATACAACCAAGCTAGAGCAGTAGCTTAAAATCTCCTCAGGGACCGGCATTCTGTTTTTCTTATTAAACCGAGGGCTGTTGGCTGTGTCAACAGCAATCGCGTCAACGGCTTCTTCGATTGTCAGTGGGCGTTCGGAATATGCTAAAAACTGCAGAAGACGTCTTGTATGATGCTCATGCTCGCGAGGCAAGTTGGTCAAGATCCGAGCATATGTTTCATCCAACGTCATAGGTAGGGAGTTGAGTGCTTTTTGTAAAGTCGGATAGTCAAGACAATTTTCGAGTGCGTCTAGCTGGCACGTAACCCAGCGAAACCTATGCTGTATTAGTAGATGCATATGTTAAAAAAATGATGAGCTTCTTACATTCCATTTGCCTTCTTTGATAACCCGATTTCAATTTCAACTTCAACTTCAGGCCACTCGTTCCATCTTTTCAGAGGGCCTTTATTATTTCGAACTCTTGCTTTAACGTATGCAAATATATCATCCGCAATTCGCCCGCTCTGAATTGGAATAATGTCCTGGTTGCGAGCCCATGATTTGATAGAAGACGTGATATCTTGTTCAGGACGCGCTGTGACTAAAAAATGGACGTTGGGATGTTGGAATGTTGCCAAAGCTTCTATCGACGTCAAGAGGCCTCCGGTTGGGTATTCTTTGCGCGTCTGGCACTCATCGAGTGCGTCGAGGACTATGTGGATTTCACCAGCGCGTTGCAACATGCTTTGGAACGTCGCAAAGAGCCCATCGGTACTTGGTTGACTTGTTCCTTTTCCGCAAGAGTCATAAAGCGAGTCCAAGGGCTTTTGAGCATCCTTGTTTTTGCAATAGAGCTGCAGGACGAGCGAGCTGAGCGCCTTGCCGAATAGCTGCTTATCGCTATTGGTAAAGTCGAAAAAGAAGTATAGTACGCTCTTAAAACTACCATCTTCCAGATCTTTGACGATGATAGAAGACAGCACGGTCTTGCCGCACCCGGGAATGCCTTGAAGCCACAAAAAGGAGTTGGGCTGGGATTTCCACGAAGAATATTCTTCACTCTGAAGAAGCCATTGGCCAGAATCTCCATGGCGCAGCTTGATGCCATTGTTATAATTTTCTGATGCATTGGGGGGGGAAAGCCATCGACGAAGCTCTCGAAGATGGTCACTTGTCTTTAAGGTTTGAACATCAGTGCGGGTTTCTCTGCTGCTCTCCGCCATTTGAGCAACTTCCTGGCTAACTGGAGAGATTGGTCATTCTTTAGAATTCTCAACGGTGAAATACATGTGACTAACGGTGCTGAATGACTTCCTCTATCGGCGGGGTGCTCTCAACATCGTCCCCGTCTATGGCGGTTAACAGTTCCTTTGCAAATGCAGCCGCAGTCGCAGCTGCGTAGTTCTGCCAGCGATCGTTCTTGTGTGTATCTGCATAGTCACAGATTCCCCGGATGACTATGCATGGAAAGTTATTCATTAGTCCAGCTGCTTCCATCTCAAAGCAAATGCACCTCTCTTCAAGTCGCTGCAGGACCTCGTCTCGAGAAACGCCGTCTTTTATGACCGAGTTCCCTGACGCAATGACACCGTAGTGAATCGCCGGCTTGGAAGATCGGTCCTTGCGTTTTATCTCTTTAGTAGAATCGCAATGTGCACACGCGCTGTCGTGGCCGGATGCCGTACCGTCAGTGATTGGGATGTCTATATGAATAGAGGACGCCATGAACAACCGATCATTTTCTATGCCCTGGTAGATGAAGCCTGAAGCTCCGTTCTCTCCCGGTTCTTTCATCTTGGGGTAGCGCTGCACCATGTCCTCTAGGATCGTGGGTATTTGGGAGTCTTCTATCAAGTGCTCTGCCTTGAGCGCTTGAAGGCCTTTCAGAAGGACGTCCGGAGGCGCGCTGAGCTGACCAACGCGCTCAAACTTGCCGTCCTTTTTCAGTTTACCGAGGTCGTACTGGACCACTCCTGGGCTTGTTCCAGTGGGTTGGCTAACGACGACATCACCAAGGCGAATGTCAATTTTGTCCTCCAATCTAGGGACTCCGGCCCCAATGCCGACCATGAGGCCAAACCGGATATGTGGAAGAGAGCTAATCATGCTCGAGGCGGTCGTGGCTGCGGATACGGTGCCATAGCTTCCAGCGGCCAAAGACGCAATAACAACATTGTGCTCTCCAATCCTGCCCCAAGTATAGGTGTTGGTGTCTTTTGGGTGCTTTTTAAATTTCTGCGGCTTCCGGTGCTTTTCATCGAGCACAGCCATTGCTGCTGCCAGCTCCTTGTCAAGAGCGGTAATTATGCCAACGGTATACTGTCGAGAATCTGAAAGCTGCGGCGTCGCCATGCTGTCTTTTTATAGAGGAAGACTCTTCGTTATATCTTTCGTCGTCGTCCGATGGGAAAATGCAGTTAATAAATCCACGTAGGCGTGTCTATTTGACCAACTCATAGAGGATAATAGGAAAACAAGATTTGGGTGCGTATTAAAATCTCAGAGCCTCGTCAAGTTGGGCATCAACGCGCCCATGTTCAGCGTCGGACATCCTTGCAACAGGCTCTTGTTTGCCAGCGCCCATGATTAGCATCTCGGTACTGTATCTCGACCAATGAGGGTGATTGGGTGTGTTGATTCCGAAAGTTATTGGATATATATATCAGCCTCATTCTCTAAGCCTTTGATACGCACGAGAGAGAAATTCCTATTGTGCCGCACCATATGTATAACAAAACAGGTCGTTCAAATATGGATATCGTATATCTCTTCTCAATCAACTTCGTCTCTGTCCACACAACCCACACATTCCGCAGTCTTGCGCATTCACATACGCTGTGCCAGTACACGCCGCGCTCTCGCACCGCCAGCCCGGCGTGAGAGATGGGTAGAGGACGTTTGCGCATATTGCGCACGTCACTGCTGCTTGAGAATTTTCAAACGAGCACATTGAGCAGATTAACGATGATGACCTTGTTTCTGCTGTAGTTTTGTTTGAAGGGATTTTTGAGGAAGTTGGCGTCGTCGTAGTAGTAGAGGTTGATTGTTGATGTCTTTTGTCCGTTGAAGGTGAATCTTTGCCCGGACCTGATTTGGTAGATCTGTCGTTTTTGGGTTTGACGTGCGGTATCGATGATAGTCGTATAGATGAAAGGTCACCATCATCTACAGCCTCCGGCTTGATAGACAATCCCGTTTTCTCCCGTTTTACCACATGTTCTGGTTGTTGTTGACTCTTCTCAGATGAACGAAGGTTTAACGTCTCGCCATCTAGATCCCGTTTGACCTTTCGTCTGCCGAACAATCCGTGTAATTGATCGAGTTCGTTCCTCGCATCGGCGTCATTCGCATCTTCGTCTTCGCACACCTTGACCATGTCGCCGCCATGTCTATCCACCATCCTCGATCCATCCACATCAACAGCCGCTTTGGTATCCGCACCCACCTCTTCGTAGTCGCTTGAATCACCATCAACATCCCAATTCTTCGTATCCTCATCCTCTTCTTCCTTCTTAGTATCTTCCTTGCTCTGCTCAAACCTCGCCAATGCCGCAGCTGCACGGAGTTCTCGGCCCCGTAAACTGCCCGCCACCCTCGGTTTCGCAAGCACCCGCTTGCCCTTCTCGAGCTTCACCTTTTCCTCCTCATCTGCTCCAAGCGCAACGCCATTCTTGCCAAACTTTTTGAGAATCCTCTTCTCTTTTCTCTCTTCATACGTCAACACAGGTTTAGCCTTGCGTTTCCTCCCCCGCGATCGATATGTCCCGCCGCAAAGATGTTCCGGAAGAATTTCATCCGCCAGAACGCTGTTCTTCTCCCACTCTCCAGTCCCCAGCGTAGTTCCTCTCCCCCAAAGGCCATCGCCTTTGTATCCTTCTGCCCATAGCTCCTGCATCTGCGCGGCATACTGGTTCCGCACTGCCCAAAACGCCCTGGAATGGTTCATCTGCGCGCAGTGAGCCAGCTCATGCATCATGACCATCTGGACATAATTGAACGGGAGCCACCGCCCGCTCCCGGGGGATTTGAGAACCAGCTGTATCACCTCTCCAGCGTTAAAATTGCGGCCCACGAATTCCCGATTAGGAGGAAATTCCTCCAACGACATGACGTGAATATGGTGCTTGCGCATCACAGGAACTTTTTTAAATAGGTCAGTCCAAAATGCTCAGAAAACGGAAATAGGAATGGAAATGCTGAGAATGGAAATGATGGATATGGAAAGGGATGGGAAAGTAGAAAACAGGGGTTCCCAAAAACTCACGACATTGCGCTGCAATCCTCTCCAAAAAGTCCTGCGCGATTTTCTCATCCCGTCCTTTTAACGGTTTAATAAAGACAATATGCGGATTGGGCTGTGAAGTTTTCACGTTAAGACGCTGGATGCCGATTGGCATGATGAACAGTCTATGACGATTAATCGAAATGAGAGAGTGTTGATGCACCAATCATCAAAAGAGGGGTGAATGCAATGATAATTCACGGAGAGAAGATGACAAGAATGAGTATTCACGAGTATTTGGGATGCACGCGAAGAAAGTGAAGTGACGAAAAGTTATCTTGGGTCGTGTCCTGATTCACGCGGGTTTCTTACACGAAATCAGGTGACCAGTGGCGATTTCTTTTCTACTACTAACTTTATTCACATTAAGAAGCAACGACCAACATTAACAATACATCATTCAATAAATATTAAAAATTGAGAGATATATAATTTATCATCACCGAAATCAGGCAAAAATCATGCAGTTATAAATTTGTTTGTGAAAATAACCATCAATTCCAAAACTCGCGATTCCTAGGTCTGTATATGCAGTTGTGTGATCTACCCTAAAAAGACAACGAATGCTCCGCCTTGCTAATGCATTTATCATGTAACTGGCGATTGATGGCAAACATGACGCCGTACCCGATGCTTCGCTAAATGACAATCCTGTTCGTCCCCAGTGCCTCTTCACCCGCTGCTGCTCGCCTCCATTCTGGCTTCTACATTTGCAATGGCGCTCTGCACAGCACTGGTCAGGTCTACGTGGAATAGGGGGTTGTCTAAGCCGCTGATGATGGCCCCCTTTCGTTTGTATGCCGGCTTGGGAGATCCTCCCAGTTTCTCTGCGAGATTACTAGGCTTCGGTGCTTCCTCCTCCTCTTCTTCAACCATGGCAGTGGCCTTTGCCATTTCCTCATCTCCTGGTCTGTTAGCCATGATGGATAGTTCTCTCTTAATGGCGTTCTCCTCAGCAACTGCTGCAGCAGAGTCTTTCCCACCAATCTCTGCGACGCTAAAGATGGACTTCCACCTATGCGGAATGCCATCCCGCGACTTTGTGGGAGTGCCGAATCCTCCGGCGATGAGCGCTCGCCTGGTCCATCGATTGTTGATGCATGCGACATGCCAGTCTACAACATCTGGGGCTGTGTATGTATCAAGCACGTTCCGCACATCGATAAGGCGCTGGACCGACGTGATGTCCACATTGTTAACAGAACTAAAGTCGAGAATGATGGCCTTTAGGGTCGGCTTTTGGCCGTGGTCGGGATCCTCCCTGGACTTTCCAGGCTTTCTAGGACCTGGATTGCTCCACGACCGGTCGCCCTTGCGCTCATACGTCTCTGGGCTGGTTCGGCGTGTGCGTGCATAAATGAAGCCAGTCAAGTATTCCAAGGCATGGTTCGCACTTGGATAGTTGAATCCCTCGGAGAAACGGTAGATGAAGATGCCGGGGTATGGGTTTTCCAACTCCACCTCGGGGTTGGAGCCATCGCCGTGGTCAAGTGGCAGGAAAATATTCCTGGCAGCATTCTCAACCCTTTCCTCAAATGTGCCATATTCTCCCACCAGCTGTTTGTGGTTGTCTCCAATAACATGGTCTCCCAGGACGGAGTGGACTTTGACTTTGCCCAAGAACCGCCCACGCGCCTTCAAGATGCGATATATGAGAACGGCAGCCGATATGCACACAGTGGCATATAGGCCGTCCTCAATCTGCGCAAACACGCTAATGAAGACACCGATGAAGAAGATGAAGACTTCTATGGGCGAGACTCTCCAAAACTGATACAGCGTGTTTGGCGGCGTGATCAAGTCTCCGACGGCGTGGATAATAACCGCTGCGAGGACTGCGTTAGGAATGTAAAAGAAGACGGCCGTCAAAAGGTAGGTGGCCAAGAGCACAACCAGTCCGGTGACGAGACCCGCAGCAGGAGTTCTGACGCCAGCTTTTGATTTGATGGCTGTTCGGCTGAAAGACCCGGTGGACGGATAGGCCCCGAGAAATGAACCCAACAGGTTGGTCATGCCAATAGCAACCATTTCCTGCGATGGGTCAATGGTGTAGTTATTCACCCTGCCAAAAGACTTGGAGATGGCAATATGCTCCACCAACATGACGATAATACCTGCCGGAAGGTGGGAAGCAAACTTTGACACAAGTCCTGGCGGGATCTCTGGAACGCCGCCGTGCTCGAATCCTAAGGTTGATGGTTAGAACATGATCATCTGGGTGCTTATACCCTAGAAGGCTTTTGAACGCTTACCTTTCGAAACATTCCCTAGAACACGAACCGCCGGGTGGGATTTCCGATCCTTGTTGATCAGCCAACTCACCATGGTGTAAAGGAGAATGACAAACACTGTCCGCATGGTGTTGAGGAAAAAGATGATGCGCTTATTGGCTGGCCACCTTTCGGCGGCCCTGGTCAAAGTGTATCGTATCAGATAGAGGAAGAAGAGAGCCGTAAGACCAATGGCGGCATCAAGCTTGGTTTCAGGCAAGTGCTTCAGTGTGTTGATGATGACCTTGTATGCCGGGTCTCTGTTGGAAAAGCCTGTGATGCCAAACAGCGAAGGGAGTTGACTGGCGCCAATAGTAATGGCAGACCCCGTCATGAAAGCCGAGAGTGAGGTGATGGAGATGAGATCGACTATCCAGCCCAGGCGAAGGAGGCCAATGCCGAGAACAATACTACCGGCAATGACAGCAAACGCCGTAGCCACGATGTTTGGAGGAAGATCACCTCCGACGTCTGCCACTACCGTTCCCACGACAGTGGACAAGACAGCTACCGGTCCAATAGATATATCTTTGGATGTGCCAAAGATCCAATAAGTGACTGGTCCAATAAAGGACGAGTACAGGCCAAACTGAGGAGGGAGATTTGCCAGCAATGCATAAGCCATGCCCTGAGGGACGAGGACAGCTCCGATAGTGATGCCGGCCACAACATCGCCGGCGAGCCATTGCAAGTTGTAATGAGGAAGCCAAGAGATGAAGGGAAAGAGAGACTTGACATAGCTTACGACCTCGCCCCGCGTAGGAAGCTGGTCATTGAGCCATTCTGAAGTAGTAGGCGGCCCTTCGATTGGATGTTCGCCGCTTCCAGTAGAAAAGACAGACTCGCCTCTGGTGACTGGGTCTTCGTACCGGTAAGCATTTTCGTCGTCATCCTGGAGTTTGATGCCCAAGACTCTGGCCAATGCCTGCCCGGCCTTGGTGGACGCTCCGCTCGATGTTCCACTTCCACTCATGGTCGGAAAGAAGGTTGTCCCCTGATGGCGTGGCGGAGGTGAGGGAAGAGGCCCAGCTGGGCGAGAGATGTAGAGGGACGAGGAGAAGGAGAGCAACGGTGAGATGTCTGGCTATTAGTACACCATGCTCTCTATCCCTTGTTTTCTATATGTTCGGACCGTCGCTTTGCTCCCCCCACCAAAAACTGCGTCGTGGCGATGGTCCGGCGCGGCGTGATGTCGGGCAGCGGCTCTGGCACGCACACTGCGGTTCTAGAGCATCAGCTGAGACAGTCACGGCAAGGGACGTGTAAGCTGCAAGAGGAAAGACATGAGCTATTTGGATCAACAAGACATGAGGTATCTAGAACTAGATGCTGGGTGCAGGGCGGGGAGATGGCGTATGGCGTCTCGTGAGCTGAGCAACGAGATGTGGTTGGTGCAGCTAGTCAAGTAAGATGGCTTACCTTGTCGACGATCAGCAACCAAAGAAACAGGAGTGTTGGTTTTAAGACAAGAAGAAGTGGAAGTGATAATTTATACAATTCAAGGTAGATGGGACAAGATGAGACGCGAGGAGTTGAAGGAAAATCTTAAAATATATAAAGAAGAAACGCACCAGATGCTGCGCTTGCCTCGAAGCTTGAACAAAGTAAAGTAGATGGATGGTAGCTGCCGAAGAGCCGTTACGGGCAGTCGGGAGGCTTGCTGCTTAAACCCATCTGACAAATAGTCGTATGAGGGAATAGAAACCCAGAAAGAATTGAGATGGACATTCCGAAAGGGGCTTGATGTCTCCCGAACGTCATGTTCTCCATCGAATGGACGTTTATAAGCGCCAAATCCGCCGTCGAGACGCATCATCAACGGGGCAGATAATTGGATCGTGGGTTTGGGCCAGGGGGCCGAGCACGGCTTCAGACGAATCTCCCCACAAATCAGCCAAATGTCGCCATCGCGTCTAGGCCGCTTCTGTTTTAGAGCGGCTGGGCCATCTAGATTTTTGATGTGATGTCCGCGCAAAGTTTTGTCTCGGTAAAGAGAGTCGAGTCGGGTCAGGGGATGTAGCGGCGTGCCTTTTTCCTATGTAGCGGCGTGCCTTTTTCCTTTTCTCGCAAGGCAGACAGACGGACGTTGCATCTCCGTTAAAGAGCAGTAAGTCAGCTGTCTGCTGCTTGCTGGTGGCGTCAGATCCTAAGTTACCCCATGCTAACTCTTCCATCGTTGGTAAAAGTAAAAGGTAAAAATGCTGCACCAGCCAGCACTAATACGACGCCTCCATTGTTGAACGTGGCCTCCCCTCCCGTGTAAGTGAGAAGTGAGTTGAACATGGACTAAAGTGCGAGACCCTGCCTCGAGCAAGCTTATTCGGGCTTGCCTGTGACCATGTGAGCTCTTTCGCAAACAAGTTCCTCTCTGCAGCACAGTAGCATTGGCCATGTCCAAACAGATGCGTTCGTAACGACCCCAAGCAGGTCTCAGCCGAGTGCAGACATGCAGCCCATGTGATGCCTCGTGATGCGGGGGAGCTGAGCCGTCAGCAGGGAAATGAAGTCATCTTATGCAACCCTGTTGGGTGCTGTTGCTGGAGATGGTTGGAGATGTGGATGGACGGTTGCAATGGCGATGCCTGGAGTTGAGGGGAGGGAGCAAGAGTTGAGGTTCGATGACCAAGACAGATCTATTCGGATCTTCGCGCGCCCGAGGTTCCGGAGTCGCTGCATCTACAGCACTAGGTGCAGCAGCTTCAGTGGCCAAGCCCCGCTAGAGGCCGGAGGTTGAGGCGCTGTAGATGAGGCTCTAGAGCATGGATGGAAGCGCACTCGACGTCATCTCAGATCAAATGCACTGCAAGCTTAAACTGCTGACAAAAGACGATGCATGTCACCGTCGATAATCGACATGAAGTGCATTCTGGGCCATGATCATGATGGCTCCCCGTGTCTGCGGATTTCGAGTTCTCCCAATATGTAATACCCCGCGAAAAGAAGGACAATCACGCCAGACATTTCTGCTGCCAATGGCTGAAGGGAGAGCTGCTGATTGATGTTTTGGCTCATGCAGCCATCCCATCTCATCGTGTGTTGTGCTAAACAAACCCCCACGCCAACAACACCAAACGCGTGCTTCATTCGAACCTTGCAACATCAACATCCCCCAATTCCCACCACAACAATGTCTGGCCCTTTTCATCCCGCCCAAGAAGCTCCCGCCGCTCTTCTCTCCGTCCAGCCTCTCCAACCCCCGCCATCCCCACAGACGCATCGCGCCCTGCGACGCCTCCAGTCCGCTCACGCCCTGGGAGCCCGAGCAGCCCAGCAGGCGTCGCTCCTCTCACAGCAGCGCCGCGAGCGCCCTCTGTCTCCCAGTCGAAATGCCGCCGATTCCGCTGATTCCACATTGATTGCAAACACCACTGCCCTCACCAATGCGAATCTCAACGCAAATGCTGCCGCAAACTCGACGGTGCGGACGCGAGGTCGTGCCAACAGCGATGCCACGCTGCCTCCTCCACCATATAACCCGCCCGCCGCGGTAAACACCCGACGATCAGGCGTCAAGAAGCCCGTCTTTTCGCATGGGCATCTTTCCCTGCAGCAAATCATCCGCGAAGGCCCCAACGATGGCGACTTTAACGGAGCTCTGGAGAGCGCGAGGTGGAAAGTCATTGATGAAGGCGTCAAGGCTGCAGAAGATGGAATGGTGCGTTCACCTCCCCCCGGATATATATAGGGAGAGAATGAAGCTGGCTGACTCTAAAATTTGCGATTGGAATTAGTCTCCCCTGAGAATCTACGTCTGGCTCGTCCTCCTCGACGCCCCCATCATGTCCACAGACGAATACCTCTCCCTCATCCACCGCGGCGCCTCTCCGGCCTACGCCAAGATTCGAAACGACACATTCCGCACCTTGACCACCGATCCTCTATTCCGACGCCGCGTGAGTGAAGCGAGCTTGATCAGGCTGTTGAATGCCATTGCCTGGCGGCTTCACGATTCAAGGGAGGAACGCCAGAGCCGTCCGGGCAGCAGTCATTCGTCTCTGCCTGCGCGGGAGACTGTCGGTGGCAGTGTCTCTGGATCTCAAGCCAGTACGTCTTGACACAACCAGTCAACTATATATATGTTTATACTAATACTAACACTTTGTTTCCCGTGTAGGGTCTGGCGCAGTTCTCGAACCAGGCGTCTACGTCCAAGGCATGAACGTCCTCGCCGCCCCATTCCTCTACGCCGCGCGAAGCGAAGCCGAAGCCTTCGTCGCCTTCCACTCTCTGCTCACCCGCGAGTGTCCCGGCTACATCCGAGGCGCCATGGACGGCGTGCACCGCGGGCTCGCCCTGGTGGATAAAGTGTTGGCGATTGTCGATCCTAAACTCAGCATGTATCTGACGACAAAGGGGCTCTCGGCCGAAATCTACGCTTTTCCTTCTGTGTTGACGCTGTGTGCGTGTACGCCGCCATTGCCTGAGGTGCTGCGTCTTTGGGACTTTTTATTTGCGTACGGGCCGCATCTTAATATTGTTTGTATTGTGGCACAGCTTACCATTATGCGGTCACAAATTCTTCAATCTCAAAGGTATTCTTTCTCATATCTCCAAGTAGAATTATCATTATGGCTTCTGACTTTGCTTTTCAGTCCAAATAAGCTGTTACGATCTTTCCCACAACTGAATGCCGATCTCGTCAAGAGCGTGACCATCAGCATTATCAAGAAGATACCAGACGACCTTTACGAAGAAATCGCCACGCACGCCATGTAAAGAGCAATGAGAGCGAGCACAGTCTCCAACATTAAATGTGATATAATTCACAAATTAGACCATTGGCAGGCCTCGTGAAAGGCTAGCCACGTGTTTGATGCGTCGCTAGTCATGACGACGTCGTCTTGGTTTAACGAAGTTGGCATCACGGCTCTCCGGCCCGGCATCAGTCTTGGCGTCGGGAAAATCTCCTTGGAAGAAGTATTCGGAAGATCCTTTCCATTTGTTCACATACGAGCACATGTCTAGCCTATTTGTTATTGGTAATATCTAGAAACCAATCTAGAGTTTCAACTGATGGAATATGAAGAAACGGAATCAATACAATTTACACGCGGTTCAAGCGACGGAGATGGATAGAAGAATAACGAACCTGGCAGCATTAGTCAAGAGACTGGGGTATAACACAGCTACCTGCATGTAGGTAGGGGATCTCGCTGCAGGGACCACAGCGCCAAGAAAGCATTACGACTCAGATGATGAAACCTGCGACCATACAAATAAATGAATGAAATTCAGCTAATGAGGATTTACGTCAAGAAAAAAAGGGGCCCAAGAGTAAGGAGACTTTGGCAGCCCCCCTTGGGAATATAGCGTTTTGTATTAAATCTTTGAAACAAATGTAGTACCGGTTTTGTGTGTGAATTGATTACAGTATATATGTACTTCTAAACCCAATAAAGGATTTATGCAAAAGTAAAAACCAAGGGCCATTGTAAGAATCTTTCAAGGCCGAAAGTGCCATGGGCCATGCATCAAACAGGGGGCAATCCAACGTGCCGCTCGTGAGGAAAACAAAAATGCTGCTAGCAATTACAAAAAATAAAGAACGCCACTTGTATCCATGCAGAAAATGAAAAAAGGAATCGAAGAGAAAAAGTGTATACACAAGAATCGAAACCAAACCTAATGGAAGGGGGGCGCTGAGCCGCTTGTACATGTACGGTCGACTTTTGAAATCCAAAACTCGCATATGACTTTGACATGTCGAAAATGAATCATTGCTTTTTGAAAGTCATGTTTCTTTTTGGGGGATGAATTGGCCTGCTTTCTTTTTTTGCTTTGTCTCGTGTCGCTCGTGATAAATGCCGAAGAATAACGTCTAATAGGCGGGACAGCCGTCCTGGGCCCTATGGAAAGCATTGGAGAAAAACTCCTGCATGGCGGTGTAGTGGAAGATGATGCCGCCCAGAACAGCCGCGTGCCACAAGTTGTGGCTGCCACCGATATAGTCGAAGCAGCCAGGGAACCACCGCTCAGGCACCTTGCTGGCGTAGACGACGGCGCCGCTAAAGTAGACGAGCAGGGACTTTGTGATGGGGGAGTAAAAGTTGTAGACGAACTCGGGCCCGTGGGAGAAGTTGAGCTGCAGGATGGGCATGAAGCCCGTCAGGGCGAGGCCAACAAAGAAGCCGACGCGGGTCCAGGACATGTCGGCGCCGTTGAACTTGGGGTGCCAGGGCAGGATGACGCCGGCGATGCCGAGCATTGCGGTGAGGCACATGTACGTCCACCGGCTGATGGGGTCGCAGTAAAACGCCGTGTACTCGGTCGTCATGATGGAGGCGGCGATGAGCAGCGAGATACCGGTGTAGTCGACGCAGGCAAACATGGACACGGCCTTGACGTCGGCGACGGCGCTCATGGTGTGCCAGATGGTGGAGCACACCAGCGTCAGGCAGGCCATCATGAAGAAGATGGCGGCAACGACAACATCCGTCTTGGTGCTGAGGTAGAAGTTGGCGCTGCTGGGGTAAAAGTAAAAGGCCACGGCCAGCACCAGGATCAGGCCCAGGGCGTGCGACCAGATGTTGATGAACTCGTTGGACATGTTGAAGATGGACTGGACGCACTCAATCTTGGTCTCGCGGAAGCGGTAACCTCTCTTGATGTGGGGGTTGTTTCGCCATGGCGAGGGCAGTTCGTCGTAAAGAAGCAGTCCTCGATCTCGTGCCAGTACCACGGCCTGCTGGATGTGCTCCTCCAGGGACAAAGCAGCTCGCACAGCACGCTCGATACCCTCGTCAACGGCAATCTTTGCCCGCTCGATGCTCTCGTTGGCAACCCTGCGGCCCTCGTCCATAAATGCCTCGGCTGCGGTGGCGGCGTTGGCGAAGCCCTGCTCGCGCAGCTTGTAGGCGCGGGTTTCGAACTCGGACAGCATGCCTTCCAGCAACTCGATTCCCAGGACGGCCTTGTCGTGCAGCGTCTCGGTGGCCTCCAACGTCTCCTGGTACCGGGTCTCGAGGGTTTCAACCATGATGTGGAGCCTACGTCGACCAGCGCCGATGACCTCCTCGGACGCCTGGGAGCATCTAGTGCGGACCGTCTGAAGGGTCGAGAATGCGCGGGAAATGCTCGAGTCCTTGCTGAGATCGACATAGTTTTCGACAAACTCCAGGCGGCGCTCCAGCTCGGTCAGGAACAGGTCGACCTTGAGCAGCAGGTTCTCCTCGCCCTCCATGATGTGGCCGACGATAGACTTTCGCCGAGGGATAAAGAAGGAGTGCCGTCGTCGTTTTGCTTGTTGGGCGTCGCGGCGCTGGTCAGAGCCAGTGGCAGCGGCAGTCGAAGCAGCGTCTTTGTCGTGAGCGAAGCCGCACGCGGACGTGAGGGCAGTCGTAACGCCCGCCATTTTTGATGAAAGGATGAGGAGAAGTTTAGGGGAAGTCAGCCGCTATCATGTCAGTTTAAAGATTCCAGCGACGAAATGTCTTGGATTTGGTCGGAGCGCCAGACGGGCTGTGTAGAGGCACGAGCGCTGATGAGTGCGGATGATTGGCCCAAAGCAAACCAGGCGGCGAAACCTGATTGATTGTCCAGAAGTTTAAAAAAAGAGGCGATAAGGGAAAAAATGAAGACGAAAAGAGAAACGAGATCTGGTTGCAGAGACGATTTGCTGATCGGAAGAAGCGGGACGAAGCGGTTAATTGGCTAGAGAGGCTTTTTGCGTGCCCCAAAAGTGCAGTTGGGTTGATGGTTCGGTTCGTCTTGATGCGGGTCGGGAGCTTAATTGGGGGATTGAAAGCCGCCAGAGGGGCCGCGATTGGCTGCGGAGGCCAGGGGAAGATGCAGAAGAGGGAAAAAAGAGGGCGGCACTAGATGCAGACTGCAGCTCAACAGTTTCTGTGATAGTTGGTGTTGAGGATTTTGAAAGGTAGAGGAGAAGTTGGGAGTTGGAAGAAGGTGAGCAAAGAATGAGATAGATGGGCAGAAAATGCAAGTACAGAATACGAAGTCAAGGAAGTACAAGTACAGCACAAAACCCGCGGGAAAGTACAGGTAAGATGGAAGTCGGGAGGCTGGTAGCTTTGTACTTGTACGTTTAGCACCGCAGCACAGCCTTGGGTAAGACGAATCGGATCAAAGAACTGCGAGAGAAGAAAAAAAAAAAACTTAGTGACGGACAAGCCCGAACTGTCCACTGTTTCTGCAAGAATGTGCGGGCAAGCCACGCTCCAGTATTTTTCCAGGGCAAACGGGCTCGATTGGTTTGTTTCCGCAGATCGGAGTATTTTGCCATGGGCCAGGATCTGTTTGGCCAGTGAGACGGGCAGGATGGACAGGCCTCGGGATTCCCTGTCTCTCTAACTACGGTAGTCCATCAGGTGCTCTGGGGGGAAGGATCGAATGAATTTCTGGGGGTTTGAGGGGTGTTCACATGCCAACTGCTGATGTTAGTACGGGTAAACTTGCCTCTTACTAAGGTGATCTATAACTGTATGAACATTGACAGAAATAGTGAGAAGGTGATGAGGGAATTGAGATCAGCAGCACAACCTCTTTCGTCTAAACTCATGTCAACCGTAAACCGAATTACCGTAACTGCACTGGCGAATCGTCATCTCGTCCTAGGTACCTGCAGCAACCAAGTCCATTATGCACTCCAAAATTCAGTGTTCAAACGTTGCCACCACCATTCAGGGATTATTGCCTCCTAGGGTAATCATCCCAGCTGAGCGCCAAAACGGCATGACTGACTGACATCTGCACGTTACAAGGAACAAGGACCGGGACGGCAGACGCTCAATTGATTCGACACCGGCTGCGTCTTTCCCTCCACATTCTCCTTTTAAACCACCACTTGCTAATTTCCCGCCTTTCCGGCTACCGATACTGTGTGTACACGTGCGTGGCCCATCCATCTCATCTCATTCGTGTCTGGTGCATCCTCGTCCTCATGGCGGCTTTGTACTCGTACAGACGGTGCTCGGGACGCTGTGGCCCGTGCAATTACGTTTCCAGCACGGTTATTCAATTCTAATTCTAATTCTACCTTGTTGTTTCGTTTGTAGGTAATTCATTAATACGTGTAAATCACATGTAAGATTGTAATACTTCATAACTGTAACTGTAATTGTACCTTCATACACAGGTGCACAACAGCACTGTCACTCGCTGTAACAAGCGGTATCCCTGCGCAGCCTTGCGCTAAACAGCATTGAACTACAGCACAGGCAAAAACACCAACCACTAGTACCCAATTCTCTACAGCCTTGCTATTTTGCAGTTTGTCATTCCTTCATCAACTGCCACCACCATCTCATCATCGACCACCCCATCCTCTATCTCTACCTCGACGCTACACGAACTCAATCACCCAAACCAATCAATTAATTCATCAGTCAATCAATCAACCAGCTACCATTCCTCCCTCCCGCTACTCAACCATCAGCTCCCAACTCTCAACTCTCAACAACAGCAACATGGCCATTGAAAAATCCATCACAGACCCTTCCCTCGCCGCCGTCCTCCAAATCTCCGACCAAGCCCGCGACCAGGCCCACGCCCTCCTCCAGCTCGCCGACACCGCCAGCGACGGCCGCGCCACCGCCGACATCCAGGCCGAGATCGCCAAGCAGCAGAAGCAGCTCTTCACAAACATCTCCCACCTGCGCGGCCTCCACCGCAACGCCTGCCTGTCCGCCCGCGACACAAAGGCCCAGACCGCCGAGGCGCGCCAGGAGGTTGATCGCTTGCATCTGCAGCTGCAGAATCTCTACTACGAGCAGCGCCATCTCCAGGGCGAGATTACGGGCTGCGAGTCTTACGAGTAAGAACGCCTTATTTCGTTTTTTGACGTGTCAATGGCTGACTATTATGTGTTTTCGCACAGTCACAAATACCAGCAGCTGCCTCTCATCCCCGTCGAAGAATTCCTCGCTCTGCGCCCCGAATACGCAGACTCCAACGATGACGAACGCATGTTTGCGCGCATCGAGCACGAGCGCGAGGAGCGCGAGATCCTGGAGCAGCGCCGCCAGGAGCTCCTCAAGCGCAAGCAGAAGCTCATCAACGACAACAAGCGGAGAAAGGATGACTTGGCTAATCTAGATCAAGACCTGGAAAAGTTTATCGATGTATGTTCTAGCAGTTCCCTCCTATTTTACTACCGTGACGCTCTGTGCTGACTCTCTGTTGAAGGCTGCAAAACCAATTCTCGAACTGTTTGAAAAGGCACCTTGAGAAGCATGAATTCTCATTCGTATCCTCTCTCTTCCATCACGGCTGCGCTCCCAATGTGCGGTGATAAACTTGCACGACTGTGTTTCTCTTAAACACACGCGTAGCATCTAATGACGGCCATCCACAGCCACTTATGAGACCATGAAATCATGTATAGTCCAGTCCGCGCTCCGAATGGGGCTTTCTTACGTCGGGATTTGGTGAGGAATAATCGGGATCTTGGACACAAGGGCTGGAATATGACGTCTATATTGGGTGGATTCTCGACAATTAACATCATGATGGCAAATCTCTTACAATCACCAACAGCCGAGTCTATCAGACTGCTATCAGACTGCTCCGTTGGGTATAATTTGAGATCGGAGAGCTACTTTACAAACGTGTAAAAGACAGCATCAGGTAGAACACTACGTGGTCTCCATGCACTTCAGTCCTACTCATCCTGGGACAATGCACATCAAGTTAATACCAAATACACTTCTCAAGAAAAAACCATTTGCTATCGTGTAAACTACCCTGAGCCTAATGTACAAACTTACACGCGCATCTGCCGCGAGCCGAAATAATATGAGTGAATAACGCAAAGTCTCCCCGCACGGAGAACGGGCCTGTAGCAATCTGCCCCTGAGAAGCTTCGAGTAACAGAGGCCAAAAACAAGAAAGCAACTCCGTCGTCTAGACGCCGCCGAGACATGTATCTGTAGTCGTGTGTCTTCCTTTTTCTCCACCTGGTTGGATAGGTAGGACTAGTAGTTGAGTTCGCCGCCTCCGCTTCCGTTTCCAGACACTTGATCGAGGTCTTCATAGCTCTTCAAGCTGCGGCCCTGCACAGCTTCTCGGGGGCCAGCAGCCGCTCCACCAGCTCCGTCTCCCCATCGGGATCCGCCGTTGCGATTGCGACCACCTCCGCCATCCCAGCGACCGCCTCCACGGCGTTCGTAGGGTCCAGAACGGTACCCGCCTCGTCCACCTGACATTCCGCCTCGTCGAATGGGACCGCCTGAGCGGTCATCACCCATGGCGTTCCAGCCATTAGCCTGCATGCCGGCAAACAACGAGGGGAAGTTTCCAGGGCTCATGGGGAATCCAGGCATGCCCATGACGCCATTGATAGCAAAGTTTTGCAAGTTGAAGCCGCGAGGAGTACCCGAAGCCGACTGGCCATTGGTAGGTGGGAAGTGACCGTTGGAGTTCGCGTCAGTTCGCGAGGGGGCAATGTGTGCTGGATCTGACACGTAAGCATTAATGAGTTCAAACTAAAGAAGTTGTGTTAGTAAATTCGAAAATGATGGGACAGGTGTATTTTAACGTACCTCCTGCTTCAAACCGTCAAGCCACTCAGTATGTCTCTTTTCCACGTGCTTCTTCCAGAAGTGGTCTTCCTTGAAGAGCTTGGTGCATTCTGGAACCTTGCATCTCCACTTGTGCTCATCCTCCTGCTTGACATATTTGGTCAACTCCTCGTCAAGGGCCTCCTCGACAGGCTTACCGCCAAGCTTGCGAATATCAACAGTGCTGGGCTCGAGGATTTGCATTAGCTTATCCTCAAAAGTCTTGACCCAGTTATAAGCACGAAGCAGCTGTTGCTCGGTTTTAGAAGACATGTTACGGAACTTCTTGTCCCCTTCGGCAAGCTCTCCGTCAACATCATTCTCAGCGTCGTTGCGTTTCTTATCAGGAAACGGCTCTCCATTAGCGCTAGCCCTGGCAACAGCCCTTGCAGACGATGACAGAGTGCTTTGAGGGCGGCGGAGATGGCCTCCTGCGCACTTGCGTGTAAGCTCGTGCACAGAGTCACTCTCAAAAACGCAAAAGAAACAGAAGTGAAAGACTCTGCGCAGATATTCAATCAACAGGTCAAGCTGCTTCTTCTTCACGAGCATGTCTTCATCATCAACTTCTTCATCTTCTACAGCCCCCTCCTCCTCTTCCTCTTCTTCGGGGATACCTTCCTCATCCTCGTCCATTGCCTCGTCCATGCCGGGCTCCCGGGTCTTGGTCTTCTTGGTTGGCGCAGGAGGGATAGCAGGCTGTAGACGACCAGCGTTTTTGAGATCCTCAACTTTTTCTTCAACCTTCAAGATGGCCTGGAAGTCAGAGCCGTACTCTTCCTCATACTTGTTGACCAACCTTTGAACTAGGCGAAGATCTTTTTCAATTCGCTCCGGTGCAGAGAACAAGTCCCACAGAGCCTTTTTCCTTGGATGGAGCGGCGGGTTGTGAACTCCAACGTGGCAAACAAAGTCGCCTCGGGCCTCATCCTTGACAGTTTTGCCATTGACAGCCTCGAGGGCCTTTTCTGCAGCGGAAACCAGAGGTGGCGGCGATTTGATCGGTTCATCACCGTCTTCGTCCTTGGGATCCGCCCGATCCATTGGCGGCGCGCTCTCTGAAGAGGGATGAAGCATCACCCAGCCTATACGGTGATACCTCTTGCTGGGATTTGGATCGGAAAGGGAGAGCCACTTGAAGCCACCCTCCTCCTCTCCCAGATTTTCCTTGCAAAAGGCCTCTAGATTTTGGCGGCTAACATGAGGAGCAATAGTCTTGATGAGCAGAGTGGGTTGGAATTGATTCTCATCGCGGATGTCGGCTCCATTGACAGGGACCAAATCGCCAACTCCCAAAATTTCATTGGCGGCTGTCGCCTCGCCCTCCTCTTTCTCGACTACGCCACCGGCCCCGTTGCTCTCGCTTTTTGGGATTCCTTCGAGAGAAAACTCGTCAAAGCTGCCGGATTCCATGTCTTGCTCCCACTGGCTGTAAGCTGCTCGTCGGAAATCCTGGAGCTTTGCCTTGAACTCGTCTCTGATTTCAGGAACGTAGCGTTCTTTGAACCACTGCTCCTTCTTGTGCTCCGAAACAAAAGCCCTAGCCATCTTGGCTTGAAGCTCCTCTTTATATGCATCGTACGCCACTTGGATCTTGGCCTTTTCTTTTTCCCGGTCCTCTTGAGACTCTCGGGCGCCTCTGGCCCTTTCAGGCTCCCGTCTTCGTCCAGTGCGCGCACGCTCCTTATCATCCTTGATCTTTTCGTTCATTCTCCACCATTCGCCGAAATAGGAGAATCCAACTTGGTAAGGAAGCTTGGCTGGATCTGCCAGAGGGTTGACGGCAACGTTGGGCGACCCACTGTCTTGTCCCGGCACGTAGCGATCGATATTCGCCGGTGGTGAGGTAATGCGACGCCGGTCATCTCGGTCTCGGTCGTCTCGACCATCTCGGCGTGGACGTGGCTCGTATCGGTCAACAGGGGGTGGGGAACGAGAGCGTCGGCGATCTCGGCGTTCATTGCCTGTGAAGATCAATAGTCAGCAAGTGATCAAATCATCAAAGGGATCGCTCGGCAAGACGAACCAGGAGACCTCGCACGGTAGAATCCATCGCCTCTCTCCTCCCTAGTTCTAGAATCGTCACGGCTCCATGTTCTCTCATTTGGCGATCGGGCCGCGCCATCCCGATAGGAAGAATAGGAATCCATTCTGTCTGGCGCTAGATCAGGGAATTGGTCTCAGATTGGTGGTCAATCAGATATTGTCGAACATCAGAGGCAACGACGGTCCCTATGGAGGCTTCAATTGCAAGAGCGCCCTATTGCGTGGCGGTAAAATGGCTGTTAGAGAAGACATTCTGACCCAAGATCGGACAAATAGTAGACACAGAAAAAAGAGATTTAAAAGGGAAAAGAAAGAAGAAAAGACATGAATAGCAAAAGAGCTGATGCCAAATGATGGGACAAGTAGAGAGGCTCGGCAGGTAGGCAGGAGGACGAGAGAGAGGAGAGGAAGAGAAGAAAAGAGGCAGAGAAATGCCGGCCGATTGCCGAAAGCTTGGTTCAAGGGGGCAGGGAGGAAGGACAATCAATGCAGCAGCAGCAGCAGGAGAGGAGAAGAAAAGGAACGGAGAGGAAAATGAATGAATGAGAATGAGAATTGAGGATTGAGGCAAGAAAGGGACGACGAACTGAATTGATAAAGCGCGGCTCCGGCGAATTGCGCGACGTGTTTGATGCGCCTTTAGGAGTGAGATAATGAGATGTAGAGGTTCAAGTTGGCAGAGGCTGAAGCATAACGAGGGTGGAGCCGAAGACGGCCGCGACACGCGCACTTGTGGGGGAGTGGCAGTGGGTTTGGGGTATGCGCACTGTGCGGCAGCGCATATCCTCGGCCCCCAATCCTTATCGGTTAGAAGTATATTCCGGCACTAGTCCACTAGAGACGCCTGACGCTATGCGCTGTGCACAGTAATCACAGTAACCACACGCCGCAGCTGGCACTGTCACTCTCCGCCCACACGTGTGTGGCCACTCCAGTAATGGACGTCCTTATCTAATCACAGCCAGGCCAGTGCTCCACTACCGGCTGGAGAGTGGCGATCTCCGAACCCGATTGTGCCTGTCCATGTACATGTGCCCAACTTTGTTCTGGCTTCCCCCAGCTTCAGAGGCGTCATCTTGCTTACTAGCCTGCATTCTCCAGCCTGCCGATTATCTTATATCTGGCTCGCCCTTCTCTCTTACTTTACCGTTTTGAATCGACAATCGCTCGCGTGCCCATAGGATGCCGCAGTTGAACCCGCTATATCCTGCATTGGGAATCAGCTGCCAAACGGGCTGACACAGCAGAGCAGAGCCGTCGAGATGGAGCGGTTCCAATACAACAGCGCGGTTGAAGGCTTCCGCGACGAGGAATACCCAATGCTGCAAGGTAAGTGTATCTGGATCCTGTGTCATGATATTATAGACTCTGTTTATCTAATCGGATCGAATCTAACATGTGGACTCTCTATATAGACTCCGTATACTTGGATCATGCTGGGTCCACCCTCTCTTCAAAGTCTCTAATGGATGCCTTTGCCAAGGACATGACATCCGTGTTGTACGGGAATCCCCATTCCGCATCATCACCATCTCAGCGCTCTTCATCCCGGATAGATCAAGTACGAGTCCGTCTGCTAGATTTCTTCAAAGCCGATCCTGACCAGTATGATTTGGTCTTTGTGGCGAATGCAACTGCTGGCGTGAAGCTAGTGGTTGAGGGCATGAGGTCCTTGCCTGAAGGCTATGTCTTTGCCTATCACCAAGCTTGTCACACCAGCGTGGTAGGGGCAAGAGAAGAAGCACAGCAAAGCATCTGCCTCGATAACACGGGAGTTCGATCTTGGTTAGACGGTGTTGATCCGTTCAAGCCAACAACTTCTGGTATCCCTGCAAGACTATTCGCCTACTCGGCTCAGTCTCACATGGATGGGAGGCGATATCCCATATCTTGGGCCAAGGAGCTGAAGAAGAGAGAAGCTCAATCCTCGTCTCGGACATTGACGCTCTTGGACGCGGCTTCACTCAGTGCCACCTCACAGCTCGATCTTTCTGACCCTCAATTCGCTGCTGATTTTGTGGTATTAAGTTTATACAAGATCTTTGGATTCCCCGACTTGGGCGTCCTACTTGTTCGCCGCTCTGCAGAATATGTATTCAACCATCGAAGATATTTTGGCGGCGGCACGGTAGACATGGTGCTCTGTGGAGACGAACAGTGGCACTCCCCAAAGTCTTACTCTCTTCATGAACGCCTAGAAGACGGGACACTTCCCTTCCACAGTATCATTGCCGCTGACATAGCAATATCGACTCATCAACGGCTCTTCGGCTCCATGGATCAAATTAGTGCTCACACGGCATACCTCAGACGCGAGCTATGTCGTGGCTTACACAGCTTACGACACGCAAATGGAAACCCCGTCTGTCACATTTATTCAGAAGTACCAGATGATGCGGCTTCTATCGAGACTGGCCCAGTCGTTTCTTTCAACATCAGGGATAGTCGGGGCTTATGGATTGGCCTCGCTGAGTTTGAGAAGTTGACAATCTTGAAGAAGATGCATGTCAGAACTGGAGGCGTGTGCAGCCCTGCAGGCCTAGCATCCGCTCTCGACTTGCAGCCGTGGGAAATGAAGCGGAACCTCTCTTCTGGAATTCGATGTGGCGAGGACAGTGGCCGATTCACCAACAAACCAACTGGAATCATACGTGCTAGTCTGGGAGCAATGAATACCAAGTCGGACGTCTCTCGCTTCCTTGCTTTCGTACGAGAGTTTTTTGTCGAAGATAGCATCAAAGTACCGAATCAGGTCAATGCCATTACGAGAAAGGCTGGCACTACAAATATTCAAGTCAAGGCTATCACGGTATATCCAATCAAGAGCTGCAGTGGCTATACCGTCCCACCTGGGGTTCGCTGGGAAGTACGGCCAGAGGGGCTTGCTTGGGATCGTGAATGGTGTTTGGTCCATCGAGGATCAGGCCAGGCTCTCAGTCAGAAACGCTATCCACGAATGGCCTTATTACAACCTTTGCTACTGTTCAATGACAACGTGCTACGCGTGAAATACCGCGGAAGCACGCCGAAAGGGCAGCCAACGCAAGTGGACATACCGCTATCCAACAATCATTCTCTGTTTGACACCGATTTCCGGCAAACAAGCTCTAGAGTTTGCGGAGAGAATATTTCAGCACAGTCATATCTTTCAGAAGAAATTAACGGCTTCTTTTCTAATTCACTAGGAGTTCCATGTGTGCTGGCGAGATTTCCAGCAGGAGGCCGTGGAGCTAGTAGCAGGCTCTCAAAGGCTCGGATGCAGAAGCATCAACGGACGGAAAAGGCTCAGAGTGGGCAGCCTTCTCCGTTCCCTGGTGTTCCCTCTCCCCCTGATTCGGACTCTGAACAGCAGCAAAGCCAACCAGGCAAGATTCTCCTCTCCAACGAGAGTCCCATTCTTATGATATCCACCTCTAGTGTAGAGATGCTCAACAAGACCATCATGGAGACTGGAGAATCTGCCGTGGATGAATCAGTGTTCCGAGCAAACATTGTTGTTGAGGCCTCCCCAGGTCATAATGGTCACCCAGCCTATTCAGAAGATATGTGGCGGAGAATTAGCATTGGAAACCACAGCTTCAAACTCTTGGGGGCCTGCCAGAGATGCCAAATGGTATGTGTTGATCAAATGACAGGAGAGAGAAGACAAGAGCCGTTTGTCACTTTGGCAAAAACAAGGAGGCTGAACGGCAAAGTCTATTTCGGTACACACATGCGGCATGAGCAGTTGGAACAAGACGAGGAATCGGATGGCCTAAGTCCCACAATACAGGTTGGGGACGCGGTCGTCGTGGATGAAGAGCAAGGAGAGGAGGAAGAGGAAGGAATTCCAGGTACTGGCGGTAATCGATAGCCCGGATGCGATATTTTAAGAAACACACAAGAATAGAACGACTCTCCCAGAGCACATGAAGTTGGCTATGCTACCGGAACTATTGTCTGAGGCGTCCGGTCGTTGAATTCCTCGTTAAGGCACCGCGTGCATGGATACGCGGATCATCCACTCACGCTTCAGAGCGTGGATGCTCACGGTTTGTTGGTCCATCTTCCAGTGTCCATCCTCCCTTCACATCTCTTTGTCTCAAAATCCCAGTGCGTGTCGCCACATTCTCGCCAGGGGCTATGGAATATTCCATTCCTGGCTCTACCACTATGGCTTATGTAAATTGTCTTACTTGAGCTTCAGCCTCAACCCGGAACCAGCGCGTTCCTGAAAATTATAGCCCGTGGCTGGAAGCAGATGGTAGTTCTGCATCCGTTGCCAACCACAGTCTCAAGCAGGAAGCGGCATCGCTATTCACGTACAATCTGAAACTTCTGCAGTTGTTTACGGCATCTGGAATCAAGGGCTGAATCAAAGTATCGCCTATCGGAGCTTGAGCTTATTCCACTTCGGCTGCGTGGCTCTCTGGTGACTCTGACTCTACAGATATCATGTGGGTAGTCTGAACCTTCTTAAGAGCCACGCATCGGCATGATCCCAACCTTTTCGTTTTCTCCTTGAACATTCCTCAAAGTATGATTCAAATGCTTCCATCTGTAGGAAAGTCACGGTGCGGCCTCGACTCTGTGGCGATTCACTGGAAAACAAATCCGCGCCCAATATGGATGATACACTGTCTTAGGTTTGCCCTGCCACAGGGCTTGTACTTAACTTTGAAGAGTTCTATCATATAAGAAGCGATGGGCAGCCAAATTATTCCCCTCTGCATTCTTCACCTTAAGTGAGCATTGCCATACGCCCCCTTTCAAACTACTCGCAATGTTCAAACTCCTTTGCGTCGTGCTGCCCGTTGTGGCGAGGGTCGCCGTGGCCACTCCGGCTACTCTCAAAGCGAGATGTGACGATCCGACAGCACATCCATCACCACTCACTGAACCAGCGTCGAACTTCCCGGCTGCTGACTTGCCTTTTGATCTTCCGCCGATTGAACTAGAACCTATAGACCCCCAGGATCTAGAGTCGTTCGGTACAGAGGAGCCTTGGCTATCTGTTTCCCCTTCACTACCGAACGAACCTAGTCCTGCGCCAGAAGGCTTTGAGTCTCCTGCTCCAGACTTTGAGTCTCCTGCTCCAGAGGACTTTGAGTCTCCTGCTCCAGAGAACTTTGAATCTCCTGCTTGGTCTCCTTCTCAACCATCACCGCCGGATTCCAACCCCAACTTCCCCGGGCTCAGCAATACCACTGATTGGGACGATAGCCACAGCTCTAGGCAGGGATATGCCGACTCTTCAAGAAGAAAGAATGTCGTCTATTTCACCGACTGGTAAGTTATCACACGCTTTCTCGATTCATGTTAGATGGATGCTAATGATACTAGGAGCATCTATAAGGCAGGCTTTCTGCCTCAGTATCTCCCCGCAAGAGATATCACGCACTTGCTCTACGCATTTGCTGGAATCGCACCAGATGGATCTGTGTAAGTTATAACTTAAAATCCCATCCAAAAAGTCAAACACTAACAACCGTTGAAGCGTCTCGTATGACGAATGGGCCGACGAGGATAAGATCCTAGGCAAGCGTGACGTCGTCCACGGTGCCATCGAGCAAGTCTTTTTGCTAAAGAGCCAGAATCGCCACATGAAGACTCTGCTCTCCATCGGTGGCTGGACCGCATCTCAAGATGGAAAGTTTGGGCCTGCCATCGGTTCTGCTGATGGTCGACGCCGCTTCGCTGAGTCTGCTGTCAAGTTGCTCGCCGACTGGGGATTCGACGGTCTTGATATTGACTATGAGTACCCGGAGACTCCAGAGGACGCGCAGAACTTTGTCTACTTGCTCCGAGAGGTTCGAGCAGCATTGGATAACTACGCAGCCCGCCACGGCCAGCGATATCGCTACCTCCTCACCGTGGCGACATCTGCTGGACCTGACCACTACAAAATTCTAGACTTGGAGGCGATGGATCAGTATATCGATACTTGGCACCTCATGGCTTATGATTATGCTGGCAGCTGGGATACCGTGGCTGGACAGCAGTCCAACGTCTTTACCGACCATCAAAACCCCGACAGCACAAAGTTCAGCACCGACAAAGCAGTGGATGCCTATATTAGACGAGGCGTCGACCCTAGCAAGATTGTCCTCGGCCTTCCCCTCTATGGCCGCTCATTCGAGAACACGGATGGTCTTGGTAAACCCTACGATGGCATTGGGCCGGGCACTATTGAGCCGGGAGTCTATCTCTACCGCGACCTTCCTCGGCCCGGTGCTACTGTCCACGTCAATCGATATACCCTTTCTGCATACTCTTACGACCCTTCAGCAAGGGAACTAGTTTCCTTTGATAACGTCGAGACGGCGAGACTCAAGGCCGAGTATCTCCAGAGCAGGGGCCTTGGTGGCGCTGTCTTCTGGGAAGCTTCGGGTGATCGTGCTGGAGAAGAGAGTCTGATTAGGACGCTGGCTAGAGAGATGGGTCATCTGGATTATTCTACAAATATGCTGAGCTATCCGGAGAGTCGGTTTTCCAATATCCAGAATGCATCATAGTGATGCTTGGTGTGATTTAGGGTGGCAGGATGATTTGATGTAAATTAAATGACATGGTCATGAAAGTTTCATCGCATGGATGGGCGTTTGGGGGTTTTAATAAATAAGTTTGTTTTGGTGGAATTATTAAGGTTCTTTAATAGAATAGGGAGTGAAAATACCATTTTATAATAAATTACTGTTCACCTATACATGATCGGTTATTCCCATCAGAGAAGGTATGGTCGATCGATTGCTTGTCTGCACCTGAAGGCACGAGGCTGTGGCGACACAGAGCCTTACATTTTGCAGACACCCCAACGCACCAATCAAGAAACGCTCACATATTGCGGCTGAGCATGTGCCTCTTATGCAGCCTAATTTCTACCCAGTTCTATTCCTCTATTCCTAATTATGTTGCGCGACTCGGAACTGTACCTCGGGGTTGGACAAGACCGACGTGATCTCTGTTTATGCACTTGCGTAATATGGATTTATCAATAAGCTGCCTCTATTGGCTCTCTTCTTGTCAATATGGATTTCCTTGGTGCTGCAGGCAAAATTATATCTCTCATTGAAACAGGAATTGAAGTTTCCGACCAGCTCAAGGCAATCGTCAAGTCGGAACACAAGCTGCCGCCTGACTTGGTGCATCTTCATAACAATGCTCAACAGATCCTGGAGATAATAGAGGCGCTTCCTTCTATAGGGATAGGTTCGATCAACAATGAGAGGGCTGGGTTGCTGGAAGATAGGGCGAAGAAGATCTCCAGCAAAGTGATCGCCATCATGGATGAAGTCAACCCAAAGTGGCGGCAGAAGCAAGAAGCTTCCTTGACTTTATGGAGGTCATATTTGAAGAAGAAGGATATTGATTCAATTGGGCGAGACTTTAAGAACTTGCAAGAACAGATGAAGCTCGCTCTACTTGATCTCGTCTGGTATGTCCCCCCAGCTCACACAGTAATGAAAGCAGGATAATACTAATGGTTCTCAGCCAATCAAGCTCCGAAGCCAGATCGCAATATGAGGAATTGCACAGGAGGGCTACTCAGGGCGATCAGCGAGTGATTAGCATTGAGGGCTCAATTCATCAGCTTAACCAGGGATTGCATGTCGTTCGAAATTCGATCTACGAGCTCGGTAAACAGATTGGATCAGCTACCTTCACCGAAAAAAGTTTCTTTAGGCAGGCTTCTCAAATCTTCGCCATGGAATGGAAGCTTTCCGTTATTCTGTCAAGATTGACAAAAGACTTCCAAGAAAAAGACTTGAAAGCCAGCGCAATAGCCAAATCAGACCCAGGAACTTTCGACTGGATGACTCAAGGTTCCAACTACCGTCACAAGTATCCCGATAATCTAAACGACAAAGAAAGACTGGTGTATGATGAATGCGATCCAGATATGCTCGAACATCACGTGGAAGCCTCGGATAACTTCCGATCTTTCCTACGGGGACCGCCTGGAGCATTTGTCATATTGGGGAAACCTGCTTCTGGAAAGTCAACGCTCATGAAATATCTCATGCGCAACTCAGTCGTCTTGGAAGATCTTGAACAATGGGCTTCAAAGACAGGCAAGAGCCTGATACGAGCAATCTTCTTCTTCTCTGTTACGCAAGGCAGCGGTGCATTATCGTCTGAGGAGAGCCTGTACAGGTCTCTTTTATTCCAAATCCTTCATGAGTGTCCGGCTCTCGTGGATGAGGTTTTACCTGGAGAGGCCAGTCTTTCAGAGTCTATTCCACTTCCATCCGAAACTGTCCAGGACGCCATTCGATATATCTTCTCGAATAAGTCCAACCTGGCTGATAAATACTGCTTCTGCCTATTCATTGATGGGCTCGATGAGTACCGATCGAATTATTCGGAGACAAAACGCGGGAAAACACAAAATAATTATGATATTAGTGAATTGGCACATCATTTGGTGGAGTGGTGTCAACACGACACCAGCAACACCAAGATTATATTCTCATCAAGAGTAATACCCGCCTTGGATGAAAGATTCTCCGCCAAGCAAAAGATCTTGCTGCATTTCCATACAAAGAGGGATATACTTCAATCTGCCTTTTCAAACTTCAAGAGGCATCCCGAGGCAGTCCCCGAGAACTATGTTGAACTAAGTACAGCTATATGTGACCAGGCCCAAGGTGTATTCTTGTGGGCTCGCCTTGTGGTCAAGGATATACTTGAGGCTTATACCGATGGTGTAGATCCTGACACATTGAAAGACAGAATCAAAGGGACACCAACCGACATTGCTGATCTCTACGCAAAAATTATGGAAAGAGTAAAAGAGCAAGACAGGGAGGCATCGGCGATGATTCTACGCCTCGCAGCCTTTCAACCAGCAGGATTTCCCTTAAACACTCTTGTCTGCACTTGGTTGGACAACCTCCTCAAAGACGCCAACTTCCCGTGCAATGAACCGGCAGAGCTGTACGGCAAAGATAAGGTTAAGCGACATCGCAAAAGAGCCATTCAGCGCCTGGCCGCCTTGACTCACGGAATCTTGGAGGCCCAAGATGTTGACTTGTCGACGTTACAAAACGCTCCGGATGAAACAAGGTATTTCTTTCAATCCGAGGTTGTATTCTTGCATCGCACTGCACAGGATTTCATTAGAGGCCTCCTAATGAGAGATGCCGAAGAGGCAGCCAGCGACATCCTCCTCCCGTGGCTGCGAGGAACAGATAATGTCAGCGGAGATGATTGGCCAAAGAGCTGGCGCGCGAATCTTTTCGTTCGAGTATTCCACGCTGAAGTGAGATTCAGTATACTTCGCGCTGACGATTATGGCAAGCCTCACGAGGATCTATTGGATTTCGGCTTTTGGGCTGAAGATATTTCGCTATTGCAACTATCAGATTTTAAAACTTTGTCTGAATTCTCGTCGTTTGCGCACCGCTACTGGAATTTTTATAGAGATACTTCAAATATCGCGGACCTATATCACAGCGATGGCTCATATTCCATTTCCGGGTCGCAACTCCACTTACCAGGCAGATTCACTCTACAAGTGGCACTTTCTATGGGCCAAGACGTGGGCATATGGATGAGAAAGAGACATCTCTCGCGCAGGTTGAGCTCTCAGATGGCTCTTTTATGCAGCACCATGTCAACCGCTGTACGCCTAGATGACCTCAAATGGCTGCTACAGACCAAAAGGGTTTGTGCCACCGACAAGCGCCCAGTGTGGCCCCCCAGCGATTCTAATTATGTCCTAGATGAATTAGAAAAGATGAGAGCAGCTGACCAGGGACATGTTGATAGTGACAGTCCCTGTGAAGATTCTGATGTCCTTCCTATTCAGACGCGCTGCCAATGGGTTCAGGTCTGGTTGATATGCCTGTATATGTTTGGAACCAGGGCTCGTTTAGCAGCAACCGAGACTTCGAATTTCAGACAATTTCATTATAGACAATTTTTCAATCATCAATGCGAGATGCTGGAATCGTGGCTCCGCTACGGGGCAACAACTGATGCTATTATCCTCATCGCACCTGAAAGAGAAGATCCAAATGAGCCTTTCGAAATCGAAGCCGGAGATATATGCTATATCGAGATTGAACAACTTCTCCAGTTAGGTGAAAAACCCCCCAACTTTCAGGCCCTCCAATCTTTGCTTGCTAGGAGGCATAAAGCATGGATTTCATGGCTTACAGATTGGATATCGTGGGCGTGGACGTCGTGGATAATACGCTGGGTAATATGCGGGTGGGCGTATCATCTTCCCAAAAACAGTGATGCTATTCCTATTCGTAAGAAGTATCGACAGGCATCCCCCCAAGAGGTTTCCCTGTTAGAGTGGGAGATGTACGGCGTTGTATCTGATGATGATGAATTGGTTGGAGACTTCATATTTCAACTTGCGTATTAAAGCCGTAAATGAGGGGTCAAAGATATTCACTTTGATGGGTTCCATGGCCATTCGGTATCTGATAATATATTTTAAGGCAAAGCATTCGTGGCCAACTTACAAGAAACTCTCTTGCATTAGTAGGTAGTAGCAGCAAGCGGAGGACAGAAAAACCGAGACCTAAAAGATTTTACACACCCGCGCGTTAAACTATACACCTGTTTATTTAAGTATCTACTATTAGATCTATATTTCTGTAATATCTGCTATTAGATCTATATTTCTGTAGTATCTGCTATTAAATCTATATTTCTGTAGTATCTGCTATTATATCTATATTTTTATAGTAACTGCTACCCTATCTAGATGTTTATAGTAACTGCTATTATAGTTATAATAACATTTGGGTGCTGTCCGAATAGGGTTCCTTTACAAAAGCACTACTTGATGAGCCGATTAGGTGCTTATACTGCTGAATGTATGCACTTATTCATTTTGCGGTCTCGCTTTTTCTGACCTCCGCTTGGCAGATATTGTATATACATCAATCTACCCTAAAAGAAGACTCAACAACCGTAAATAAAACATCCCATTTTACATCAAAACTACTAGGTAACAATCTCATTCTACTACCAAACATCACAATTTTCATCTTGCATCTTTCTCATCAATATTACATTCTCCTACCAGTTTCATCAACGCAATAGCATTGAATCCACCAACAGAGTTATCCCTCTACTCAAACACTCAAACACTATCATTCTAAATAATGTCTTTTTCTTTCCGATTTCCTATCAAGACAAAAACGCAGCAAGAACAGATTACCTAACTATTTCACATGCCATCCTGATTTTGTCCATCCCCCGGGGTATGAGAAGCGTCAACGCCGTGAAAAGCATCTCCGAAAGCCGAGTCCTCCATGTCCATCTGCAGATCCAGGTCGTCGTCGCCGAGTCCGCCTGCCGAGCCGTCCAGCTCCGGGGCATCGTAGCCCGCGAGGGCATCGCCCGCCGTGTCTAAATCGCCTAGAGAGCTAAAGTCATTCTGATCAAAGGATACAGAGCCTCCTTCTGTAACCGCAGGGGTCGCCGCTGCTGAGGGCACCTTTGCGGCCGCTGGTGTTGGTGGTTTGGCATCATCGCCCTCTGCGCCAGTCGTGGGAGCCGGAGCCGGAGCAGGGGCGGCAGTCGTGGCGGCAGCATCAGCAGGAGGTTGTGTTGTTGTTGTTGTCTGAGCCGCATCGTTAGCCGTTGCCTGGTCGTCATCCTTAGGAACCACGACCCAGTCTCCACTACCAGTGCCATGGTCGGGCGTAGTGCGTACCTCGTTCTCGGCAGCAGTATCAGTTCCGCCCATTTCTACGTCTCCCGAAGGCTGTGGGGGAGCAGCTGTAGGCGCCGCGGCTGCGGGAGCCGGGGAGGCGGTATTTGCAGCCTGTGCCGGAGTAGCTGTGCCTGACTGACCGGCTGAGAGATTGGGCTGAGGCGTTGGGAAGTTGTTGACCGGGGTCGATGTGGATGAGAATCCGGTGTGCATTTGATCGAGTAGTCCAGATGCTGTATCACCCATGTCCATGTCAGTCTCACCCATCATTCCACCGCTTGCTTGAGAACCCGCTCGAGATGGTTGCCGAGAAAGTTCTGCGGTTGAGCCTGGCGCTGGCGGCTCAGGGGCGGGAGCCTGATAACCTCCTTCCTGGATGCGCTTGGACAGCGGCAGGCTGACTATCTTGCGACCCGTCGATGACTCCACCTGCTGCACAACTTCTTCGATGGAGTGTTTCGACACATGGCGTCCTACGGGCTCATCCTCGGACTGATGCTTGCCGTGTGCTGATCCATGCCCGTCCACAATGTTTCTCAGCTCTTTCTCTTTTATTTTCAGCAGCGAGTGCTCTTTCAATGCAGTCATTGTCTTTTGGTGCTCTTCCTCCATTTTCTGGATCTCGGCTTGAGTAGAGCTGACATATTTGTCGACGCGCTTGCGGAATTCGTCTGCCTGACCAGGATCCAAGCGTCCGATGTATGCCTTCTCAGGGGCCTGGCTGTATGCCTCGCCACCCTGGGCAGTAAAAATGCCCTCTGTTAGCGATGCCAATTCACCTTTGAGACCCAAGCCGAGGTCTGCCGGTGTGATCTGACTTATTCTATAGGCAGAAGACAGGATTTCCTCCATCCACTCGTGATTTTGCTGGTATCGACTCATTGAGATCTCCCTTGGCGTCAAGTGATCAAACATGTCTCCCCTCGAGATGTCCTCATCGTCATCAAAGGCGGCATCGACAGGGGGGATTCCTGGTGGAAGTACTGCTTGCTGAGCCTGAGCCTGGCCATGGCGAGCCCTCTTAGGAGGCGGACCAGGTGGTGGCGGCTGGGCAGGATATGCCATCTGCTGAGGCACACCGCGAGGGTTCATCTGGGGGCCCATCTGCTGGCGGGTGAGCTCCGGGAGTGAGGGCCAGTTGACTCTATCAGACAGCATGAATTCCTTTCGGCGGATCTGGCCTGCCCTCTGGAGAAAGTGGCGCTGTTGCATGATGGCATTGACCCTCTCGTCATAGGGGATCATTGCAACAGGGACGCGATCGTTCATCTCGGCAGGGCCGTAGTGCACAATGAACAAGTTTGGGTCTGGCTGCGGGGGGTTGGGGTGGCCGGCGACGGGAACAAGTCGGAATCGTCGTCGAGCGTGGAGAGTGAATTGTTCGCCGGGGATATAGCCTGCCTTGAGGTAGTATATCTCGAGCATCTGCAGTCGCGCGTCAATCAGTATTTAGGATATTCATCAATAGCTTAATGGTGTTACAAACCAATCCATTGCCCAAATCATGCTTGTAGATCTGCTCAGGCGGCGCCCAGACGAAGCCATCCGTCGCGAAATTGGTCCCCAACCTAGAGAGAGGCTGCCATGTCAGCAGGATGGTGCCATCGGCGGGCTTATCGAGATATGTCCAGAAGAAGGGCGCCTGGTCTCTGGCAATCTGGGGCGCATTCATAAGCCACTTGGCAACCTCGTTGAAGTCGAGCCGGGGGATCGCAGGGTATCGGTACGACGAGATGAGGTGGACATGTGGCATCTATATCCATCCTGTATTTAGCAGCAGTTCTAGTACATGGTGATGCCTGCAATTCGGCATTCGAAATAAGAGAGCACTTACAAGGTCCTGAGGGACGCTGTGGCTGGGATTTGGTTGCGCCATGCTGGGTGCTGTCGGCTCTATGGCGACTCGACTCTTGCAGCTTCAGGCATGCAAAATGCGCGGCCGGTGAGGCACAGATTTTGGCCGTGACGGTGGTGGCAGATCCAATGCGCGCGGCACGTGAAGAGCGCCGATGGATCTGGAGATGAGGCGGAAAGTGGAAAGGCAGATGCAGCGGCCGGGATGCGAAAGATGCAGAGCGTGAGATGCGGCTGTCGTTTGAGTCGCGCGAAACCCGAATTTGTCGCGACGAGGCTGCAGCTGGGCTTTGGGCCAATCACGGGCCGGCATTGAGGGATGAGAGTGGGGCCGTGCATTTACATCGAAGTAGCCTTGCAATGAACGAGTGAGTCCTCGATAAGAGCAAGCATAGACACAATGGATATATAATGTACTTGATTGCCTATTTCATATTATAAATGCTTCATTCAATGGTTGACACATTGATCTTTTCTATTCAGCAAGACTTGAAAGTGCGGGTCTTGGAGACGATCCGTTATCGTACCTGGTACCACGAGCCAATCACTGATCGCCTCTGTACACCAGCGATCTGTGAGGTCACTGTCAAGAAAACGAAGCCTCACCATTCCGTACAATGGCCCTATTATACCGATGCTATATTGAATTGATGTAAATGCAATAAAGCCCTCTGTACTCTGTAGATATTTGTTTACCTACCGTGTCAACTGTCACATGACTCTCTGCAAATCTGCTGCCAACCCATCATCCAATCACGTGACCCCTCCGTTGCCTCGCCGATTTTGGTCTCTCGATATCAACAATCAGTGGCCAAACCGCCACGCTTCTCGAATCTACCAAACCCGCAAAAAATCCTCTTTCGAAATCTCGATACGCGCCCACAAACAGCCGCGCACGTCAAATTTAGACTTGAATTCGTGGGGACTTTGAGCCAAAGGGACGCTCAAAGGTACGTTTTTTACTTTGCACAGCTGCGAGACTCCCATCAGCCATAAGAAAACCAAAAAAAAAACGGGGTTTGTTCATCATGTCACATCCACCACCTCCAGGCACGAATCTCCCTGCGCGCCCCCCCGCCAGCACATCGAGGCCGGGCTTCAGATCGAGCTTCAACCCCTCGGGCCAGTCCTCTGCCGCACCGGCATCATCGTCGTCGACGTCGTCGTACTCGAATGCAAACTCCGCGCGAGCAGCCGCCGCCTCGAGCTACCCAGCAGCCCAAGCCCACTATGGCTCGTCCTACTCCAGCTATCCTAGCCACGCTGCGGGCTCGTCCGTGAACCGCTCTGCTTCGGGATACTCGTATCCTCAAGCAGGCAATCAGCAGCAACACTACCCCCAGCAACAGCAAGCGCAAAGCTACGCCCCTCATGCCTATTCGCAGCAACCATCGCAGTCGTACCAGGGCCAGTCATACCAGGCTCAACCGTACCAGGCCCAGCCGTACCAAGCAGCACCGCGTATTCAGAACCCTTTCCCTACGCCGGGTGCTGCTGCTGCCGCTGGGCCCGATTACGACCCGGACATGGCTGCCCAGATTGCCCAATGGCAGAGCGCCTACGGCCCCCGCGAAACCGACAAGGACGGTAAACCTGTTCCGGCGCCAGAGTACGCGAAGCCCGAGGTCGTAGACCCGACTGCGCAGACGGACAAGAAGAAGACTGTCGTTCGAGAGGGCGGTGGCAAGAAGTGGACCGACGACACATTGCTAGAATGGGACCCTTCCCACCTGCGCCTCTTTGTCGGAAACTTGGCGGGCGAAACGACGGACGAGTCTCTCCTCAAGGCGTTTGCCCGGTGGAAATCTGTGCAAAAGGCCAGAGTCATCCGAGACAAGCGTACGACAAAGTCCAAGGGATACGGCTTCGTCAGCTTCAGCGACGCCGATGACTTTTTTCAGGCGGCCAAGGAGATGCACGGCAAGTACATCCAGAGCCATCCTGTTGTCGTCAAGAAGGCCAATACGGAGATTAAGACGACCAATGTCAAGAATAAGGGACACAACAACAAGAAGAAGGGCGGCAACAGCGGTAATGGTAACCGCGGGAATGATTCAGGGGCTGGAGGGTATGAGCCGAATCTTGGTCCTAGATCGGGTTCTGGCGTTACCAAGGCTGGCCAGAAGACGAAGAATGGTTTACGCCTCTTGGGTTAAAGAATAGGGGAGGAGGGATTGACTTGTTTTGATGGCATGGAACACAAGATTTGTGTTGTTCTCATGGTGTTTTTTATGTTTGAGTCTACGCATTGGCGTTGGGGAAAAGGAGGAACATTATCAGGACATACCCGTACATGGAAATAAAAAAAGGGATTACTTTGATGCATACATAGTGTAAAAATACAACACATGGCCTTTGTTAATACGAAAAGATTTGTCCAGTATACACCTTCATATTTCACATGGGGTATCTGTTTAGCCCTCTGCTCTAGCCGTCTGTCTAAATGCTTTCCCGTCATGCATGCATCAATCAATACATGCTGGTTTATAAATATAAAACCATCACTTCCTCCTCTTCAGCCATATCTTCTCTCCAAATCTGCCCTTGTAAAATAAAAACAACATTTGGTTAGCCCATTAAAAAGAAAACAAGTTTTATGTGCTCCAGTTTGCATTCCCCCGTCCCGTTCCATATCTTCCCATTCAAATGCTTTAACAATGATAATAGGTACCAGGCTTTCTGACAAGATATATATATGTGTGTTTGTGTGTGCAAAAAGCCTTGGCTGGCCTATAAGAAACCTCGAAATAACAGCCAGTATACAAGAAAATTTATAATAAAATGACGTGGTATGTAGGGCAGGCAGTCCGAAGTCGCCCAACGTTGCGTATATATGTATATTCGATTGCATTCCCTTTCTTTCTCGTTTAGTCGTCCCTTCTTAGCAGGCGATCTCTCGACGCATCTCTTTGGTGTGAGGTTCGCACACCATTGGGCTGAATGTCTCCGTCAGACGTGACGAGGGCGTCGCCCCTCTCCATGTTCTGCGCAAGGAGACCCGCCGTCTCTTCGGCGCTGTCGTCGTTTTCAAAGTCGCTAGCGCTGGTGCTCATGCCGGCGTCGACGTCGGTGACGCGAACGTGGACTTGGACCTGGGCCTCCTCGCGCATCTTGCTAATCTTGACGTAGTTGTATGCGATGATGGCCAGCATGGTAGTGATGAGGCCGATGAAGTTGATGAGGGTGAGCTTGTCCTTGAACACGACGGAGGCGGCCGAGATGGTGACGACCTCCTTGAAGATGCCGGCAATGGAGAGGGTGACGACGGATGTACGCTGCAGCAAGGCGAACTCGGATGCCGTCATACAAAAGGCAATGCAGCCCGGGAACAAAAGAAACAGGGGCGTCATGAAGGTGCCCCATTCGGCACTGAGAGTCTTTAATCCTTCCCAGAGGGGAACGAAGCCCTCAACGGGGATTGCAATGGAAAACAGAGTGATGAACATGACTGGCGTAAGGAAGAAGATGCTGGAAAAGGGGTTCGACGTCGCGGGGTTGCGGAGAAGCAGAATCTGGGTGAGGCCCCAGCGGAAGCCGGAGAAGAAGGCTGCGGAGATGACGAGAGCGAAGCCACCGAGCTTGAACTCGACTTCACCAAACACCATGAGAATGACGCCCATTGTCATGGTTGCAATAATGGCGACGAGGCGCCAGGTGGGCTTTTCGAGGCCGAAGGCGAAGGCGAATAGGAGAACGAATGCGAGAGAGGAGGATTTGCACATGGCTTGAAGAGTTGTTAGTTCGGCGGGATAGTTGCCAGAGTGGTTAGTCGAAAACTTACTATAAAATGTCAAACTGATAAACTTGAGTGAAGTGTTTCCCAAGCCAATGTCGAGACCAGTGGCAGCACCACAAGGTCCAACCCTTGTCAGATAAAACATCTTGGACATGGTCGAGCTTGTCTCCGTCTCGTGCCGGGATCTGCCCATGTCGGATGTGTGGGATTTCTGTGGTCGTAATGACGGAATGAAGAAGAGGACGAGGCCGGAGAGGATAAATTGCACCACCATGTGCATCGACGTTGTGAATAGTGGGAATGCAAAGTTGAGGCGATCTTCGTCAAACATCCACTTGTTGTACTGCAAGCCAATTCTGTCAGAGGAAACCATTACAGCAAAACCAAAAAGAGGGCAATTTTGGCTTGTAAAGGCAGTCAACTTACCAGTGAGATGGATAGTGAAAAGAAGTACCACAGCAGAATCAAAACAACATTGACCAGCAGCTTCTTGACCACGTCCTTGTCTGCTTCCTGGCGCTCTTCTTCCGACAACGACTTGTCACGCGCGATGCGCTGTCCCAGCTGTGTTATTCTCCGGCGCTTCTTCTGCCTCCGGGCACGCTCCTTGTTGCTCAGTCCCGTCTCCTCGTCGCTGTGTAGATCCTCATCGCTAAAGCTGGGCCTCCCGTGGCCTTCGTCGTCGTTTACAGAGTTGGTCGATGTGCTGCTGCTCCCGCCGTTTTCCTCCAACAAGTCTGAGCGGTCAGGCAAACCCGCCGAAAGGTGTTTTCTGCCACCAGCGCCGGCAGCAGCTGGCCTCGCCGGTGCGGCTTGGGGAGCGTTGTTGAGGGCGCTGCTCTTCCGCCTCCTGTGTCCTAGAATAGGCTCCATCTCGATCTCGGTGCTGTTGCTGTCGCCGGCCACTTGTGCAGAGGCGACTGCCGAGAACGAGGACTGGACAAACGCGCTGGTGGATGCGCCCTCTCGTCCAAACTCGGGGGAGGTGACGACGGAGGGGGAGAAGTCGGGGAAGGGCTCGGTGAGGGTGGCGTCGGTGTCAATGGCGATGGAGGAGCGACGTCGATGAGGGTGAGGGTGAGGATGAGAGGAGAAGGACATATTTTAGTCACAGCACAAGGTGGTGGCAGTTGGAGTGCTGTAATGTAATAATGAAGGGGGCATCCAGGACGGGGTTTGGCTGCCCATGCCCATGTCCGGGATCTGGTTGGCTGCCGGTCTACTTCTTTTGTCTGGAGCTGGACCGGGGCCTGGCCATCGACTCTCTCCGCTTCTGCGATGCAGCTAGAATGAAAATTGGGCCAGATGCTGGCGGATGACCAGATGGAGGAACAGATTTGCGGGAGGAGAAGAGAATAGAGAGAGAGAGGCGCGTATCCGTACCCGCCAATTGAGGAACGAAGTCAATGCTAGCAATGCAGACTCGGAATCAATGCGGTGGTGGCCCAAGTACAAGTACAAGTACCTCAATGCAAGGGGGGGTGGAGTGTCAGGTGTTAGCCTCAGGGTCACCAGAGCGCCTCTCGGGGAAGCCAGAGCGGCAGGGGGTAACTGACGGGCCCTGGAAAATGGAACCTAGAAGCCCAATTGAAGCACTGTCAGGGGAGAGAGATGGGCGCTGAGATGGTATCGTAGAGACTATTCGTTGTCAAACAAGTACGGGTACATTGAGGCAACATTGAGTCTGATGTACAGTACAAGCAAGTTCAACCATTCCTGATGGATAAAGGCAGCTTTCCTGTAGCATCGCATATATGTATTCAGGCGAGAGAAATAGTAGACGGACCCCAAAAAATTGATCCAATATTCCCGCCCGCCAAGCTAGGTACTAAGACGGCTGTATTATTGCTGCCGCTGCTATTCACTCTTAGGCAGGAGCTAAAATACAAATTATTGCCACCTAATCATAGCAGACCTTTGAGCTGCTTTTTCAAGATCCATTCCATTGATTCCATTACATATCGCAGATGGCTGTATTGGTCTCGATTGCTTGGCAGCATCTCCTTATAAACCCGCCAAGTGCTCTGCCTGAACCGAGTACGAAACCCGACTTGTTCAATCCCGCCCATCGGACTGTCGCGTGCCCGGCAGATACAAAGTCACTGTACACCATGAACGCAGACAGATGGAAATCCCCCTCTCCAATCCAATGATTGATGCTTAACTGGGCCGTGTGGATACGGCAGCCAACCAGCCGGTGATTAGCGCAAACGGAAGAGCGAGAGCCATGCGCTGTCCCGGACATCCGCCTATTTCTCTGTGTAATGAAAGACTTTGATGTTGGCATGGAAGTCGGCACTTTTTTGTCTTACATTCTGATCTTCATAACAGAGGTACCTAGCAGGTAGTCTATGATGTAGGTACTCAGTCATCCTTACTTAAGACATGGACGGCAAACAAGAACTGCTCTCGGATGAAAGAATGCCGTGCACGCAACCAGAAGAGACTCCCTCATCAACACCATCTTAACTCATCCCATCTCATCTCACCTCCCTGCAGCACAAACAAGTCCTGAGCAGCCGCAACAAGTATCGCCAACTTGGTAGCGCTGTTTCGGTCTGATTGAGCTGCCTGATCTCCTGAATTGAGCACTACTTAGTACTTTACCCCTGTCTATTTTAGTTGGTCCGGCCCCCGCTCCACGAGGCAAGGGTGAGGATGGTACAGTGTGGGAGGCCGTTGGGATACGTGCGCGCACTCTCAGCGAAACATTATGCGCACATGTGTGTGGGAGCTTACATGCGCACACAGGAGTTGGAGCACCATTCAATGGCTCACCCAGCACGGATGGCCACCAGCCTATGGCGGCAACAGATAGGAAACGTGAGATACATGTTCTGAACACTATCACGTGTCGTTTGAGATTCTCCAAGATATACTGAGAAGCAGAGAACAAATGCCCATCATTGCTTCACTTGAAGCAAGTCAAATAACCTCTTTATCCGGAGTCAACCACACAACTTTGATGGTCCACGACTAATCAATCCATTAACCCCGCCGGAATATATGGTAACCCCAAATATCTGCAGTGCAACACATGCTCGGGACAATTCAAATGTGTGTTACTGATGTGCTGTCTTTGCTTCCCTCCAGCAATAGGTCCGTCCGTTTGCAGCATACCTAGGTAGGAAGAGATGCTTGTATCCGAGTCTCATTACTCTATCGATGCAGACATTGGAACTTGTGTTATGTAATCTTGCAGATCACATGCTCTGCTTTGCCTTGGTTGCTCTCCAGCTGACATCATCAACCGGTACGTACCAATCGGTACCTGCGCTCGCCGGTATTGGCCCCGGATCCACCTGCAGCACAGTCGCACCTCGGTCTATCGATGCACTCGAGTATACATCAAAGAAGCGTCTCCTCACAAGTAACAAGATGTAATTGTATATTTTAATGTCCACTTGAGATGAATCATCTATCTAGATATTTTCATCTATCATTATATTTACATCATAACAACTAATTAGTTATCTACTTACACGCAACAGAGAAAACCAGAGTACACCTCAAAAGTACATCCATAGATCCGCCACCCCCGGTTTCGCCGAGGCTAATTGTCTGTCAGCCGGGGCCCCTCCAACTGGGCTTTTGCCTGCCTACTACTAATACGTGACAACGCCATAGAGCTTCATCTCATACATCAAGCAAACCACAACTTATCTCACTCACTCACATCACTCACACCATTCTTATACCTAAAACAAACAAATAACACATCAGTTCATATACAACCATGGAAGACGCTTCCTGCAGCGGCTCGACGCCCTTCAAGCGTCTCGTCGACCACCAGTCCCGCGATTCTAGCCATCACCAAGACAGACATGTGAGCCGAGGGGCTTTCGGACAGAATGTGAGCATTCCCTCTCTCTCCCTCCCTTTTTCCACCGCCATCACCAAAACCACATCGTGATCTAGCTCTTGCTAACGTCTTGGACAAAAAGTCTTTCCGCTCTTCACCGCTGCATCCCGCTCAGGCCCAGCAAGATGGCTTCGGCGCATTCATGGGCAGCGCGTCTGCCCTGCCCGGCTTTGAGAGCGATCCCGCCACCAGACTGACGCCCTCGCTGCCCTTTGCGCAAGTTGCGCCAGCAGCAGCTCATCCCAGCTTCGCCAGTCCCGCGCCGATGCAGATGCAGGCTTCAAGTGCGAGCAGCTGGGCAACCGACTTTAACCGCTTCACGGCACAGCAGCAACGAGCGCCTTCAGCAACTCACATGGCGGCACCAGCTCGCCAGATGAGCCATTCGCCTGCCCAGTCCAACTTCCAGTCGAGCTACCAGCCTACCTTTGCGCAGCCAAACTTTGCTGCTGCGTTTGGCTCGTCGTCCATGTTCAGCCCCCCTGCTGCCGCAACAGCAAGGGAGCCGGATTTCGACCAGGAGATGTCGCGCTGGATGTCGACACACGGAGGAGGCAATATGACCGAGGTAGATGCCGCCATGGAGCAAATGGCCCGCGAACTAGAGGAAAACGAGGCCATCGCCGCTGCAGTTGAAGCCTCGAAGCAGACACATCTCGAAGAGCCCGAAATCGGCAACCTCTCGCTAGACTCAAAGGAACCAGAACCCGAGCTCGCACCCGTCATGGAACAGGAACAACAACTGGAGCCAGAGCTGGAAAAGGAACAGGTAGACACCCAGCTCCCGAAATCAGCCGTCGCCGAGGCCGCCGAGAAGCTGCTCGACTGCGTCAAGCACGAGAGCGGCGAGAAGTGGCAAAACTCAATCTTTTTGTCCCTGATGCGTGACTTCCGCGACGGCAGGAAGGACATTGTGGGCGACGAGATTCGGTCGACGACGGGGGAGACGACACCTGCTACGCCTGCGGTCCAGCCTGTGGCGACTTGACTTGCGTCGTCTGCTGCGGGGGATTCTGAGAGGTTGTTTAGGTCGTGTGTTGGATATTTGAGCCAGACTACTTTTTGAACTGGTGTTTTTTTTTTTTTTTTTTTTTTTTGGAGCTTGGATTTGGGAGCAGGGCGTTTTTGGGATAGCAAATGGTGGAATTTAGATATTCATCTAATTGGTGTATTAGATTGTATTTATCACGACGTGTCTTTTACATCGGATGTTATGTTTGGTGCCCATGGGAAAGATGTTGCCTGAATAGGGGTGAACATGTACAATAATAGGACAAGGTGATGGTAGTTCATCAAATTCATCATTCGGCTCGCATTAAGGAATCAAAAGAGTTATGCATCATCACAGTGAAAAGGCTCAAATGCCACATATACAAAGTCATTTTTTCATTTGTCGTATATTTCGCAGCAGCAAGTCCATCGACAAGCTGCACGCATCCACTCCATGATTTTACTCTTCGACAGAAACCGCATCGGCTCAACTGTAAACAACAACGCAAGAGGGCAAAAAACATTGCCCCAGAAAAACAGAAGAAAAAAAAGGGAGGGAAAGGAATAAAGAGTATACAGTCTATATACATGCAAAAAAAAAAAAAAAAAGGAAATCAGCCACATAAAAAAGCCTGCGCGCTGCCGCTACGCGTGAAGATGATTAAAAAAAGAAAAGTTAGAGAAAATAAACACATGAACGTATCCCCTCCAATAACCCCCCTTGCCTCCTCAACGCCGACTTGAAAAAAGAAAATGAGAAGAAAGTAACGCCTCGAGATGCAGAAGAGTCCATCCTCCGTTTTTGTGAGAAAGAATAGGCCACATCTGCCTAAAGATCAAAACGCCGGCACATGATATGAAAACCCCCCCTTTGAGCCTGTAGACACACAGGCAATGATACTAGAGAGATATAGAGAGAATAAGGAAAGAAAAGGTCAAAGAGCTAAACAGCGTCTATGAGGAACCCGTAATAGGAGAAGACCACAGCAGGCACCCACAGGGCGTCAAATTATACACCTGTTTGGCAACCCAAGGGTCGGTCCAGCTCCTACGAACCGGGCGTTCATCGCGCTTTCGTCCGTAACTACTCTTCTGGTCATCGTTGTCAAAGTTTTCGCCGAGCTCAATCACGATGGGCTTCCCGAAGCTATCGGTCAAGTTCTTCATGCTGCGCCCATCGTTGTAAATCAGGACCTGCCGACAAAAAGGCTTGGGAGTCAACGAAGTCACCCGGTTCTCCGTGATTTTGACCGTTTTCGGATAAGGATGAAAGCCGTCTGTGGGATACGGGTTGGAGACAGGAGCTACCGTCGACGTTGGATGAGGCGATGAGCTGGCGTTCTGAGTAGGGTAGATGAAAACCTCGAGCTTCGTGTCTGGCCATGTGCATATCCAAGGCTTGTCGCCGTTCTTGGCTCCGACGCTTGCGCCTCTGCTCTGCATTACATCATGGTTGACGAGTGGTCGGCCCAGGTTGTCCCAGCGCTTGGATTTTGAAGAGAATGCTTCCTCTTGAACGACGACGGTCTTGTCATATGTCACCTGGAGCCACCACGCCGGGCCACGCCGAGGCTCCATGGTGTCGTTGACAAGTTGCATGGGCGAGCCATAGATGTGTGGAGGCTGTGTCCCCCAGAGAAATTGCGAATCAAGGGAGTTGATGGCCTTGAGAGTGAGGTTGTAACACGACGTGTCTTCTGCGTCGTCAGATACATCGATATTCATTTGGTAATAGCTATAAGGTAAGTTGCAGCTCCAAGCAGAAAGCTGACTGGGATCGGCGAGACACGCGTTGGGTGCTGCGCTGGGGAAAATGGGTGGCAGCGCATAGTTGCCAGGCGGCAGACGAGGCAGACCAATTGGGACGCTGCTCAAAGGAACAACATCAGGCGCCGGCGTTGGAGTGGGATAATTTTCATCGGATGGACCGCCACTGGACAAGTTAATGACATTGAGACAATGAAAGAAGCGGGGGTTGACGGAGGAAAAGACATACCTAGGTCGCGATTTATGATGTGAGAGAACAGTTCCAATAACGGCGCCCAATATGACACCCATGAGAACAACGCCGATCAAAAGCAGGCAAATGGCCCAGTACGGTACAATGCCCCAAAGCTTCTTCTTTCCCCTGCGCTGCCATTTGTTCATCCTGGCCTTTTCTGCGGAGCCCTGAGCGGCCGTGTTGATGTCGTGCCGACTGTTACTAGATGGTCTAGATTGCGAGGGCTGAAGGTCCTCTTCGGTAGAGGAAAACTCGGGATTCCGCGTTGCTCTCCCGGCCCCAGCGACGGTCCCAGCCGGAGTCGAAGTCCCGGTCATGGTTTCTTCCGGTATCGCAACAGCGGGGGTCTTGGAGGCAAAAGCTTGATCAGGATATCTCGTGTATGGAGGTAGCTCTTCGGTATGCCCCAGTGGCCCAACCAAAGCGCCTGCTTCTTCTCCATCCGGTCCAAGTTGTCTTTGGTATCCATCGCCAGCTGCTGCGAAGCCGAGGGGGATCTGGTGAGGAGTCTCATCGCCTGTAGTGGCAATGTTTTGCGGATAAAGAGCATATGGGTGCGCGGGGCCGCGATGTCCATCGTATGAACGACGGTTCGCAGGCTGGTCAGTCGATGCCGTGGCGTTGCTCAGTGTCCTCTGCAGATACATCTGATACGGATGCGAAGCGCTGGTGGGGCCTCGATAAGGGCTCTGAGGCCGCAACTGAGGCAATCCTGTGGAAGATGCTAATGACGGACCGGTCTGTGCAGAATTCGAGCCATCGTTGTGAAGCGTAAGAGAATCGTGAGGTCGTGGTGGTTTGTATGCGCTTGATGGGCGGGCAGGCGCGGATGGTGGGGGTTTGGAGGTGGCAGAACTCGACTGTTGCTGGTTGGATGGGTTGAGAGACAGCAATCGAGCCTGCGAAGAATCGGGAGAGGCGACCTCGGGGTTGTTTGGGGTCGATGATGAGGATGAAGTGTCGGTTGGCGTTAGATCTGTTGGTCGGAAGCCGTCAGACACGGTGGCTACAGCCAGTTCGTATGAATCATGGCCCTCGCTGTCCTCTGACTGCCTCCGCGACCGTTCCTGGAGCGACTTCTGGGAGATCTCTGCGGATTTTCTGTTGAAGGGATCCATGGCGACAGCGGCGAGATTGGCGTCTGGCGAAGAGCGCTGGAGCGACTGCCAGAGCAGGAAGAGGCCAGGAGGATCTCAAGACGAAGCGGCCCTGAGAGGCCGCAGACGGCACCTGTCGGCGTCGTCCCCCGATTGGCCGCGTGGGAATTTAACTCGGCCGGCCGGGGAACGAAGACCAAGACACGATGAGACGGCGATCAGAATGCAAAGGCGAGGGCAGATCGATCGATTTCTTTGTCCGTCGATGGGAGGTTGGTGTTAGTGTCGGGGGCGTGTCGAGCGAGGATGCGGCGTCGTGACTTTTGCGAGCGGCATCAACGACGGCTGAGGATAGCGACGACGTCAATACAAGGCGAGTGCTCAATTGGCATCAAGCCAGGCGTGGTGGAAGCAGGGAAGCCGGATCGCGAGATTCCAAATGGCTGAGGTCAGTTCAGGTCAGTTCAGGTCAGTTCAGGTCAGGCCAGTGGAGGCCAGTGGAGGCCAGGGCCAGTGCAGTACAAGCAGTGGGCAGCAGAAGCACAGCAGAAGCAGAAGCGGGCTGGAATCAAGTCCCGGAGCACTGAGCGCCCACTGAGCTGTAGCGCTCATGCAGCGCTGGCAACAGAATCCGGGCGCCAAAAAAAACTTGCACGATGAACCAGACGGCAATTCGGTGACACTCTAGGTTTCGGATCGAATGGAGCTAGCCTGTATGGGACCTGCGGGGTCGGAAAAAGAGGAACTTCGGGCGTGTCATTGGCCGGCAGCGTTTTAGTGGTCAGCACGGATCTAAGCCGGATACAGGTGGCTTGCCTGCATTGGCCCCTGAAGCTGAAGCACCCAAGCAGAAAAAAAAGGCACGAGCGCCGGGTTTGCAGCGTCTTGTTGAAATGTTTATTTTCTTTGTTGATGAAATGGATTGATGCAAATAGATTTCAGATTATGACGTCTCGTGATAGGTTGGCTACTGATTCTGACACATTGTTCACGTGAAGGCGACATAGAACACGAGGGTCTCAAACTTTGATACTCCTACAGCAACCACACATTTGCACAGTACGTACCTTATACGAAGGAGTCCGTCAAACTCTGTGCCATGCCAGGGGGCCTATCGGCAACGCCTCTCTCTCGGGTGCTCATGTTCGGACTTAACAAGGAAAAGAAAAGCTGGAGGCGAAAGACGGCATGAGATTGGAGACTGGAGCCCTGCCGTGAGCCGGCTGCCGTCCCCGCCAAGCCCAGGCCATTCATTGAACATGCTGGCACGGGCTCAGGTCGGCTCAGCTCAGTCATCCATCAGGGCGGCGATCATCATCTGCCCTCTTTTGATAACATCCCCAAGGGGCGAAGCGCAGAGCATAGACACGGGCAAAGATGGTAAGATGGTACAGACCTTGCCCTGACAGGCAGGCATGGTCTTGTGACGGGGGGCCCAACTCAACTCAAATCTCACCACAAGCCTCTTCTTATCTTCAGATGGGATGGGTATTACAGGCACCTTACGGATACACAGCCAACCAACTCCACACCTCCCGAGGACGGGCTCTGGTGATGGGCTAAGGGTGTCAGCTAACCTTATTGCGAACAGCGCTGACAAAGCCCGATGGGAGGACTTTTTTCCCTGTTCTTTTTTGTCTTTCATCTTGCCGAGAGCAAATTACATGTAGTTGGTGTGACCGTGGACGGAGCGGGATCCCCGGTATAAGCCGAAACAGTGCGGCCACAATTACATCAATACACGCGAGGGATGGGGTCAGAAATACAAAATAAGGTGTTGCTATTAAGCTACTAATTAATTAGAGAGCGAATATCCAGCATACCGCATCCCAAGATAACAAGGTGCCATATCGATCAAATATCACATAGCTTATAGTACCTAGTAGAAGATTGATACTAACCTAGAGCGAAATAGAAGAAAATAGTAGCGATGGTATCACACACTGAGAGGACTTGGGTCTTGATACCAAGTCCCTGCGCTGGATGGTGCTTAATGCGCTGATTTGTCAATACAGCTCTATCTACCTGCCTATCTATGGAATACGTCATGTCCATCAAATGCAACATCAGCTATTTACGCCTGTTCTTAATGAGCCGAGGACAAAACTCGGCATCTCATCAACCTCTCATGTCCAAGTGTAACCCTGATATCGCACTGTTGGCTTGATGCACACTTATATGGGCACCTCTGTACTATCGCTTTTGCACACATCTCGCTCTTTTGCGTTAGATGCTTATATGTTAGGCGATAAGTTGCATACTTGATCAGCTTGGTTATACCTAAGGTATGTAAATAACCTAGAGCTGGCAGCCAGGTAGGTAGGACAAGGCTGGGCCTCGGCTTTGAGCATCTCTATCGTGTCAGAGTGCGCATATAATATCTTCCTCTTTGCAGTCTATTCCTAGACAATCGTTTTAGCATAAGGCGGTATATAGGAACTTCTGGTTTAGAGACCCTGGAGGCTGTTCACAATGATGCACAGAGGGAGTTCTGCTTCACTGATTGGGAGTGTACCTCTCGTTTCCGTAAGTGTGATTCTCTGACTGCATCTTTTCTTCTTTTAACTCCAAAATCTAGGCTGGTTAGATATATTTAATTCGAGAATCCCCATTGATTTATGCGGAAAGGAAGTCTTTTAGAGAATTTAACCATGCTTATGTTGGGCACCACAGACTGGATGCTGCCCTGCGAGAGGCCCTCACCAGCTTTCCCCTCTCCCCTGTGCACGAAGCATTCACTTGCAAATCCTTTCCCAACGATTGCTTGGGCATAAACGCAGCAAACAACGAAGTATTTTCTTCTGGTTGGCAGATGAGCTACAACTCCAGTTTTTGGGCAGATGCGGGAGGCCGACACAAATGCATGCGGCATCGAATGATAGGCCTTGTAGGCCTCCCGTAGCCGCGCATACATGTACCTTATGTAGGCAACAGGCTGCCAACTGCCACACTGCTTCCTCCATATGCCCTCTAACTCGGCAGCTTGGACTTTTTCTCTCCTCTTCCATCTTTTTCTCCCTTTCCACCCTTTTTTGTTCCCGCCTTCAGTCTCTCACTCTTCAGTGTTTTCTCCTCCCAGCCTCGATTTTCCTGTGCACCTCCCCTCCTCCTTCCTGCAACTCCAAGATAACCGAAGCATCATCACGTTTGATTCGCCAGCCGTGAGGCACTAAATCCTCCCAAAGCAGGAAAATGCGAAGGAATCAGTCAGTACTTGGCAGTGGCTAAATATATTGCTTCTTGTGCTGACATCCTCTGTCCCTCCAGATCTAACTATCCCACCCCTCCCAGTACTCCAACTGAAAGCTCCCTCAAGCCGTGCTTTCATTTCTTGCGGAACAACGGCTGCAAATTTGGGGCTCGGTGCAAATTCTCCCATGAGGTGAGTAGTGGCACACAGGCGGGCCAGCCAGCAGATAGGAGGCGCCCAAGTACCGCCTCGCGTCCCTTTGCCAGCAAGAATTACCGCCCACCAGAGGGGAAATTGTTGAAATGGAAGAGCTTGCTCAGGTCCGGCGAAGGAACTGCTCGACCATCGCACACTATTGTCGGCCAGTTCTTTAGCCTCGCTGTCGAACTCATGGATGGCGATGTCGGCGGCGCTCAGGAGACAATCAGGCTCGTCGTCACCGAGGCTGGACTGTCCTTTATCAAGGATGTCATAGACCGGCATATTCCCATGGATAACATCTCGACCACAGGTGTTCGTCTCTGGGAGACGGAGATTAAGCCACTCTTTCAGCTTGTGACTCATCCTCGCGTTGTTGATTCTGCTGTCCTAGAGCAAGAAGTGGCATCCATATTCAACTACCTCGTTGGAGTGGGAGGAGTGAGAATGAACAAGCTCTTCAACTATGTCAGCACATTATTTCAAAAGTGGCCATCCTCCACCACGCAAATCTCTCTCATAGAGGCAGTCGAGTTGTCTCTCGCGGTGTTGGCCAAGATGTTGGACTGCAACACCACCAATATCATCAACGAAGCTTTCTCAACATACGCCAGCAGCTTGGCTAGCCTCTTGGACAAACCAGCAGAACCAGAAGAGATGCTTCCTCGTCTTCAAGCCAAAAGGTACCTAGATTACATTGGTCAGCGTGTTCAAATTGGGTATCAGTTGTCAAGCCTAGAGCCGCGAGTTCAAGCTACCCAGACCCATGAAACTTTCACTCTAACAAGAGATCTTCCTGGCCGTCTATCTCCTGGAGGACCTAGGCACAACAACGACCATGCGAGCATAGTCAATATCAAGATTTTGCCGACGTACGAGGAGATCATGTCACCAAGAGAGGAATATCTACCGGTAAATGACTCTTCTCAGTGGCACATCCCTGGCATCCGTGGGCGTCTAGACAGGGAATTTCGCCTAATACGAGAAGATACTGTCGGGCAGCTACGAGATGCGGTTCGTGAGGCGTTTGGACGCATCCGTGGTACCACCGGCGGTATCGGTTACCAGACAAACTCCAATAACTTGCGTACATATACTTATGACTCTGCCACTCTCGTCGACATGCAATTCGACGCAAACGCCGGTCTAGACTTGGTTGTTCAATGTGATCAGCCTTCTTCCGTTTTGACACTGACCCCAGGACAGAGAAGGGATTGGTGGGAGAGATCGAAACGCCTCCAGGCCGGCGCACTTGTGTGCATCATGGACAAAACCGACTCCGTCATGTTCTGCACCGTGTCTGAGTCCACCATGAGGAACAGAGATGACAAAAAGCACCGCTTCGAGAAGAAATCATCAGATGACGAGGAGCCCGCAGAAAAGGCTGAGCCCTTGACTCTTTCGGATCATGACATATACTTGCACGTCAACTTGCAGCTTGTAGAGGCAAATGAAGACGATGTTTCGCGTGTTCTTCATTGGTCCAAGAGCACGGGGCCATCGCGCCATCGATATCTTGTCGAGTTTCCTGGTGTCCTTCTGGCATCGTTCAAGCATACGCTTGATGCCCTTAAGCAAATGTGCCAGCAACCAAAGATGCCTTTCGTTGACCTCTTGGCTCCAGACAACGTTACTGTTACAGAGGCTAATCCGCAGCCACCTTTATACGCGAGAAAGGCCGGCTTCACATTCGACATCGGATGTATTACGCATGATAACTCTGAGTTTCTCGTTTCTCCCCAGCAGCGTCCGAGTCCAAAACTCATTGAATCACGAACGGCTCTAGACCTTACGCAGTCCGCTGCCCTCCTGAATACCCTGTCACGGGAACTGTCACTCATTCAAGGCCCTCCTGGTACTGGAAAGAGCTACAGCGGAGAAAAGATTATCAAAGTCATGCTGGCAAACAAGGGAAAGACTAGTATTGGGCCAATATTGTGTGTTTGTTATACAAATCACGCTTTAGATCAGCTTCTCGAGCACCTTCTTGATGATGGAATCGACAAAGTCATTCGCATCGGATCTCGATCAAAGTCAGAGAGACTACAGGCCCTCAACCTGCGAATGGTGGCCCAAAACAGCGACCGCACGCGATCAGAAAAGTCCTCTCTTTGGGAAATACAACAGAGCTTGGGGGATATTGAGCATAGTATGAGAGATTCGCTCCGTGGACTGGCAGCATCAGATTCACCACCATCTATCAGGGCGTTTCTGGCACAAACCTTTCCTAGGCACCACGGGACGCTGTTTGGTGAAAGCGAAGACGGATGGGAACAGGTCACCAGAGCACCTCGTGAAGTCTTGCGACGCTGGCTCGCAGGTGGCCCGCGGGACAGCTTCTATTGCCGAGATGTTGAGATTCTAAAAGAAACCAGACTTTCTGCTATGAACAATGCCGAGCGTCAAGTTCTTCATAGATACTGGCTCAACAGCATCATGGCCCCAATCATTCACACAATCACGAGACTTCAGAAAGAGCACTCTGAGTTGATAGAACGGCGTAATCGAGTGCGCAGCGATGTGGATCTGCGCTGCCTCAATCAGGCCAATATCATTGGAGTTACAACAACAGGGCTGGCCAAAAACCTGGCTCTCCTCCGGAAACTACGATGCAAGGTTATGCTTTGCGAGGAAGCTGGAGAGGTGTTGGAGGCGCACATTTTAACCGCTTTGCTGCCTTCGATCGAGCACGCCATTTTGATTGGCGACCATCTCCAATTGCGTCCACAGATTCAAAACTATGAACTGCAAAGCACCAATCCTCGGGGTAAGCAGTACTCTCTGGATACGTCTTTGTTCGAGAGATTGGTCGAACCGCCGCACCTGATGGACCTACGCCTTCCCTTTAGCACATTGGACACCCAGAGGAGGATGCACCCGTCCATATCTGAACTTGTACGATCAACTTTATACCCATCTTTGCAAGATGCCGAGAACGTTATGATGTATCCAAAGGTGGCTGGTATGAGAGAGCGTCTTTTTTGGCTTCACCATGACCACCTAGAAGCCGGTGCGGCCAGTCACGACCCCCTGAATACCTCTCACTCGAACGATTATGAAGTTGAGATGACCGTATCTCTCATATCTCATCTCGTTAAACAAGGAGAGTATTCCCCAGACGATATTGCAGTTATTACGCCGTATCTGGGCCAGCTACATAAGCTACGGCGCCGAATGGAATCCATGTTTGAGATTTGCCTCAACGACCGTGACCTTGCAGAACTGGAAGAGTTCGAAAGCAAAGGCCAAGCAACTCCGTCCACTGTCAAGGCGAAACAGTCTAGCAAAACAACTCTTCTCAAGAGCGTCAGGGCTGCAACCGTTGATAACTTCCAGGGTGAGGAAGCAAAAGTCATCATCATCTCTCTCGTGCGGAGTAACTTGCAAAGGAAGTGTGGATTTCTCAGCACTTCCAACCGCATTAATGTTCTGCTGTCCCGTGCAAAACATGGCATGTACATTATTGGAAACTCGGACACTTACTATAATGTTCCAATGTGGCAGGAAGTCATTGACATGCTCACCACGAATGGCCGCTTGGGCACAAGTTTGGAGCTTCAGTGTGACCGGCATCCCGACACCCCAATCCGCGTCTCCCAGCCAGACCATTTCACGCTATTTTCTCCTGAAAGCGGGTGCAATCTGCCTTGCGACAAGAGACTTCACTGTGGCCATTCTTGCACTGGAAGGTGTCATTCGGACATTCTGCACAATGTAGTCTTTTGCCACGAACCTTGTCCTCGGCCTCAAAAAGGTTGCGATCATGCCTGTCCTCGACGATGTGGTGACGTATGTCCGCCCAGGTGCTCTGTTCAGATAAACAATATCGATCTCGTACTCCCATGTGGCCACAGGCTTTCTTCGGCAACGTGCTGGGAGACTCAAAACCCCGCCTCTGTTCGCTGCAAGGTCCTCGTTAGACGGAAAGTTCCAGGGTGCAATCATGATGTCGAGGTCCAATGCTTTTATGACGTGACCGCTGCCAATCATCGGTGCAATGTCTCGTGCGGGCACAACCGTGAGTGCGGCCATACGTGCAAGAGTCCCTGTTTTAAATGCAACCAGCGGGAGGACGGCACGATAAAGAGGCAGAATCACGGCATCTGCAGCCAGAAGTGTGGTCGAAGCTATACGACATGCCGACACAGCTGCTCTGAGATTTGCCATGGCGATGCTGGGTGTCCACCTTGCAAGGAACCATGTGAAGTACGTTGTGGACATTCAAAATGCAACAAGGCATGCCACGAGCCGTGTGCTCCTTGTGCGGCAAACACATGCCACTCGAGCTGCCCTCATACGAAGTGTACGATGCCATGTGCTGCACCATGCGACTGGGTTCCATGCTCTAAGCGGTGCGAGAATATGCTGGAATGTGGCCATCAGTGTAAGTCTCATCGTGAAAATTCTTCTGTTATACGACTCAAAGCTAATGGTTGTGTAGGTCCTTCACTCTGTGGAGAAGTATGTCCCGACAAAGCATTCTGCCAGCAGTGTGCGGGTGAGGCTGTAAAGTCCGCATGCGTCGATTTCCTTGAGATGAAAGAATATCACGAGATCGACTTGGATGAAGAGCCTTGCATTTTCCCAGATTGCGGACATTTCCTGACTACTTCGTCTATGGATGGCCAGATGGGAATGGGGGCATACTACGACCTGAATGAAGATGGCCATCCGGTACGGCTCGGCAAGACTTCTGAACCTTTTTCGCTGGACGAATCGGGCATTCCGGTATGTGCAACCTGCCGGGGCTCTCTCCGAAACATTGCCAGATACGGCCGCATTGTGAGGCGAGCCATCCTCGACGAGTCGACAAAGAAGTTTATAGCGTGGGCACACTCAAAATACCTCTCCTTGGCGACTCGCTTGCTCGGAGAACAGGAAATCTTGGCGCAAGCGAGCCCTGGAAAGGTGCTTCAGGCCAATGCAGCATCCTCTGTGGCAAGAGGTGTTCAACTGATTAGCTCCGCTCCGAGACTAAAACAGCTCCGAGAATTGCAAAAGACTGTGGGCAAAGGGCGATATGACTCTATTATCAAACTCTGGAGGGAGATTAAAACACACGCCAACAGTGTCAGGGGAGAAGAGCAGCCGTTCAAGCGAGTGGCAGACTTTGTGCAATTTGCCAATCGCCAAAACATGGCGAGTCGAGAGTTTCGATATGATGAATCCGTCATCCAGGTCAAGGGGTCGCTTCTTGCGGACGCACTGCTGCTTAAATGCGATATTATCATCTTGTTCGACTTTCATCGTTGGGCCAAAGATGGGGGTCTGGCCCGAGTTGATACAGAAGTCAAGTTGGATTTGTCGCTTCATTGGACTGATTGTGCTAACCTCATTGTGCAATCTCGTTCACTCAAGTATGCCAGAGAAGAGGTTCAAGGTCACATTTTTGCCGCGCAGCTCTGTGGGCTGTGTCTATCGTTTGACGAGTGTACCATGTGGCCTGTTGGTAGAGATCTCATGACAGAGCAAAACGAGGACAGTCTGAAAGAAGAGGCTTTGAATCACATTCAGAAGGCTCGCGCCCTGTTGGAAGAGTATCCATCCACGGCCGTGTTCAGAGATGAGATTGATAGTGTTGAGGAGATGATTTGCGACGGCATCTATCGCCCGGTCACGGCAGAGGAAATGCGAGCTGTGTACAACGCAATGTCGGATGAGCTTCGGGGCACTGGGCACTGGTATGTCTGTGAGAACAACCATCCGTTTACTATTGGTGAATGCGGAATGCCTATGCAAATGGCCAGATGCCCTGAGTGTGGCGCCAGGATTGGGGGCCAGAACCACCAAGCTGTGGAGGGAACGAGGCATGCGGTGGATATTGAGAATCTTGCGAGAGGGATGAATGGGTTGAACATGTAAAGAAACACGTTGATGTGAGATGAAGCTGTGTTTACATCTCGTTGTTGCTTATGTTGCCTCAAATTGATACGTCGCCTTTTGTACTTGTTATCTACATAGTTTGGCAGTCGATAGTGTAGATACACATTGCCTTGCGCAAGTCAATGCTGCCTATATTCGTCATCTGAAATGTTTATAATCTGTAAGATGTTTTACAAAGCATGTCGTCGCAATCGGTGGCTGTTAGGGAGCCTTTGTGACGAGTTGAGCGTTCTTATAACCTGCTAGCATAAGATTCCGAGGATAAACGGCTCAGTGAATTGCGTGCTCTTTTATATAGTGGAATATGCTATTGGTTCTTAAACTAGTCGATATCCTCTTAGACTAGTGTGATTCTGCAAAAGATGTAAGATGGCTTTACGGAACTTGATCTATGACCGACGAGGTGGGACGCTTTGGCGATATAAGAGAAACGTAATGATAGTAGCAGATATTGAAGACAAGTAAGTCGAATACACCCGTATTAGGCTCAATACCATCTCTATCGGAATATGAAGTTGCTGGAATGTTGAATGACCAACATGAAACATGCCGTTAACATGCCTGAACATTTCGTGAACAATTCAGGCAACCACCGTGACAAACTGAAGACTTCTGTAACCTCCTCACATCAGGATTCCGAGTATTAAAAACAAGAGCGATTCCGATGGATCTTGCTGAGAGATTATTATTCCCGCGGGTATAACGGCTTCTAATCAACGTGAATATTAAAGACTTACAACGGACTTTTTGCTTTTAAAAAACGCCTGATTACTCAACACGTTTCCACCACTTTGCAGCAATTGGCGTGAAAGTCGTTGAGAAGTGGCTTTCTGGCGCTAACCGTTACCAGGGTGCTTACAAATTAGAGGGATGGATTGGGTAACTGTCATTTGCCTTGTTAATTTGTGAGGAGAAGTTCGGGTATAAACATGAGTGGCTGTCCATGTCCCCAGAGTGTAGTATGTTGTGTAGGGTTAGATGCGTTTGCATATAGTAGACACACTATAGCTGTATTGAAACATACCCCCATTTTGTCTGACCATGGCGGGCCATTTGTTAATGACACTTCCTTTTCCTAAGCCGGAACCTCTTCTGAAGGCCTTTCAGGGAGCGTTTCCGGACTTGAAGGTTACGTTTTTGCGTCATGAAGTTAAGCCGGCTGAGGCCTTTGTCAAGCAGGACATGTACATCCCACCAGGTGCGTGACAAGATACACATTATGAACTATAGGCTCTATTTTCACTAATAACGCTGCCACTTATAGAAATCTTGCGTGAAGCAACACACTTGATGACTTTTGGCGTTGTCCCTGATCCAGCTGATGCTCCTAACCTGCGGTACATCCATTTCAGCGTCGCCGGAACTGATCACGTTGCTCACAAGGCGGTGTTTAAGGACCCAAAGATTACTATTACGACTTCGACGGGCGGGCCTAGCATTGCTCTTGCAGAATGGGTCATGGGATCTATCCTTGGATTGACTCGCCAGCTGTTTCAGTATAAAGATTTGCAGAATAAGAGGACTTGGGGGAGCTCGGCGCCGCCTCCGTTTACGTTGGATGGGAAGAAGATGGGCATTGTTGGATACGGATCCATTGGCCGACAAGGTGCGTATTAATCTTTTTGCTGTCTTCGCGACACAGGAAACTCCATGTGGAGAGTCTATTCTTACTAACAGTGGTGATTTCAAGTGGCGCGTCTGGCACAGGCTTTCAGTATGGACGTTGTTGTCTACAACTCTCGCCCGCGTCTTACAGCCGAAGATCGCAAAGACCGAAACTGGTATCAAGCTGGCTCCGGCGATCCAGACGGCACGATTCCAAGCGCTTACTTCCACGGCCAGTCTCGAGAAGATCTTCACAAGTTTCTCTCTCAAAATTTGGATATTTTGGTTCTCGCCCTTCCGTTGACGCCGGCTACGAAGCACTTGATTGGCGAAGAAGAGCTTTCTATCCTGAATGCTAACAGCCCTGCTCTGTTGGTCAACGTTGCGCGTGGCCCGGTCGTTTATCAAGAGGCGTTGATCGCGTCGTTGAAGAAGGGAGCGGCTGGTGGTGGCCTTTTGGGTGCGGCTTTGGATGTTACGGATCCGGAGCCTTTGCCTACGGAGAGTGAGCTGTGGGGGTTGCCGAATGTTTTTATCACGCCGCATATTAGTTCTGTTACGACGCAGACGGTTATGCGGGCGTATAAGATTCTGCAGGATAATCTTGTTCGACAATTGAAGGGTGAGGAGTTGTTCAATGTTATTAAGAAAGGGAGCGCATGACAGGGACGTGGATTGCCCTTGGCGAGAATCTGAGTGTGGAAGGGGGATTTATATATCGGTACGTTGAAATGAAGTTTCATGTTGACCATTGATACAATTATTGTGAATTTGATGTGGCAGTGTCTTGTTTATCGAGGATCATAGTTTGTTGAAGACTCCGCAAAAGGACCGCTCCAATGCTGTTGTTTGTTGAGCTTTCTAATGACTTGCTTACAAAATGTCTCATCGATCTTCCACGGCACACAAGACAAAAGATACCTCGGTAGAATTAACAATCGGATTTATAATTGATGCTTTACATGATACCATCTCATTGCCTGATCCACTGTCCCTCGTAATGGAGTTCAGGTGGCAGTTGACTAGCAAGAAACGATGTCTCCATTGGGAAATATTTGCCAATTTAGAGTCGTTTTGCCAAATCAGGCAATCGACCTCTTGTCGCTCAAAATGTCAGCATCGTGTGAAAGAACATTATTGCGAAGAGCAAGAGAAACTCTTGCGTTTGGGATTTTGTATAAGACAAGTCGATTCTGCCATGATTAGTTTACAACAGCCGGAAGAAGCAACTACGAACTCAACTACATCTTCACAACCTCTTCAAATCAACTCTTACCAAACCTTAAAGACAGCTCTATCACAACCTTGTTCAACATGACTCAGTCCTCTTGTCTCTGTGGCGCAAACGTCATCACCTACGAAGGCACTCAAGAACTCAAGTTCAAATGCCACTGCGCCAACGAAGGCAAACTCACCGGAGCATCCCCCTTCTCGCTCAACTTCATCACCTCCACAGACTCCCTAAAAGTTGTCAAGGGCGAACTCAAGACATGGGGATTCGTCGTCGACAGCGGGAATTTCATGACGAACCACTGCTGTGGTGAATGCGGGAGCTTGCTGTACAGGACGTCGAGCGGGTTCCCGGGCAAGATGGCGGTCAAGATTGGGTGCGTGGATGATGAGGAGATTCTCAAGACGTTTGTGCCCGAGGTGGAAATCTTTACGAGGAACAGGCCTAGTTGGGTGCCGGCTGTGGAGGGCGCGGTTCAGAACTGGACGGATTTTGGAACGGGTGAGGGTCCGGCTGTGGCTGTAGAGGCCAACTAAGAGGGAAAGCTTTGGATATGCCGGGATGGGGAATTTATATGTACATGTGTAGAGGGGGGAGGGCTGGACTGGGGCATATAGATGGCAATTGAGTTGTGATTCAGTTTCGTTTGTTTCTTATTGGTATGGTACCATTCGGCGACCATTCTGACCAATGCGGTGTCTCTAAGTGATAACTTGAGTTGCTCTATATCCATTTTAACTAGCCAAACACGGCGTCATGAGCTGACTTTCATACCGCTGCGAGGCTGACGTTGAAGTTGTCCGGGGGTCATGATGACAGCGGAGTTCAAACCCGATCTCGACTGCCGGCTCTCCGGTAATGCATCATGTCATCTCAGGAGACATACCGGGTCTAACAAGTTGCCTTGCAAGCTGTAGTTGTCGCCTCCATGGGGCTAATGTGGGTGAAAAGGGGTTGACGAAATGACTTGTCTGGGGAGTTGTAACTTTTAAAGAATGGGCGCATCAGACAGCCCGCAAAATCTGACGTTGCCTGGAGCCCTTCATGGATTGTATAACCAGGAACCAAGATATTGATAATGAATTTCGTAAAGACTTAACTTCAATTAGAGGTTGCTTAGCTCATTATCCCAGTTAATTTGTCCCATCTGGTGTTGCGACGATCCCGGCTGGATGTGGAACGGTCGGGACAGGCATCGGGGACCTGGGTCAATTTAAACGGTAAGCTTATCCATGAGACGATTCTCCTGACTAGTTGTTGGCGAAACTCCGCAAATCCCATACAAGCAATATTGACAACAACAACATGGATATTGTTCTCTCAGTACAAATCGGGCGGATCTCGGTGAAAGCTGAGATAATCACGGATGCTCGGTAGATGTAGATGTCCAACGGTTACCGAATATCAGACTTTCGGCTACACACGCCTTGTTTGTCTCCTTGTCATACAAGACAGTACACGCCCGTATTTGTTTCAGTTTGAAGCAAATGAATGCACATACAACGGCTCTTGAATTATTGTACAATAAAAGAGAAACCACTTCATAGGTACCGAAACCCAAACAGCAAACGCCGGGCCATTCACCGATGATGTGGAGGCGAACACCAAGCCAAGCAACGGCAATCGACAGATCGTGAAAAAGACAAAAAACATATTACCGAGTCGCCGAGTGAAATTACGACGTTGCAACGATACAGGGTTCAAAGCAAAGTCTAGCAAGGGTCGGCTTATCCCGTATTATGGCGCTACTCGATAGTTTTGCCATGGTGCTAGCATTTTTGCATTTGTCTTTTTTGTCTTTTGGGTCGGTGAAACAAAGACCCCTGAGGGTAAAGTTTGCGTTGTTGTGTAAGTTTATGGCGGCCTTACTTTATTCTGGAACGGATCGACATTCTCTGAAGAGATTTGTTTAAAAGGCTTTTGCTTTTCCATCTTTCCAAACACTCGTCACTCAAGTTGCTAGAGCTCAATTACCTTTCCTTACCTCACCAGGCACAATTTGACTCAAGATGCGTACCTCTACTCTTGCGGCCGCAGCCGTCGCCGTCACTGGCGCAATGGCGAAACCTCGTTACCTCATGTACTTCGATCAGTAAGTATTGCTTCCTTGTTGATACTCTTGTGGTTATTCTCGTATTAATGGCTTTTCAGATGGGACACGCAAAACTTGCCCGATCGCTCCGTGACTGCGGGTGTCACCCATGTCACCACAGCGTTTGCGGGAACGACCTTATTCACTGATGGCGAGCAGTATGAGCCATTCATGCCATTGGACCAGATCCGTGCTCTCTTCGACGAGGGCACCAAGATTTGCATGGCTATTGGCGGATGGGGAGACACGGCTGGCTTCAGTGCTGGTGCGAAGACGAAGCAAACGCGTCAGACATATGCTAAGAATGTCGCTGCTACGGTCAAGAGACTGGGCTACGACTGTGTTGGTGAGTAGAAGTAGCCTGGAGATCTCGTACGATCACTGACAGTTGAAAGACATTGACTGGGAGTTCCCGGGTGGAAATGGCCAGGACTACATTCAGACTCCCAACTCGGAAAAGGTCTGGGAGATTGATGCCTTCCCGCTCTTCCTCCAGGAGATTAAGAGTGCCGTTGGAGCAGAAATTGAGCTCTCTATTGCTGCTCCGGGACGAGTCGAGGACATGATCGGTTACACGCCCGAGAATGTGGCCAAGATTAACCACATTGTCGACTTTGTCAACGTGAGTATCTCCGTCTCTGCTACACTCGATTATAACTTTTGAATCGAGCTGACATCAAACTCCTAGGTCATGACCTACGACCTCATGATGCGTCGGATGAACACAACCACTCACCACTCCGGTGTCGCCAACTCTCTCGCCTCCGTCACCACTTATATCGAACGTGGCCTCTCCCCCAGCAAGATCAACCTCGGCTTCGCCTTTTACGCAAAGTATTTCACCACTGCTCCCGGCGTCAACTGCACGACTCCCGTTGGCTGCCCAACCACCGTGCTCGAAGATGCCGAAGGCAACGACACAGGCCTCTCCGGCGCCATCACCTTTGAAACATCAACTTATGCCGGCGCTCTCGAGCACGCCGTCGCCAACGGTATCGCGGACGAGGAACTGGGCGGACAGTGGTGGTGGGATTCGGAGAAGGAAATCTTCTGGACGTGGGATACGGCGGAGTTTGCTGCTCGCAAGTTCAAGGATATCGTGGTGCCCAAGGGACTGGGTGGTGTTTTCGCGTGGGCTTTGGCGCAGGATAGCTATGATTGGAGTCGATTCAAGGCGATGCAGGCTGGCGTCAAGGCCATGCAGCCCAAGTTGGATATCGAGGTGGGCGTTACGATCTAATGGCATAGATTTTGGTCAGCGGAATATGGTAGACTATACACTTAGTTAATAGTAATAATCAGAGAGCATAATCGACAGCTCTCAACAAAACTTCAAACCGTCTCAAGTTTGTCTCGTCTCCATTTCTCCTCTAAAGAAGCTCGTATAGTACGGCAAGTTGGCCTATCTGCTCGCATAAAGCATGGTGGATACGCCGAGACCAGGAATTTTCTCCTCATGCCACGAGCCAAGGCTTAATCCTTGGCAGAGAGGGGGTGCCAGTTCGGGAAAATGAGCAAGATTGGCTTTCGGTAGACTGAATAGTTCCTTGTCTGGTTAAACATTTGACTGCGTGGACAGTAGAATGCATGAACAGGTGGATAGCCATGGTTTCATGTGGAATCATCTAGGTGTTGATATTGATGAGCATACCGTACTCTGCCTTGGGTAAGTGTCCATTTCCGTTTATGTCTACAGTTTTCTCATATTCTGGAGCCATTTTACCCAGCAAATGCCTCGTATGGCCGCCACAGCCGGCACTTTTCACCGTGTCTCCTCTCGAGATCCACGTACGTTGCAGTGGTGGCCTCATAACCAGCGGGCAAATTGTTATACCGACACTGTAGCCTCGTAGCTGGAAAATCTACGAGATATAGAGACCAAGATGTGATTGTTTCGTGGATATACATGCAGATGCATGAGAGTGACCATTCAGAACGTCGTTACAATCTCATCACCAACATACTCGTCTCCAGATGCCCTCGATTCGGAAATTAACCGATCCCATAGCCTAGAAGAAAGAAGCAAGAGTCGTTTCTTTCTGGTACTTTGTAGGTGTTCTGGCCGGATTCTGCACCATTCAGGACTAGATCACAGCAAGGAAGCAGGTTTAGTTGCAGCTGAGTAGCGCCGTGATGCAGCCACCAGCACTTGGTCAATACTGCGGGAGTACTCCATATTGATAGCACCTTATACGAGTACTGTAGTATTGAACGATGAGCTATTTTTAGAGTCGGGATCTTTTCCGCCAGATGGGATGGGATGGAGAACGTGACAATGCAGCTGCCTGTCTGGTGATGATGCAGATATACCCATGTGGATGGCGGAGAATCTGAGAGTAGTTCGATAGCTGGTGGAGAAGATGATGAAGATGCACATCTCTCTTCTTAGTGAGGCAATATTATTACTTGACACTGCAATTGACTACTTTAAAAGACCTCTGTTTACATCTAGATGGATCACTATGTTATACAGTAGAGCCTTAGAGCTTCATCCTCTACTTTGCCTACCATGAATTGCTGGGCCGTGGATTACAAATGGTGCCAGCTTCCTTGCGGGATATACACCAATATAGCAATTCATTAATGACCAAAAGGGAATTACGCGTCACATTTAAATTGAAAACAAATTGCCATGCCTTCCATGATAGTTCGCATGGAGATAGATACCTGGTCGTGGGGAGCTGTATTGGACACAAGTGGGACGCCATCATACCGGATACGTCGTACTTGTACATGCAAAAACGGCTAGTTGGCGCCGGAGCTAAAAGTTGGCAATACCTGGGCCTCGTTAGCGCTCTGTCGCGAGGCCGGCCTCGAGCAAAAAGTGCAAACCGTCAGAAGTATAAACGGATGAATGAGGGAAACCATGTTAGCAGCACAGTTAGCCGAGTGACGCTGTCATCATGGCGTGAGACGCAGCCAATAGCAGTCGAGGTCCCCTGTTTTGTATTACATCTAGCTTTGACACTGTTCCATCACATCAATTCCTTCTTACTGGGAGCCTCAAAGAGACAGAGAAAAGGGAAGACTACCTGTAAAAGAGAAGAGAAGAGAAAGAATCTTTTTCGCCAAACCCATGCAATCTATACGACCAGGATGTCGCCTCCGGGGCTAAACAATAAATGCATTCTGGTCCTATAAATAGCCAGAGGTTACATGCATCTAAGCGCCTAGTCGGACATTGGCCTAGCGGAGAGTCTCAGTCTGGCCTGCGATTGGGCCGTGTGAAGCACGCGGATCCCTGGATAGTCTGGATAATGGAGAAAGCAGAATTGCTCAGCGGTTAGCCAGAGATCCAATGGCTTTTTCTCCGGGGTTCGTTCGGGACGGTTGTTGCTTGTACTAAAGCAAAGGCACATGCACGGCCGAGTGCTTACATCTTTATCTCCATCTCCATCTCCATCTCTTCTCTCTCTCAAACACTAACAACAGCAACAACAGTATCGACTCTGACTGGACATCATCTCTCTTTGCTTTGCTTTGATTCTTTACTTGTCGCATCTGCCTCTGTCTTGATTCCATACCCTCCGGAGCTAGACATTCGCCTCTTTCCCACGCCGTTACATCGATTGCAACGTCAAAAAACCTCCGAATCGAGCGCGAACCAACAGCATTAATAAAGTGGGAATTCCGTGCATACGAGTACCTACATCCATCACATACAACACCTGCAGCATATCGACATCAAAGAGTTGAAATATCGACGAATACATTACTCGACAAGTAAACAGAAAACATCACCAAACATGTCTGCGAGAGGCTTTCTGGCGGCATTCTGCCTCTTTGCCCTCCCGCTTCTGTCGTGGGCGCATACCGTCATTGTCTATCCCGGGTGGCGAGGCGACAATCTCATCACAAACGACACTTTTCCATATGGCATGCAGTGGATGTATCCTTGTAAGTTCTCAAGCTGCCTCAACTATATAACCTAACCCAACAACTAACATCGAATGCTTCCCCAGGTGGCGGAATCCCTCTGACGACAAACCGCACATACTGGCCCACGACCGGAGGCCCGATATCCTTCCAGCCCGGCTGGTTCGTCGGCCACGCAACGGCCATGCTGCAGGTCAACTTGGGCATGGGCACCGACGGCCCTGACGGCGGACCGCTCGAGATGTCGCATCAGATCGTGCCGCCCTTTTCCATCGTCGGCCCCAGCAACAATCCCTTCCCGGGCACTATTTGCCTGGACAAGGTGCAGATTCCGAACCCTTCCGACATTGGCATCAAGGCCGGCGTCAACGCGACGATTCAGGTCCTCATGAATGCCCAGCACGGAGCTTCTTTGTTCTCGGTAAGTTCCTTGCAAGGTGCCCTGAATGTTCTTGTGCAAGACTGACAATGATGGGTGTTATAGTGTGTCGATATCACCTTTGTCGATCCCGGTGACAAGCGCCTTGCGCCCGTCAACGGCACCAACTGCTTCAACTCGTCCGACATTGGATTTGCCGACATTGAGACCATTACCATCTCAAAGGGCGTCTTCATCGATGACCTTTGAAGAGTTGGTCGGCGAAAGATGTAGATTAAAAAAAGAAGCAGATGAAAATTCCCGAAAGATGTTAAAAAACACCGGGAGCAAACAGAGCCCCTACAAATTCAGGATAGGGATGATATACCCAAGAAGCACATGATACGTCGTCAACGACAAGACACCCACCGAGGAGGCAATCAAGGGTGTTTATTTATTGTATTTTAGACAGCACAGGTTGCTGGTTTACCACTTTTCTTCTTCTTATTGTATATAGTTTTCACTGTGTTAGATGAAATGATGACGACATTTGCTACGGGAGTTTGATTCACCCTTGTTCCAAGCTCAGTTCCGCCGGGTGTTTGCATCCTGATTTTGTCAGATTACCCTGTCTCGTGGATTGTTTGAGGAGCGAACGAGAGATGCAAACAGTCGGTTTGTCTCGGTCATGTGTGCTGCCATCTGTGACCATGTCTTGATGAGATGCTGTGTTCTTCTACACCGTTTCACTTACACGTCCGGTATGGCCCAATTACTTTGCTGTATCAAGCCCAATCTTTGCATATGGTTTGAACATAAATCGTTTCACGCCGCGTGTTCGTCATTACTAACTGTCGTGAATCGGTCTCACAAGCGGGAGCAGCTCTGACTTTAAAACCCTGCATCTAGCCGTCATTCTTCATCTTCCAGCGTTTGTAGAGAGCGTCCGACTATGTAAATATGGCGATTTCACTGTCCACCATAGAATGAGGTTTGCGTTTGGCCGCTTTGTAGAGCCCGCACCCACCATGTGTACGGTTATTTGCTTGAAATTCTGCACTCTATAGCGGTAACATTGCACCGCATGACGTACTCACCACCTGACCAAACGAGCAACAGATGGATAGATAGATAGATGTTGTGTGACTGCTACACACTGCCTACATGTCAGCTCTTTTCCAATTAGTTTTTCTAGTGAGTGTCAAGACATATACAGCTCTTGCTTGTGCCTACCTCGAACTTCATCATTGATTTCCATCGCACTTTGTCAGAATAGTGTCAGAAACTCGCGTTGATCTATTTAGCTAAAACATAATCGGGAACAAAGAAGTCGCATCGCCCACGGAAAACAATCCACCAATGTGCTCTTCATGCGGCGTCAACAACATGTCCTCCACCTCCTCCTCCACCTCCACTTCCACATCAACCTCGTCGTCTGAAAGCCGACCGGCCTTAAGCACAAATAGTTCCAGTTCCTATAGCAGCTCCAAAAGCAAATGGGACACCGAATACCTAGCAATCCCCGGAGAGAAAGGACTTCCTCTAAGATTCATCGCATATGCCGCAGGCGCCTCGCTCCCAACCACAATGAAGAAGATGACAAGGAAGGAGAAGAGGCGCGGACAGAGTGCTTCCATATGGGACTTCTTTGGCCGCAACACGCAATTATTCTGGATTGTACAGCCTGAGGATCGTCGGGAACGCGGTCGAAGTAGGACTCCCCGTGGGAGAGATGGACAGAAGAGCACCTCAGCGGCATCGTCACCTGATGTCAACTTTTTCCATGAAGCATATTGATATTCTACTGGGCATGTTCCCCAACCAACAGCGTCATGTGCCGTGTGTGGCCCGGGGGTTACTCCATCACATGGCTATTCAAGGGCTTCCTGCTTCTCGTCTGGTAACCCTCCAGGAGACAATTTGCCTGGTTGGGGTCCTTTCCCACCTTTGGGAAGAAAGTGAATTTTCACCATCTCAATCCTTTTCTCTCCTGCTGTTTCTCCTTTGTTTATCAAGCTGTAAAGCAAATAATTATATTCAATGAATGCGAGTATAGAGAAGAATAGCAAGACAAGAGTTCACGATATAACGATGATGACGGTGAGAAGGGAGACTGTGGTTGTTATGTTTGACATGTTAAGCGCGTGAAATTTTACAACATGTACTCATTATCTGTATCCTCACATTAGATGGGATAGCATGCAGCTTCATAGCTGTTCAGTAGAACCCGGAAAAAAGAAAAACGTCCGGGTTTACAGTATAAAGAACATTATGATTACAAGTGCTCTTCATTTTTTGGCTGGATTCCACTCCTGGATTCCACTTCTGGGTCCGATCTTGCCCTAGACACTTGGCATCAGATCAAGATGGCTTGTATAAAAATCCCCACGGCACTTTGGTCCCATTCTTGGCAAAAGTAATTAGCAATGGAGAGAATCTATGTGGCCACAGCCAAGCCAAAACCACAGGCTCAAGCCCGTAAAATTAGAAATACAAATCTATGGAAGACTGTTGCAATAATCTGCATGTATGTAAATACTATTTCCTAAATTAGCGAGGTTCTGCGGCGCTTTTAGGTTTCCCATTGTAGCAACGTGGAAACAACCTGGCTAAATTCAGCTTCTGACTTGATATTGGCGCCCTTCTCAACCAGCAGCTGAACAATAAACTCGTTTCCATGCTCAGCTGCTAATGACAGCGGCGTCCAGCCAAATTGATTATCTTTTGCCTCAATATTGGCTCCCTTCTCAACCAACAGCTTAACAATAGTCTCCTGGTTATGTAAAGCTGCCCATAACAGCGGCGTCCGGCTATTATTATCCTTTGCCTCAACATTAGCTCCATTCTCAACCAGCATCTTGGCAATAGCCTCTTGTCCATACTTTGCTGCTAATGATAGTGGCGTCTGGCCATATTCATTATCCATTGCCTCAATATCAGCTCCCTGCTCAACCAACAACTTAACAATAGCCTCATTGCCACTCCCAACGGCCCATGACAGCGGCGTCCGACCATATCTATTATCCTTTGCCTCAATATTAGCTCCCTTCCCAATCAACAGCTTGATACTAGCCTCGTCGCCATGTTCAGCTGCCCATAATAGCGGCGTCCAGCCATATTTATCATCCTTGGCCTCAATATCAGCTCCTTTCTCAACCAGCAGCTTAATAACAGCACTATGGCCATAGTGCGACGCTATTATAAGATCTGTAAGATTCCCAACAGGACATTGAGGCACAGGCGCCTGATAAACTGTGAACCATGCTGAATAGCTTTTTAAACTGGTATCACAAATTCTCAACGTCGCAGGTAAAATAGCAGCCCCATCAACAAAGTCAGCTTTACTGAAATGAGTGCCCCAATTTTCAGCTGAGTAATTTAAAAACGCGTTGCTATTGGTAAAGGAGCCGGTTGTCTCTTCCCCCTTGATAGTAGAGCTAACGCCAGAATTGAACAAGTTCAGATAAAGGACGCAGAGCTCTGCGAGAATGCTATGTGCTTTGCGAGTAGTAATAGAGCGATGCTAGCGTAGCCCCGATGGGACAGCTGTAGGAGATGCTAAGTCTGTAAGGAGATACTTGCGAGTAGTTTGATGGAGGAAGTAAATCTTGCTATGATAGATGGAGATAAATAATCCACACAAAGACCTTAGGCGCGACTTAAAGTCACTTTTATCCTCTAAATCAAGATCATCAAAAGTATTTGTTGTGTTATCTTGTGTTGTGTTATTTATGCTCGTAGCGATATTCATTTCCGAGAGTGTGAGTGGTCGGGTAGCGGCCAAGACAATGCTCAAGACCCTCCGAACCATATGCTCATTTTTAGATTTGTTAAGAATCTTTTCGTATGCCTTATTAACATTTTTCGGATGTGTTGTGATGATTATCTCAATCTCTTTTTGTGTTTTTTTAATAATAATATTTTCTTCTAAATAGCTACACACAAGATATACCCAAAGGTAGGTGCGGTGGGTAGTTTCTTGCAGTTTTTTCTTTATGAAGTTGCTGATTTTGGCTGAAAATTTATTTTTCTTTGATAGCTGTTTGACCCGGTGGATAATAACGCGATTCACCTCCTGACTGATGCTTTCTGACTCTTCCTCTCCTAGTATCCGGATATTTAGAAATTGCCGTAATAGGCCATGAAATTGAGATGTAATTTGCTTATATGGCCGGTATGTGAGAAGATATTTTAGCTTACTTTGGCTACTGCTGGAATAATTGTTGCGGAACTGGCTTTCTACCTTTTGCATTAGGTCTGTAAACTTAGATTTATTACACTTATCTAAGGCATTAAGGACTATAATGATAGGTCCTGCCTAAGGATCTTCTGTAGCGTTTTGTAGAATACGCCAAAGTGATTGCGTAGAGTTAACTAAGTTTTTCCTATCTATGTTAAAAAGCGGCATAGTATGTTTTATTAAGAAGGGGCTTTGTGTAAAAAGCTGATGTAGTAATGCATAAAGCGCTTGACGTAAGGTATTTTAATCCTGATCTTTAAAAAAGAAGTAATAGATAGTTGCGGATTAAGACAGACCGTAGTTAATAAGGTATTTAATTAATACTGATTTTCTACAGCCTGGATCTGCCGTAACTAACAGTAGACCGGACTTTTGTTATAACCACTGTTGATAGTGTATATGGTTAAGGAACCATAAACAAGTGTCTTCAACCCTCTCTTCAACCCGGTTTTTATACCATTCATATGTAGCATCTTTATTACTTAATGTAAGTCGGAATAACTGATGGCACTCGCGCCTTTTTTCAAATAGCCTGTTAGTAGCTAAATCTTCCTAGGTTGTAAGCTGTTTTTTAATAATATCACGTTGCTCTTTTGCAATGTCCCTGTGGTCTTTTGCAATGTCTCGGTGGTTTTCAGAAATGCCCCGGTGCTGTTGAGAGACTTTATAAAGGTCTGTACATGGTTAATATACTCGTATACTAAAATGCATTGTTAGGGTTAGGAATTACCAGATAAAATGTCGCCTATCTTCGTCTCAGCCTTAACTCTATTTAGAGTTATTCGGTGAAGAAGATCTTTTGTATATACTGCAGCTGTTATTGCTACGTAGCCTTGCCACTTCTCATCTGTATGAGAGTCTAAGTAATCGCAAATGCCTTAAATAACCAGACATGGAAAGTGGTTCATTAATCCTGCAGCTTCCGTTTTAAAGCAAAGAACGCCTTTCTTTGTTATTTTATCTTAAATCGAAGCATCTCTTATGACTGTATTAGACGAAGCAATTAAGCCGTAGTGAATCGCCGGGTTATTATCATTATCTTCGTCTCGGGCAGGCCGCCTAATAAGGTTATCCGGATTATCGCCACAAATAACTGCACAGTTAGCCTCGTTATTTAAGGGATGAACGACTTAAGACCGATAAAGCCTATCAGTTATAGCTTCAGGTCGCATATATTTTCTTTAAAGCTAAGGCTTTTTCGCTATTGCGCTATTAACACTTTCTTTAATCTGGTTCCCGTCGGACTCGTATTATGCCATTAGGCTACTAATAGCCGTCTAAAGTAACGTTGGCGGCTGGTCTAAGAATCCTGTCTCTTGGAACTCCTGACCCTGTATGGTCTTTCCAAAGTTAAACTGGATAACTCCGCCCGTTCTATTGATGGGAACACCTACGATAACGTCACCAAGACGAATATCGTACCTTAAACTAGGAGCACCGCCACCGATTCCGACCATTAGACCAATTCTAACGTTAGGGAAGCTGTGTAGCATATCTCTCGCAACGCTCGCTGCAGACGATAATCCATATTCGCCGTTTGGAAGTACGGCGACAACGACATTGTGTCTTCCGATTTTGCCAAGTGTATAGTCGTTATTATCATTGGGGGATATATACTCAGGGCCTTCATGCTTCTCGTCAAGGAAAGCTTGGGCAGCGACATACTCAGTGGGTATGGCGCAGATCCAACCAACAGTGTAGTCGAGCGGATTAGACATGATTGCGTTCAAGCCTGGGACTCAGCCCTAGATCGATGAGCTATAGCGTTGATGAAAGTGCTCATCCTCAATTTTACCGGTGATTGTCTTAGCAAGAAGATGCATCTGCGTCGGAATGCTGTGGACTACATGTAGATACCAAGGCCCTTCCCCGCTCCTATCCTGCCAGGTACCAACAGTTGCATTACATGATTGGCCAACTTGGATGTGCTATTAGGCAGTCATGCAAGCAATTATTCACTACGCTAATAAATGCGCATTGGCTATCAGCGAAATGTACTACTATTGGGCTGGACTTTCATTTCTAGCTCTAGATTTAGAATGAGTTTACAACATGATACTCATGCGCTGCAAAAAGATCACGGCGTAATTTCTGGCCACTCGAACTCAGTGTTTAATTGTTGGCAATGTTAGAACAAGGTTAGCGTAGGTGTACTCTGTCGGTAGCGTTTTGACGTCTACATTGTTAAACTGTGAAATTACATTATGCCATAAGAATAATCCGCACAGAAAGACTTTCGTTATAATGAAAATTCTTATTGTAGTTCTCAAAGAACTTGATTATAACAGTCATTGATAAAAACTATGTTCTCAATGACGTTGTTGATGCCCTCCCGGGTTGGCCGTGGTTGAGACATGGCACTAGCCACAGTTGGCACGCCGGGAGTGGCTGTGCACCACGGTAAAGGAGGCGCTCTCCCGCTTCTCCCCAGTTCTGCCAGCTTCAACCATTCACCATCGTCTGCTTGACCACCGCACTTGACTCGACTTGGCTTCGCGCTTATGGAGCCCATTTGCTGTCCAGGAAGCCTTACGAGGCACTCGCGAAGACAAAGCGCTGGTTGAGTCTCTTTTCAGTCGCCGGAATGAGGCTCAGCGAAGCAAACAGCTCATCAAATCTCCTTCTACTGCTGTGACTCAGTCGGTAATCGACCGTGCATTTTCTTTGTCCTGCAGGGGTCTTTTTGAGAATTGCAGACGATCGGGTCGGAGAATGGTTTGTGTATTATGCGGTTTGCTCATCGTGCGCAGCATGATGATGTGAGCTAACATGACAATGCATGTAACCGGACTTTCTCTCCGGGAGCACGAGCACAAGCACGAGCACGAGGACGAGATGCGGAGGAAAGAAATGCTTTGTCTGCATGTTCTATTCGAATTTCTTTCAAAGCACGACACATTTCCAATTTGCGCAACACATCAAACTCAATCTGATCTTTAAGCTCACATCACATGGGGCAGGGATAAGGACACATGCAAGCTTCAGCTTAGCTTAGCGGCTCACGGATCCGAATGGAGGCCTTCAGATCAGGCAGCCAGCCAGTCCCACCTCGGCGGGAGTCATCCAACGAGATCTGCCTTCTCCACACGGCTTATTGAGCCATTCACATGTTTTTGTTCGCCGAACGGACTCCACTGCTTCTAGGCCGCAGCAGCACCGCAGCCGCATCCGTGTCTAGCCTTGAAGGCTTTGTTCTTGGTTCGTCTTACAGTTATATAAGGGTGTCTGAGTTGTCAACTTCAACACAAACTTTTCAACCAGTTCATCCTTCTCTCCCTTTCCCACCTTCTTCTGTGGACTGGTCGGAACCCATATCAACGGCCTTCACTTGTCCTTGTCTGAACTCGTCGCCTACCATTCATCCTATCTTGGAGTGGCGAGTGACATCAGACGGACAAAGACCTCAACACCAAAAGTGTCGCCTGTCGGAACCCGTACGTTCTCACAGCCACTTTGATACCTCGTCAACCAAACCTCACACAAAATAACACTTGACGTGTGTAACACACCATGGATCCCTTCATCAACATGTCGGCGCAGTTCCCCAACGGGGCTGTCCCAAATCCCCAGTTCGCCCTCCTCAACTACTTCTTCCCGGGCTTCTCCATGTTTACTTCGGCCCTGCACACCTACCTGGGTATTGATCTCAACTTTTACATCCCTCTCCTTGTCGCCATCTTTGGTCTGAATTTCGTATGGAGCTATTTCAGCACTTCAGCATGGGCGTGGATCGACGAATATCTCATGTCGTCCTTCAGGGTCCGCACTGATGATGAAATCTACAACATGCTGATGCTCTGGATCTCACGTCAAAAGTTTTCTCAAAACTCTCGTCGTTTCCTGGTCAATACCGATTTATACTCTCGCAGCAGCTACGTCTGGGGAGGTTCAAACGACGATAGTGACGACGAGGATGGGGACGAGGAAGTCAGCGTCGATATCCTTGGACCAAAGCAGACTTTGCACTATACTCCCTCGTTTGGGTCCCATCTGTTTTGGTACAAGGGATGGCCCCTGTTCTTTGAACGTCACCAGAACCAGCAACAAATCAACTTCCAGAGCGCCAGCGAGCGAGAGGAGCTCTCCATTTCATGCTTTGGGCGGAACCCGCGTCTCCTCAAGGAACTTCTCTTCGAGGCCCGCCAGATGTACCTCAAGAAGGACGAACGCAAGACTCTCATCTATCGTAGCTCCAGTGGTACTGCCTACGGCGGTGAGCCTTACTGGCAGCGCAGCATGTCTCGTCCTAACCGCCCCTTCTCCACCGTCATCCTGAGCGAGAAGATGAAGCAGGATCTGATTGACGATGCCGCCGACTACCTCAACCCTGCTACTCGCCGGTGGTATGCTAACCGTGGTATCCCCTACCGACGCGGTTACCTTCTCTACGGCCCCCCCGGTACCGGAAAGAGCTCGCTCAGTCTGGCCCTGGCTGGGTACTTCCGGATGAAGATTTACATCGTCAGCCTGAGTTCCATCAATGCCACTGAGGAGGGCCTCACCTCTCTCTTCAGCAACCTGCCTACTCGCTGCCTTGTACTCCTTGAGGACATTGACACCGCTGGTTTGACGCACACTCGAGAGGAGCCAGATGCCACGCCTGCCCCTGTTGCTGCTCCGAACCCCTCAGCACCAACTCCGTCTTCGGGTTCAAACACAGGATCAGGTGGTCGTCTTTCACTCTCTGGACTACTCAACATTCTGGATGGAGTCGCCTCACAGGAGGGCCGTCTTCTTGTCATGACTACCAATCACATTGAGAAGTTGGACAAGGCACTGATCCGACCTGGCCGTGTGGACATGATTGTCCCCTTCAGCCTTGCCGATAAGACTATGACTGAGTCCATCTTCCGCGCCATCTATGCCCCCTTTGAGAGCGAGATCTCCTCGAACGAGCTGGCCCTCGGCTCCAAGAGCGGTACCAGCACACCCAAGCGCATTGAGCCGGATGAGGAGGCCAAGCAACGATGGGCCAGACAGCATGCTGAGATTTCTGAGCGCATTGAGGTTCTCTCTCTACAATTTGCTACCAAGATCCCCGAGTTTGAATTCAGTCCCGCCGAGATTCAGGGACTGCTCCTCAAGTACAAGCGGTCCCCCGAGGATGCAATTGACGCTGCGGACGCTTGGGTGATTCAGACTCGCAAAGATAAGAAGGAGAAGGAGCTGCAAGAGGCTGAGAAGCGACGCAAGGAGCAAGAGGAAGAGGAGAAGAAGAAGAAGGCTGAAGAGGAAGAGAAGAAGAAGGAGAGTGAGAACAGCACGGCCAAGACTGAAGGTTCGGACCAGAAGGAGAGTGCCGAAGCCAAGACTGCCGATGCTCCCAAGGAACCTCAATCTACAGGAGAGGGGGATGCCGACAAGGGAAGCGAGGCTAAAGCGGAGACGCTCGAGGTGGCCAAGGACGATAAGAAGAACACTGCATCGGATTCGGAGTATGAGCGGGTGTGAAGAGCGTTAGACAGACGGATGGTCAGATATCGGGTTGCATAGCATGGCGTTTCGGGGATTACAAAGATTTTGGCTTGGGCGAAATAACACCATTTTTGGACATTACATAGAATAAGTAACGAAATCAACTCCCAGAGCCTATCCATTTGATAGGTTCATGCATGATGTATGGGTTCAATGCATTGTAAATCCTTGTGATAAGAGAAGTTGTAACTCCGTCAATCTCCGCTGCAGTACTCACCTTGGATCCTTTCTTCATCTGGCAACTATCATGTGCGGCTTATGGTTACATCAAAGCTGACAGCATATGCACAATGCCGTGCTTCCATTTTATCCAGTCTGGCGTGAATTAAATGGCTACCGCATGAGAGTAGGACAGAGTAGAAGCGCGGTATCAGTTGTTGTCGTTGTCGTTTGTTTCTCTTGTGTTGCCACTTACTCGCAGCACATGTAATAGAGGATAAACTTGCACGCATTGAAACGTTTGCTCTTGCGGCTGTGGGATGTATTTCGTATTACCTTCTGTCAGATTGATCCACGGCTGATTAGGATGATATTCTAGGTTTGTTTGTTCTGCAGTGGTTTAGTTTGCTTGGGATTGAAGTGGCTTCGTCTGATGTTTTGATAGCCCACGTGTGGTGGTTGCCATCAAAACTCGGGCCGAAACGTGCCAAGTTTCCACCCACGTTGAGCTTCGTGCCAATCAAGCCTCAATGTGAATGGGAAAGAGAAAAAGGATTGATAATAGAATAGAGATGCTGAGTTACATTTTGATATGTGATTGTAATACGAAAGAGGCTTGATGCAACTATGACAAAATAGCGAGGAGGATTCGTAAATGCAGCGAGTATTAGATGCAGCGTAAATCGGAGGCTCTTCCTTCCGATTTTATCGATATGCAAATTGTCTACAGAATCAGTTGCGAGTACGGACGGATCATTATCCCATGCGAAAAGCAGATCTGCCGCATGCTTAACCAATAGGCGTGGAAGGCGGTGTGGGGGCGAACTTGTGAAGGTGTAATTACCGCAATAAAATCGGGGGCGTATTCGTATTGCGGGCTGCTAGTCCAAGAGTAGGCACGTACTTCTTGATTTGCGGTTTTTAGTCTCAGACATTTTTGCGGGAGAGAAAAAGGGTAGGGTATTCGTATTCGCATTTTTTTGTTGGCTACCTCTCTTCAATCTCCCAAATGTTTCATGCGCGGCACGGCATCGATAAAAGTTGATGCAAATCTGATGAAATGCGATACATCATAGCGGCTATCTCATAAGTAGAGCTACCAGATGAATGTGGCTTCCCCTTTTGTATTTTGATATAGTCTGCTTCGTATCTGGTACTTGATCTGCTCTGATTCAGCTAAAACAAAACGCATGTCTCGCCTGCGCCCGAGCCTGGTGCCGTCCGGATGTGGGGCCGGCCCGGAATCCGAGCGGCAGACGAGAATACCAAAACAGGTACTCGCATCACTCTGTAGGTCCAAGCTTCAAAGCTTCTTTTCTTTGTTGTTTCTTGATTACCTGACTAGACATTAGTAATGCCAATACCGCAGCTCAGTGTTTAGATACTAATGTATGATACAAAATGACGATGATTGAAACAATCCCTGCGTGTACAGACTATGCGTATTTCAAGGCTGCGCACGAGTACAATACAGGCAATTGCATGGGAATGGTATCGCTGCAGAAGCATTGGGATACGGGGGCGGGGCACAGATCAATGTCGCCATACGGAGGAGAAGCTGTGTATCGGTAGAAGGCAGCTTTCGGAAAAGACTCAAGCAATGCATAAACAGGAATCGGCTGTTAATCCGGCCGAGAATTCAGCTGTGCACGGCCAGGGAGCACGGCCAATGATGCGTCTTGGAGGGCAAAGGCTGACGGCAGGGGGGGAGAGCACGGCGAATATAGCCTTGCGGTATCAGCTTGAGCCTCGTTGTTCGCCACCATTGGATGCGTCGTTATGAGTCCTCATAAGGCTCTGGATTCATTCATCCATTCAGCTGGCAATACTGAGCGTTGTACAAGTAATATGGGAGTTGACACGGTATGATGCTTTTTGATGCTCAGCTCTACTTGTGTGTAGACTGTACAGAACACACAGCCGGGTACGGTACGGCTACTATCTAGATGGGCGAAAGTGAGATTTCACCTGGCTAAGAGTACAGTAGTCTCTAGATGGCGGTGGAGCCCAACTGGCGCAGGATTGGCGCGTTGAAGAAGCATTGGATTTCTGGAGGCAACGAGCGATAAAAAAGAAAGGCCACATGCAGTGGGGCATTTGACAACGCAGCGTGCTGATGGTGAGATTCTGCATCTGAGGGATGGGAATACAGTGACAGTACAAGAGAGGCTTTGGACTGGACTAACAGCTTTTGGCATCTGAGGCCCCGATTCTGACGACACAAGGGCCAAACTAACAGTTAGGCTAATGCGAATGAATTATGGAGCGGTGCAACGGAGAGAAGGAAGAAGAAGCAAAAAAAGAGAGAAAAAAAAGGAGACACGGTAGCAACAAGAAGTGTAATCTCTGGTGCGAGTAAGAAGTGTTGGTTAGATTGGATCTAGTACGTGTACCTGTGTCCGTTTCCCCCCACAAACATTTCTTTGGCTGGCTGAGAGAAAGAGAGAGATAAAGATCAAAGGAGGCGTGGAGAGATAACAATCGGAGGGCAGGGATGTGAAGCCATCCATCCGTTATAACTCGCAAGTCGCAGCAGAAACGGAGCAGATTGTGCGAGTGTGCGAGTGCGTGTGTGTGCTCGTGTGTCTGTAGAAGTACTTGCGCTCTCGTATCTGGATGCCCAGGCGCAAAAGTATTCGTAACCTCTGCCGTACTCCGTACTCGTAGTCGCGATTTTTTTTTTTTCTGCCCAAGACCAAGCCAAGCGTAAAAGGACGGGCAATTAATTTCATCGCTGGGCCGCCAACAACAGACCAGAGACGGCCCCTCCCCACCATCTTCTGGCGGTAGTCAACGCAGCTAAACCCACTAAACCCACCGTGGCCGACCCCTGGCAGAAGCGCTGCAAGTCCCCTGTTTGTGCTGCAGCTCAGGCGCTACAGCGATGCGCACCGCCTGCCACAAAGGGCGGTGAAAACATTTAAATGCACAAGCACGCCGCCACGTTCCACATCCACCAAGTCGACATTCATTCCCTCACGAGCTTCACTTTTCTCTCGCCATTCTCTCCTTTCAACTCTTCACCTGATACCCAAGCTCAATTGTACTTCTACAGTCCACTTCTTCAAGATGGCCGCTCGTCCTCAGAACATTGGCATCAAGGCCATTGAGATTTACTTCCCCAGCCAGGTTGGTTTCCCCCAAATTGCCCCTCCATCCACATCTCACGAGACAGACAACCACCCTCAAAAAACAGAGTCGCTGACAATTGCTTTGCCAAACAGTATGTCGACCAGGTCGAACTTGAGAAGTTCGATGGTGTTGCCGCTGGCAAGTACACCATTGGTCTAGGCCAGACCAAGATGGCCTTCTGCGACGACCGTGAGGGTAAGTTTTGAGAGTGCCTCTCTTTTTTTTTTCCCCTCCCCTCTCTTCTCCTGAACTTGGAGGCTAACTTGAAACTTGTGCCCAGATATCTACTCAATGGCCCTCACCGTCACCTCAAAACTGCTCAAGAACTACAACGTCGACGTCAACTCGATCGGCCGCCTCGAGGTTGGCACTGAGACCATCCTCGACAAGTCCAAGTCGGTCAAGTCTGTCCTGATGCAGCTGTTTGGCGACAACACCAACATTGAGGGTGTCGACACCATCAACGCCTGCTACGGCGGCACCAACGCCTTCCTCAACAGCGTCAACTGGATCGAGTCCTCCGCCTGGGACGGCCGCGATGCCATTGTTGTCGCCGGCGACATTGCCCTCTACGCAAAGGGTGCTGCCCGCCCCACCGGTGGCGCTGGTGCCGTCGCCATTCTCGTTGGCCCTAACGCTCCTATTGTTGTCGAGCCCGGCCTGCGTGGCAGCTACATGCAGCACGCCTACGACTTCTACAAGCCCGACCTGACCAGCGAGTACCCCGTCGTTGACGGCCACTTCTCCCTGACCTGCTACACAAAGGCCCTCGACGCCGCCTACCGTGACTACTGCAAGAAGGAGGCCAAGCTGGCCAACGGCACCACCAACGGTGTCGACGAGTCCAAGACCCCCCTGGACCGCTTCGACTACCTTGCCTTCCACGCCCCCACCTGCAAGCTGGTCCAGAAGTCGTACGCCCGACTGCTGTACCACGACTTCCTGGGCAACGCTGATGCCACTGCCTTCGCCGAGGTCGCCCCTGAGCTGCGTGACATGGACTACGAGAAGTCCCTGACCGACAAGGCTCTCGAGAAGACTTTCATGACCCTCACCAAGAAGCGCTACCAGGAGCGCGTCAACCCCGCCATCCAGGTGGCCACTCTGTGCGGTAACATGTACTGCGCCAGTGTTTGGGGTGGACTGGCCAGCTTGCTGTCCTTTGCCGACAGCAAGGCCCTCGAGAACAAGCGAATTGGCCTCTTCAGCTACGGCTCTGGTCTCGCCGCCACCTTCCTGTCTCTCCGCATCGTCGGCAGCGTCGAGACCATTGGCAAGACTCTGGACATTCCCGCCCGTCTGGAGGCCCGCCGCGCTGTCCCTCCTGAGACTTACGATGAGGTATGTTTTAACTTCACTCAGTATCAAACATCCAATTTCCTGAATAGTATGCTAACCTGAATTGTTTAGATGTGCAACCTCCGAAAGCAGGCTCACCTCCAGAAGAACTACACCCCCAAGGGCGATGCCTCCACCATTGCCCCCGGCACCTACTACCTGGAGAAGGTCGACGACATGTTCAAGCGCGAGTACTCAGTAAAGGCTTAAATGTCTTGCTGTCTTTTCTGAACCATTCTTCGTCGATACAATTACCACCCTTTTCTGATTGAATAAATTTGTGCGGCATGGAGCACACGGCGTCCTGTTTTTTAAACCAAACGTTGGGCGAATCTTTTTTTTTTATTACGTGGGAAACCTGTCTAACTGGCACGAAATGAAACGAGCACAGCGATAGAACTCATCTGTTGAGAAATATGCAGGTGATGAATTTTTTTGGTTTTGTTTTTAAAGTTTTTGCTATTTGGTATTATATGATGAATGTCTCTTCCTCTGGATAGACAGATGGGGTGGGCGTTGGGCCATAATGAGTGAGGGAGAAAAAAAGAGGCTGAATGAGGCGATGGTGCCTGATATGTGTGGGCATGATTGGTGTAGATATTTAGAGATGAGCCGCGTTTTATACGGGCTACGTTTTTAAAGAAGAAAAACGAATAGACATGATGC